CTGTGCCTCGTGAGTAAATAAGTACATGTCGAGATGAATGAGATGCAGAGAAAATTCAATTCTATTCCACATCTTTCCACACACAAAAACAACTTTTCTAGCTGTGAAGCAATTTGTGAGAGAGGAAAATTTTCCGCAATACTTTTATTAAGTGATTTCTACCCAATTCACTTCTTTTCTCTGTCTCACTTATTTTACGTGAGACGGATCCTTCTTATTTTCCCTCATGTGTCATCCCACTTTCGGTGTCTCACTCCTGTGTAGTATTTTAATTCTAGAACACTTGCCGCGGTATTTTTAGTCATCCATTGGGACGTCTTTAGACCGAAGAACTCATGCGTCTTTCTCATGCTTTGAGAACACCATGCACTTGAGTCTCGTGGATCAAATTTATTTAGAGATGTTGTATGTTGTATTGGGAAATGAGTGAGAGTGGAGAGAAGCGTGTAATGAATGATGAAAGAGAAATTTCGCAGGAGGAAACTTTTCTGTATTAATTTTCATCACACTATTCTTCATCGTAAATCTTCTACAGCGAAATCTGACTCACAATTTTCTAATGCTTGAGATGAAGAAGACATCAAAATACGGCCTGTCATTGAATACCTATTTAAAAGAAGTATAATTCAGTCGGGTCAAGCTTAAGTCGACATTGCTAATTGAGCAGAAAAACACTCTCAAATTTATACAATTTGAGATAATTCACACAAAGTGACAAATATCACGATGTTCGCAGCTTTTGCGAAATCCAAAAATGTGAATAACTTCTCATTGCACACTAAATGTGCGCTAAAATCTGTGATTTTACTTTAGAACCGGTGTTTGGTACAATTGCCAAATGGAGTTGAACCATCACTTGTGGCATAATTCCTTCCACTTGATATTTCTGTTGTTTATGGTGTTGCGTAACACACATTTCAAATATATTGTTGCCATTTTGACGCTCTGTTCACGTCTCATCGCTGTGCTTGTAGTACTTGAATGTGAAATGCATGATGAAAAACTTAAATTAGTCACTTAATACGTAGGTTAATTTTACGTTTTGTTTATTTTTTTGTCAAGCAATACTTTATGTATACAATAAACCTTGACAAAAGCCACAAAAGTTTAGGAGTTAAATTAGATATAAAAGTGCTGTAACTGAAACTGTGTCGGGGCAGAATTTCAGACAGATTCTCCATTGAACATACGCGCAATTCGTATATTCAGTGAGGAATTGTTAAATGTACATCTGAGTGTTTCATGCTTAATCGAGCGAAAAATAGTGACAATTTTTCTTAGTGAGTAATTATTCTAGCAATAAACATCTATCAATTACAATTAAAGATCAAAAAGAGGGAATTTTTTTTTTAATAAAATTTCAGTTAAATCACATTGCGTTAAATTGATTGCGAATTTAATTTGACGCATATTTAGTTACATTCATCTTGCAATTTTATGTGAGACTCAATTAATTTTATGTGCAATTTCATAGCGACATTGTGTATTTCTTATACGCTTAAAAAAATTATAATGGAGGAAAATATGCGTGACACAATTCACAAGACTGTGGTTTATTGTTTTCCTGCTCTCTTATTTTCACTGAGTCTAGGCAAGGTGGCTTGAAAGAAGGAACAAAAAAAAAACATATGTGCTTGATGATGAATTGATTTTCGACGACAGGTAAACTCTTATAGAAGTCTTGCAAGAATGCAAGTTTATCTCTGGCTTCTTAATGGAAGGCCAGAAAGGAGGGAAAAGAGGTTTTTCTTTTCTTCTTTTAAATGGTGTTGTTTGTCTTATAACCCGTTTTATGCTAGCGAATGGTTGAAATTGAACAACAAACATGAAATATTGCTTTGACAATGCAGTAAAAAGTGGTATGAAGGTAAAAGATTCTCCGCGAGTGACTTTCTCTGAAAGCCGGACTGGCGCGAAGCTCTTTCTCCTCAGTCCTCTTGACCGATAAGAGGGAATGTATATGGAAATTTTACAAGACTTGTACTTCAATTCATGGTAAATTTACAGACTTTCTTCTTCTTTCAACTCCAATATACACACAAGTGCGCGCACTGCATATAAAAAAGAGCATTTTCATGTTTTGCAATTGGGATGTTTTCAGGTGTTAAATAATCTGGATTTAAGTTAGTTAAGATCGGAAAATAAAAAGGTTTCTCTGTCTGATCAAACAGAAATACATTCATTGAAACTATATGTTTCCGAAACTTCAATTTCAACAACTTTTACGCAGTTTTTCATTCATCAAACATCCAACTGCTTCAGTTGTGATAAGATGAAATAGAATTTCATACAAATGTTGCATGGAATGTGGGCGTAAACGTGCACCAATTGTTGTTAATGATTTCATTATCATGCAAAATCTGCCCCACAATCGGCACTATTTAGAGAAAACATAACTTATCTTCTCACATTTCTTCTCTAAAATCCCCGCCTAATGTAATTAAATTGAAATGATGACTCCAGAGTCCAGACGCATTAGGCAAATTAGCATGTTGAGGAGAGAACATGTTTGGTGGCAAGACGCGACGCAACTCCGGCTGATTAACCCTCATGCTGACGAATGATACTGGTAATCATTTTTTCGTTGTGGCTCTCTCAGCGTGAATATTTTGCTATTTGATATGTAATTTGAGGCCTCTGTGTGGTGCTGCTTGTGTGGGTGGTGGAAGAAGCAATGAAGAGAGAACAGATATGATAGCGCTGATTCATTTGTGTATATTTTTGCAAAGGGAGATTAAATGCATTGTGACTTTGCGCGACTTCCTCTGTCGCCGTCACTTTGCCATTCATGTGAAAAGCTTCTCTATAAAATTGGTTGAGCGTGTGCGGAGGTGGGAAAAGATGGGAAGGAAGTTGGAAAAGATGTGTGAGTGTATGTTTGGTTTGACTTTTCAATCCGTTAGTAGAGTTGAGGAAGACAATGCGACATCTTTTTTCTTTCTTGCCTCTCAATTGACCACAAACTTGATTGCAAGTCAAGAGCGCGCAAGTTAAATTGAATTTGCCAAAAAGAGACAATAATGTCTTCTGCAAAATGCTGTTTTTTTCTCTCGCATGCAAAGCGTGGCAAATTGAAATGCGGCTTTCAGGTGTATTTGAAGCCACGAAAGATGGAAAGGAGGAAAAATGTCTGACGCCGCTGACCGGAATTTGGCTGTTGGCAAGTGAAATCTGGGACGCCAGTCAATTTGTTTATTTTTCATTGGTGTGTTCTCACTTTGTGTGAATGTATTTTAGCCTAAGTAGTACTTTACCTGTATTTTATAAATCACACCAAATTATCATACCACGATTTGGCGCTGTTGGGGAATTGTGCCGCAATTATTGAATGGATCGCCGAGAGATGGCAAACAATTTTTTAACACTTATTCTGTATTAAAACTCTGAAATAAAGTGTTTTGTCATCATGAGGTTTTGGGTGAAGGAATGCTTGTGGAGACAAAATGCCATATTGATATGCTAAGTAGGAAGTAAAGTCATCCATATATTAAATTTGATATATGTTAATAGGAAAATTTCTCTTGTTATCTAACATTTGAAGAGGATATTTTTGGACTCTAAGTGGGATGATGTATTGAAATAATGCGGATGATTTTTTGACCTTAAGTATAGTATTTCACAATGATTGTTGCCGAAGGATAATCTGGGAAAAATATATTACGGTATAAATGTAAAATGTGTTTAGTGGGTTAAATTGAGCGAAAAGAATTTCAAGAGGATCTCATGCGGGCCTTTTGAGATTGTGAGCCCATCACACACAGTCTCTACATGAGAAATGGTGTAAAATGTGTGTGAGAAATTTTCTGGGTTTCATGTTAATGAGCAGTTGTAATAGAAAGGGAGAGAGGGAGAGGGAAAAACATGATTTTGCGTGAGTGTTTGAGGAAGAAATTTTCATGAAATTTCTCTATATGTGAGTGAAATTCAATTTAATATAAACATATTGTGCTGACGCCCATTTAACTGTGCAAGTGCCATCATCATCGTGGCAATTTATTTCACTTATATGTGGCTCACCATAATATATGGTCATTCACCTGTTTTTGGCTCGGCGTACAGCACGAAAATCCCTGCAGTGGGACGCAGACATTGAGCTGTGCGTGAAGAGATTGCTGCCGGCAAATCTGAAGAGTGCGATTATTAATCACTGGTGCAGAATCAGGATGTTGATGCGGGCATTGTTGTGCAGATTTTAGCCAACGCCACACACAAACGCGCGACTTGTGTGGCGTTGGCTGGGCGTGATGATGATGTGAAAGGTGCCTCGCAATGAAAATCCGTCCGTTGTGCGTTTATTTTTTTCTTCATTGGGTTGACACACAACTTAAGAGATGTAAAACTCGATCTGCTCAATTCTTTAAATAGACCAGGAAATTGACCAACAACTTGAGGCAGAAATATGGGGCAAAAGAATGAGAATCATGTTTGGTCGCGGGCATCTGTGTGTGAATTTTCACTCGATTGTGTATATTTTTCCAATGTGTTATATTGGCGAATGAACATAAAATTGATATAATAAGAAGCCAATCGGGAAACATGTGTCCAAATGATTGCGAATGAAGACGTTCCGATTTACATTTTGATGAGGGGGGAGAATTGTAGTGTTTTGTACATTGTGTGATTTCCTCAAGGCGCCCATACATTTTCACTCGTGATTTCTGTTTTGTGATCCATTGAAATGATTGCAATCTCTCGACAGACTCTCACTTTTGGTAAATCAAGCACTATTGAAGATCTCAAAATGAGTAGAAATTATGGGTTCTTTAACTTAATGATGAGACGTGCACATTACTTTCGACTTGAGTTCAACTTGTCCAGGAAATTATATGGTTAAATTCCTTCGGAAGTTCTTGACGTTTTGAAAATCATTGAATGGATCTAATTTGATTCCTATTTTCATGTGTGTGTTCCTATAAGTTTCCAATGGCATTATATAAGACGGTCTGATTGTTATTTCTTATCTGATTCAGTCATAAACGACCTTTCTTCCCTCTTTGCAGATTCTCCAGAACTTGGGAAAAGTCGACCGGACGGCTGATGATATTTTTGATGAGCATTTAACAAACTTCAACCGGCAGCAAACTAATGCCAATCGACTGCAGAAGGAATTCAACAATTACATACGATGCATTCGAGGTACAGAGTTGATTGTAATTACGGTGATGTGAGCGTGTATTGAGTGTCCTTTGGCATTTTCAGCTGTCCAGACTGCATCGAAGACCCTGATGGATGCCATATGCGATGTTTATGAGAACCAATGGGCGGGCTCAGAGGCGCTGCGCGCTCAGGTGGCGGCAATTGAGGTGCTGTGGCAGGACTTCTCGCACAAACTGGGCGATCAGGTGCTGATACCACTCAATACGTACACGGCGCAATTTCCTGAGATGAAGAAGAAGATCGAGAAGCGCAACAGGAAGCTGATTGACTACGACAGCCAGAGGCATTCGTTCCAGAACTTGCAGGCGAATGCCGCCAAGCGCAAGGATGACGTGAAGGTGACAAAGGGACGAGAGCAGCTCGAGGAGGCGCGACGCACGTATGAATTGCTGAATTCAGAACTCCATGATGAACTTCCGGCTCTGCACGATTCTCGAATTCTGTTCCTCGTCACAAATCTACAAACACTCTTTGCTTCCGAACAAGTGTTCCACAATGAAACCAACAAGGTGAGTTGATATATCCGATGATTTCTTCTCTGTTGACACACTGTGAAAGTCCTCTATATAATAAGATATTTTATCTAGCAATGACATGAACAATGAATTATTTTTCCCAAAGATATGGCTAAAAAATGGTTTGTGTGTGTTCAAATGCTTCACACAAAATGTAGAGTCAGTCAATGGGGAGATAAATATTTAGATATCGTGCATGGTAACCTCGTGATTCGGTAAATACAGAGATCGTCTATCACAAATTATGTCTCGCACATTGGAAAGAAAGCACGAATGGCAGCAGAGAAGACACACAATAAATTACATTACACCTCAATATCCACTTCCTAATTGACAATCTTGTCTCTGTTCATTCACAACAGATTTATGCAGAATTGGAAGCTATTGTTGATAAATTGGCGACAGACTCACAGCGCGGATCTTACACCCTCAAGAAGGCAGTTGGTGAGAAGATTTTCCGCACAAAAGTCCTCCTTCTCTTGAGATCTAATTGATCCAATTGCCTCCTCTTTCGCAGTCAATTCCACTCCGTCCAGTCCACAGCAGCCGACAATCAAGGGAATGGTGAATTCAACGCCGGCAATCAGCAACAATAGCTATCCAAATACAACAATCACGAATGGTTCTGCCAATGCCAATAGTCGTAAGTATTGAAATTCTGCCATCCTCGTTGTCTGTGAAAAAGGTAGAGAAAATTTATTCACATTGGTCTTCCCATGCAACACTGTTACAAGTCAATTATTAGAGGAGATTCACCGTTTCACCATAGCTTTTAGAGGAGAGAAGAAAAAAAAACCTTGTATATAAAACTTATTTTGTTTTCACCACGATAGAAATGATGAATTCTTTATGGAATTTCAGCTCGATAGGGAGAATCCAAAGTGCTCTTAACAAATGTGTATTGATAATCTCACTGTTTGTGTCCGTTTGTTAGTCTTTTCAATTGATTTTCAATTAGAACACCATTGAGAACGAAGACACAAATAAAGTTCAGTAGTTTTCCTCACATAACAAAGTAAAACAGATCTTAAAAGCAATAATTGTAGTTTTGAGATCTTAATTTAAGACTTTTTTTCATATTTGACTTCTATTTCAACTTTTGGGCTATTTATCTTCTTCCTCAGAAAAATCTTGAGAATAGTGTTGAATGGAAAGCTGGCAAGAAAATATTTCATGCTCATAACAACAGATAAAAACAATTTAATATGAGCGAAATTGTGCTTCTTGATGGTTATTAACAATTGAGAAGAGAGAGAGAAAGAAAGAAAAAAAAATGACGACAATAATTTACAGAAATTCATTGAAATGACAGTGAAATTGACACTCATTTATTTACCTCTTAATTTGTTTTAATAATGTTACTTCTTTGGCCCCATTTTTGCATAACAACTAAATTCATTGTTCAATTGGCTGTTTATTAAGTTCTTCTTTTTTTGGGTTTTATTTTTTTCTCTATTTACCTTTATTGTTTAACAGACATTGTTGTTACTTTATGTGTTAACCATGCGAACCTCTCTTGGCGGCGTGGTGAATTTCTGGGCACAGAGAAGCATTTGGGCGGGCACGGAGAGGAGGAGGAAGTGTGGCGATGCTGGAGAGAGGAAGAGACGCCCTTTGAGATGTGTGAATTCGATTGTGTTGTTCTCTTCTTCTAGCGTCCTCTCCAGCGAGTGTCGGGGCGGAAGAAGTGCCGGCGGACAGTCACCGGGAGGCGCGCGAAAGTCCGCCCTCGCCGACGCTGAGTGGGAAGAAGGCAGAGAGCGCTCAGGGCAGCGCCGAGGAGCCTTCGTATCAGAACACGGAGGCCATCCGGGCGGCGGCGGCGACGGTGATTGAGGACAGTGAGGCGAACGCGTTGAACGCCAATGTGGCGAGTGACGCAGTGGCGCCGGCGTCGACTGAGGAGAAGAGTGGCAAGACGAGGTCCGCGGCGGTAACCGCCGATGCCGCGGATGCAATTGAAACTGTGAATGGGAATGTGGAGAAGGTTAAAGAGGATGCGGCTGCAGCTGCCAGTGCTGCAGGTAAAGAATCATCCAAAGATCACACATTCTCTGAAGAGACTTTTGTTTGGGGGGATTGAGACAGTGCAAGTCTGCGAAGGAAGTCGCGCGCGCGTGGAGGAAAGAGAGAATCCTCGAAGAATGTGTACAAATTCCTGCACTTTTCTATCATATATATTTTCTTTTTTCCTTCTGTAGCGCCCCTTTTTTATCTTTTGGCATGATCATCCCTATGAAATTAACCTGATTTTCAAAATGATTGCCGCTGCACTAATTGATTAATTGAAGCAATAACACGAGAAATAGTTTTAACAATCAACACTCTACTTATATAATTTACAATTGTCTTTCACGTACTCAATTTGCTCGTGCTTATATGTACATATCTCTAGCCATAAGCGATATTTTACACACTCAATTGAGTGATTTCTGGACGAAGTAATGAAATTTCTTCACTCATTCTCGTGTGTCTTCAGATCAAACAGCCACGGATCTTCCGCCAGGAACTCTTTATCGCGTGAAAGCCACATATCGATATATCAAGGAAGACGCTGATGAATTGAGCTTCGAAGTTGGTGACATCATAAGAGTAATTGAATACGATGATCCCGAAGATCAGGTGAGATTTTCGTTGATTTATCCTTAAATTGAGATCACTAGAAGCTGTGAGATTTCGTATCAAAGCTTTCTGTGGTAAAATCATCATCCTGACGTTCTTCTGTTTGTCCTTTTTCAGGAGGAAGGCTGGCTGATGGGCATGAAGGAGAATTCTAGTGAAAAAGGTCTCTTCCCTGCCAATTTTACAAGGCCTTTGTAAAAATCAAGCCAATACTTTTTTATATAAACATATTGTGAAAGGTCAGATTATGTACACCAGAGAGAGAGACAATTATTGAGATGAAATCGCACAGAATTGATGAAAATCAGTCTGTTTTTACAAATCCGTACAATTTCATTGATCCCAAATTCTGTGCGAAGCATGTTTTTTTTTTCGTCATTTCTCGATCATTAAATTTAAGCTGCGTGAAAACTTTAGGACTTCCAGTGACAGATAAATTTGCAAGCATCCCTAATCATCGTGTGCATATTACAAGCGATTTTCACACCTTTGTCGTGGAGGAAGAGATCATTTTTATTCGTCTCATTTGTAATGCAGATTTTTTCTTTTTGTTTTTAACCAACTATCTTTATCAGTTTCATTTTAGTGCGTGATGGGTTCTTGTATTATTAATTGTTATAAAATTCTCTTCTTTAGAATCCATAAGAAAGGAAGTGCAGAAGAAATTTAGATATGATTGAACAATTAACTTGAGAAAAATCAGTACAGCAATGGAAGTAAGAAAACAATGTAATGAGTAAGTTTAATCGAAGAAAAAAAAAATTGAGAGAGGGCCAAAACAATACTACAAAAAGTGCCTTTGCTACAGAAACTTTAAGTAAAATCTAAATAAAATACGCGGTAAAACCATATTAACGATATTATATTAAGAGTATAAAATCATTTTAGTTTACTTTTAATGTCTCCTTGTCATTTTTGTGTCATATAAAATAGTGGAAAAGAAGAGGAAAACTGAACGTTGAAGGGATTCGAGAGTAGATTTTATGTGAGAAAGTATTATAGAGAGAGAGATGATGATGGAAATGAAAATGAAGTACTAATGATTATAAAATCTGAATCGCGTTATAATTGTAAATATTTATTGAATATTGAATGAAGGGATGGAAGACATTAAACAGAGAAAAACGGAAATCATCACCAATTGGATGATAACAACCAGCAAATGTTAAATTCAGGCTGCCAAAATCTACTAAATGAAAGCTTATTGCACACGTTTCGAAAGTACAAGTGCATGTAAATAGAATCCCTGCTTGGATATTTATTAGGTTTTTTTTTATAAAGAAAGGAAATTGTTCTTGAAGCTGGAAAAAGAAAATCCACGGCAATTCCGCCCAAAATCAACACAATTACTGCTTATCAGTATATCGGAACTGTTGAGGTGAAAAAAAAATGGAAAGACAGAGACGAGGTGAGAAGAATGTCAAGAAAACTCATTTAAAGAAAGCAGAAAATATGATTTGTCATTATTATTCATTAAAAAAAAAACACAAAAAGTACCACATTAATTTAATGCGAAACCGTGTGTAATTATTAATTGATAAATAGTTGAGAGAGCGAAGAGAGAAAAAAAACGATAAATAACAATATTAATTATCTTACTAAAGTATAGAGAGAAGAATAAATATTTTAAAAGTTAATCACGAGGAAGTGTTAAGTTTTTGCAGGCTCGCCTTGACCCATAAACACCCGCGCGAGCATAAAATGTGTGGCATCGCAATTGGATTAATGCAATTGGCGACTTTTGCGAGTGTTTTCGGTGCGGGGCTTCTTCGCCGAGGAAGAGCCGCTGGATTGGAAGAGTGTGCTTCACGTGATGTCCTCGGGAAACGTGTCTTCGAGCACTGATTGGCATTGCTATTGATTCCAGACTGTTAGAGGGAAACCTACTCGAGATCAGCACAGATTCTTGCAGGAATTTACCAGTAAGAGGAGAAGTTGCTGCAGAATATCATAAAAATGAAAAGATGAACTTGAAGCCATTTAAAGGGAATAAAAGCTAGGCAAAGCTGTTATGGAGTTTAATCCTCTTTTGATTCAGTAGAATTGTTTCTCACAATGTGATAACATATAAGCATCATTGAATATTCTGCATTCTGGCCGCAGACGTTTGCCAGGATGTGGAGATCTTCACGGATTTCTTGCGTATTTTATCCCATTCATTCCGTGTGTCTATATGGACTTCCCTTTGGACAATCTGTAGACATTTCGTATGATAAATTCTAAATCCAATTCAAATTTTTCTCATACGAAACATATATGAAAGACTGAAATATACAATCTGCACATCTCTGACAACACATTTTCTTGGCAAAATGTGTGAAGCACAACAAATCGAATTAGTTTTGTAAAGATTTTAGTTCTTCTGTTATATTTATGAATGAAAATACAACATTGTGTGAAGAAGGAATACAGCGATGAAACATGCTTTAGGGCATAGAAAAGTCCCATGTAATTGAGGATTTTCGAACCACGGGGCACTCCCTGGTGCTCCAATTGATGCCCTGAGATCCTCTTTCGCACTCAGCATGTCCTTTTCCGCGCCAGACGTCCCGCATCGCGCGGCAGCGGCTGCAAAGTCGGATAATATGCAAGGGAGAGCAGGGCAGCCAACGCGCGGACTCGCGGCGAGTGCGGATAATCCGAGATAGCGAGCTGTCGGCGAATGTCGTGTCGGTGTCGTCGGCTCTTGAGTAGTGTACCGCCATTATTGCAATTATTTGCAGGCGGCTGTCTTTCGATTGAAACGTTTTTTTGTTAATGTTTTTTGTAGTGAAAAGGCGAGAAAAGTGGACAGCTTATGGGTGTAAATTGCTGCTGGGGTCTCCATTGTGAGCCATACAGTGTCCATATACATGAAACTCATCCCGGGTGTGTGTAGTTTTGCGTGCAGGAAAGTGTGTCTCCGCGGAGGAAAAAATTCGGCCTCGCCCCGTGTCAAAAAGTCGACAGAGAGAATTTTGCAAGAATGATACTTTTTGCCCAGTGATTTCACTGTTTTTAAATGCGCACACTGCTCACCTGTGTCTGCCTGCACCACGACACTGCACTGGAGAGGACTGGGGCGATTGCTGGACGTCTGCCTGGACATTTTTTCCCTAATCTGGCACGTGAGGTAAAAGAGATCGCGCCGAGTTGGGCGAAAAATGGGTTTTCCCACCGGGGGCAGATGCCCAGCCGGCGCCCCGCTGCACTCGCGGGGTGGCGGACTGGGCATCTGCCGAGGGAGTGTGCAAGCGACGTGCCCGAGTGAGTGAGGAGTGCTCAAGTAATCCACTTAGCTTGACCATGGAGACTCTCTCTGGTGAGGTGAATATTTAATGCAATTACCCAGCCAGTGGCCAAGGAAGCCCTTCGGGCCTATAAATTGCCCACTCGCTGGCCAGGAGAGTCTCACTTGGCGTGGAGTTGCTGGTGGAAAAAGACCCAGAAATAGTGTTCATCTTCCCAATGAAATTTTCTGACATTTCATCCAGTGAAGATTTCCTGGCCGAGTTTGCGCACTCCCGCTGATGCTTCCTCTCTCTTGAGACGGTGAAAGACACTTTTTTCCTCTTCCCGCAATACCTCGTCTGTAACACTGGCTCTTCCTGCCTCCTGGCGGGATGTTTTTCCTTCTCTTCCCAGGGATTCACTTGGCCGAACAGCCGGAACACGTGACGGGGATCCAGAAGAGTCCAGGAAGAAGAGAGAGTGCCAGTGTCTGTGCAGAGGAGGACTTCTCGCGCGTGTGTGTGTGCATTGATGAATAGTGGCAGGAGGAACTTATATGCCGAAGTGAAGTGATTGACTCGCAGGAAGCACAACTGCCCATGATCATTTGACAACAACGGCTGGTCAGTGCAATATCCGCTTCGCCCTCGGATTAAGGAAGGAAGTTGAGGGTGTTTCCACTCGGTGGTTGCGTGTTGTGAGACCAGGAAGTGTGACAAAGTGAGAGATAATATGGAGTGCTGCTTATCGGAGGAAGCCAAGGAGCAGAAACGCATTAATCAGGAGATTGAAAGGCAATTGCGGCGTGACAAGCGAGATGCCAGACGTGAACTCAAACTACTGCTCTTGGGTGAGTGCAATATAATGGTGATCCCTTTCCCCAGTTCCGCTCACTCTCTCGTGCGACATCGCACACCAAATCTCCGGGCGGCATGACAATGTGATCTCCGTGGCCGCAAGAAAAGTCCCCCACTCAAAATTTACTTCCAATTTGACACAATCTGTGAATTAAATGATCTTCTCTGGGACAGAGAAGCACTCCACAGAGAGTCGCTCTCTCACTCACACCCAAATGGAGTTCATACAAGTGCTCTGTGGATTCCAGGATGGGAGATAAGAAGCTTTTTTTCTCGTCAATTCAATTTCTTATCTCGTCTTTCAATTGAGAATAGAGGGAGAGAACACTTTTTTTTCCATCCTCTCGTCAATTCTCTGTCGCATAGCATAATTGCAATGCTGAAACATTTGACAAAAAGCCTCTTCAGAAGATATCACTCTCTCTCTCTCTCTCTCTAAATGCATAATCATCTCTCATGCGAAGGTGTAATAGTAATGATTCGAGTACAGCGACAAGAATCTCGATTGACTCGATGGAAGATGGGGAATTGGAGGAAAACAATTCAATTATCATACACAAGTGACTCTGACTCTCGATAATACGTTTAGGAGTTGGAATTTCACATCGGGGCTCCTTTCTGTGGCTCCGGCAGAAAAGTCAATGCTGCGAAATTGAGCAACTAGCAATAAGAGATGGTTTATTATGTAAAGTATAAATGAATGAATGGGCGATATTTTGTCTTGTTCTCCAACAAGAAAGTATTCAAAGTCGCTGATAAAATTGATTTTGAGCATTTTGTCCGATTTGAATGCTCTATGAAAAGTTCTTTGAGACTTTGAAGTTCGACCAGAGAAATCGCAGCCTCCCATAAGCAAAAGTACGTGTGTATTTCTCGCCATTTTTCCCTTCTCCTTCACTAACTACTCTGACACTCTCTTGTGGCATCTTCAGCTGGTGAATTCTTCAAGAATTCACAAGTTTGCAGAAGCCAGTGATTGTCAATGTTGTTCTCAAATATTTCCTTTGGATTCTTTTTTTCCCTCTCGAGTAGAAATAAACTTGTTCTTCGTGCCTTTTTTCCCGCAATCTCTCGGATTTTGGGAGAAATTTTTGGGGGGATATTGAACATGCGCGCCACTCGCGCCCGGTATGAATTTATAGTGTGTGTGAAAGGAAAGGAGGAGAGATGGAAAATGTGAATGTCTATCCTGCTTCGACAGGCAGAGAAGAGTGAAAGAATTTCATGCATTTTCTCCTCACGCAATGACTAGTGGCTTTATTGGGGCTTTCCATTGCGAACCCGCGTTCATCTCTCTTCCACGCGTTTCACCTCATCCTCGCGGGGGAAGCGAGAGAGAGAGTGAGAGCGACGAGAAGGCGCATGTGCACGGGGATTTCGTGATGAATGAGCACAGAGAGGGAGAATAAGGGTGGAAATGGGACGGAAAGTGCATTAAAAATGTCTCTCATTCATGCCGAAGATCAGGCGTGGGAAGGTGCTCTTCTTCTTCCTCTGTGATGAGGATTTTCATTGTGAAAATAAGCACGAGAGGGAATGACAGAGCGCACAACATGCCAACTTCTGTGGCATCCTCTTCGCATATAGTAGCGCAAAGAGAGTGCATATTACAGGTGGAAAAAAGAAGGAATTTGCCTCCTCTGTGAATCACACTGAGATCTCTGTTTCTCACCCTCTGCAATATGCTGGGGATTCATTCAGTTTTGCGCTGTGTTTTTTCCGGGTGAGGGAAATGCAATCACACGAGAGCGAGATGAAAGGATGTGATTTTCTCTCTATTGATGAACAAAACAAGTCTTCTCGGCTATTTCACTAATTTCATTCACCCAATCATTGCATCTCCCGTTCATTCATTTTAACTTTATAAATAAAATCAAATATTGCACTGGACTGACCAAAGCTGTCTTGTGCCTTTTCAGGGACTGGCGAGTCAGGGAAGTCGACATTTATTAAGCAGATGAGAATTATCCATGGAAGCGGTTACTCAGATGAGGATAAACGTGGCTTCATCAAACTTGTATACCAGAATATATTCATGGCAATGCAATCAATGATAAGAGCCATGGATCTCCTGAAGATTCAATATAGTGTGCCACATAATATGGTAAGAAGAACTCTTTTTCTCTATGTGTGTCTTAATTATAATTCTCGCTAGAATTACTAATTAACTGCTGTCTTTCGTGTTGGACTTTCAGGACAATGCGGAATTGATCAGGAGTGTGGACTTTGAGACGGTCACAACCTTCGAGCCGCCATACGTTCAGGCTATTAAGGACTTGTGGTCAGATTCTGGCATTCAAGAATGTTACGACCGAAGGCGAGAGTATCAATTGACCGATTCCGCCAAATAGTGAGTAGAAATCAATCTTCCTCATGTTTAGTATAAATATTTCTCAATCTAGGGGTGTAAATTTTGCCTGCCAATACTCTTGGTGGTCTGTAAAAGATCTGAGGATGGTGGAAAATAGATCAATTTGATAAAGAGTTATACAATTGAACTAAATTATACCATGCATTATTGTGAATCTTAGCTACTTAATGGAAATTGATCGTGTGGCTGCACCAAATTATCTACCAACTGAACAAGATATTCTACGGGTTCGAGTTCCAACGACTGGGATTATTGAGTATCCGTTTGATTTAGAGGAGATCAGGTTTAGGTACAGTGTGAAAAGAGTTAATCCTTTATATCAAATTGCCTTTTATGCTGTGTTTTTATTTACATGACGAGATGAGATTGAAAAATGTCTTTCTAACTTTTATTCATTCACTTTAATTTTACACTTCATTCTATTTTCTCTATATTGTACACATTATGTATGGATTTGTAATTAAAAAAAAAAAATACAATATGTTTTCTCGTATGTTTTATGCACGAAACATTGGAAGGAATGATTTAGGATGTCTCCTAGAAGAATTCTAGAAGAATTTTAGAGCAGAAATGCGATGAAAAGTGTGAATATTATTTCGGAATGGGACAGCATTTTCTGTTTAACCTTTGCATGTGATTTTATCTTTTCATTCATATTCTCTCAATTTCCAACTTGCATTTTTTCTTTCTTCCTGTCTGAGGAAAAGAAGAGGAAGAAAATGAAACATAGAGGATAACTTTTTAGGAGATTTTGTAGTCATAATTCGCGACTGTAGGCAAAGAAAGTTTTGGGTTTTTTTTAGATTATGAGGAACTTTGTGAAGTGACATTTTTTGTATATTTCTTTTTATTGTTGTCTTGTTTTTATTTCTTTTATTTTTCATTAGTTATTTGAGTGATTTGGAAAGAATTGAAAAACCAGAATTCCTGCCAACGGAACAAGACATTTTACGCGCCCGAGCTCCAACGACTGGAATCCTTGAGTATCCATTCGACTTGGATAGCATAATATTTAGGTACAACATTGCAAGAAAAAAAAAACCTCCCAAAATCATTTTAGAGCTAACTTCGTTTGTCCTCTTGGTGCGGGGAAGTTTTCGTGGAAGGATTCTGCGGGAAGGGAAGAAGCTGTGGTTTTATATGCTAGAGTATTGCTAGTGTTTTCACAATACATACGCGCGAAAGTCATAAAAAATCACAGAGAAAAGTCCTATTGATTTTTAGTAGAAAACACATGTTATGAGCTTTCTGTTGGTTCAGGACAGGAGACAGAGAGGCATAGGCGAAAATGGTCAAAAGAGAGGAAATATTTGAGGAAAATTGAGTGTATTTTAGAAGGTAAATGACCCTCAAATTTATATATATTTCTATTTCTGGGGTTTTTTTTCCCCACATCCAGAACATACAGAAAGCAACAATTAGAACTGATACTTGCATGTGGATATATCTAAAAATATATTTTTTATTTAATGTCTCACGACACTCCTGTTCTATGTAGAGGAAGAGAGAGAGAGAGTTCATTGCACATTTAGATGTGACAAGAATTATGCTAGAGGCCAGGAGGAAAGTAAACAAATAATACCATTTCAATGTAATGCAAGAGTGTATTTTCTGGCTGACATTTGTCAATTATTAATAGAAGAAAGCACAAATCAGTGAAATGGTTAATTTTGATTACGACATGTCTTCTTTGCTCTCTTTCTCTCTCTCTCTTTCTTGACTCAATAATTATGTCGTGTCACGCGAAAAGAACCAGCCCTCGGAAATTGTAGGAGAAATCGTGTCATAGGATTGAAGAACAAACGGAAGACGCTAGAGTGTAATTGTGGGAGGGAAAATGTCGTGGGATTGCTTCGAAGAGAAGCGACTGTCGATCAAAAATTATTCTATTCAACTGTATAATATAAAAATATACTTCAAGAATTTAGTGGGGAATTATTTCTTATTATTATTTTTCCCAGACAATTACTGAAATCGTATTCAATGATTATCCCCGATCTGTATTTATGTGTTAATGAACGTTTTAGTAGATATTTTATGGTAGATTTTTTTACAATCAAACATTTTTTCACTATTGTAAATAGATATGAAGTTCTTTTTTCCTTACTCTCTTCTACACATTCTTCTTCTTTTTATCTCTTTTCGACATGATTTCTAGTGCTTTTGCATGAAAAAAATGGGCTTTAGAAAAGTAGATTTTCACTTTTGGTCACTATAATATTCATTTTGGCATGTTAAATTGAATGTTGATCAATGTTTTCCATCTCATTTGGCACATAATTTCTTTCCTTAGAGTATGACTGAATGTCAGAGTGTTTGTGAAGAATTCAATCAAAATACTAATTGATGTTTTCTTTTACTCTCGCACAAATGAACGTGTTTCTGCAGGATGGTAGACGTTGGTGGACAGCGATCAGAAAGAAGAAAGTGGATTCACTGTTTCGAGAATGTCACTTCAATCATCTTTTTAGTGGCACTCTCTGAATATGATCAAATTCTTTTTGAATCGGAAAATGAGGTGAGAATAAACGCTAATGATGAGATTTTGTGAATTGCAATTACTAAGCAGCAACGCATTTCTTATTCTTATTTGACAGAATCGTATGGAGGAATCGAAAGCTTTATTCAAAACAATTATAACTTATCCGTGGTTCCAGCATTCGTCGGTGATTCTGTTCTTGAATAAGAAGGATTTACTAGAGGAGAAAATTATGTATTCGCATCTGGTCGACTATTTTCCAGAATATGATGGTAATTTTGCTATTTAATTTAGCCCAATGTTCTCTCTAATATTTTTTCCACGCGACAAATTCTGTTGATAAAAAAAAGGCCCGAAACAGGATGACAAAACTGCCAGGGAATTTATTCTGAAGCAATACTTGGTGTGCAATCCAGATCCCGAAAGAATGTGTTATTCGCATTTCACGTGCGCCACAGGTGTATTAATTGTCTTTTCTGCGCAATGTTGACGATGCTAGGCGATAAATTTGAGCTTAGGCTAGAGAAATAGGCTAGAAATCACTGGCATTCATTGAATTTCCACTACATCCTCGTATTTCTCTCCTCACTGTGTCTTTTTAGGACCCCAGAGAGATGCAATAGCTGCCAGAGAATTCATTTTGCGTATGTTTGTAGATCTTAATCCGGATTCGGAGAAAATAATTTATTCGCATTTTACTTGCGCTACAGGTAAGAATTTCCACTTATGCCCAATATGCTTTCACATAACTTCTGCATAATGCTTTGTAGTTAATTGTTATTTGCTTTATAGTATATTATTTGGAGACTTTTTAACATGGTTTCTGTGCAAGAACGAAGAAATAGAATTGACAAGAAAAAAAATTCGTAGAATTGTTATTATTCATATCATTTTCATTGATAAACTTATCTTTTTATATATATTTTTTTTTTATTCCTTTTGGCTCTCAAAACTGCATGGATTTCTTTTGCTGAAATTATAATTTTCAGATACTGAAAATATAAAGTTAGTCTTTTGTGCTGTCAAAGATACAATAATGCAATCTGCATTGAAGGAATTCAATTTAGCATGATTGATTTATTATTTCCGAATGATTTCTCTGTAAAATATATAATGAATTTTAAAGAAATAAAGTGAGAAATTGCATGTGTGTGAAATCTGTGTCTCTGTGTGTTAATTCTGCATAGAATAATAATGTCAATATGGTTTATGAGCTAATTGTATTTATTTCATCAATTCTTCCAGATACTGAAAATATAAGATTTGTATTTGCTGCTGTAAAGGATACGATTTTGCAGTCCAATCTCAAGGAATACAATTTGGTGTAGATGGTTAAAGTGAAACGCCATATTCGGACATCGAATTGTGATGCGTGTTTCTGTGGAGTTCATAAAGATAAGATGATGATGATGATGATGATAATGATGATGGAGAGAAAACGCGGATTATTTTTTATTTAAGTGAGAGGAAGTTAAAACAAAATTATAAATAAAAATGTTGGGCACAGCAAAATGAGTAGAAGAAGGGAAGGAAAATGAGTGAATCAGAACAGAAATCAAGTAGCGCCCAATATTGTATAAAAAAAAAGAATATGATAAGAACATAAATTACTTACCAATAGGTGAAAAAGAAGAAGAAGAAGAAGAAGAAGTAATGGAACATTTATAGAACTAAAAAAAAAAGTGGAAAATCTGTAGCGAAAAATTGAGTGAAGATTTAGTGAAAGGTCGATAAATGATGAAGCAAAAGCACAAAACCAATATCTATTTGTAAAATGAATTAACCAAGCATATTTTTTCAATATTTACCCTTTTTATTAAGTCAAAGAGGGAAAGCGAGAAGAGTTGTAATAAGAAGAATACCTAACTTTTTATCACAAATATTATTTTTGAATACAAAAAAAATGCAAAAACCATAAAATACAATCAATCATTGAAGATACAGAGATAAATGTTATAAATATGCAGAGAAAGAGTTATGTAATAGACTGTAGATATTTTGTTTATTCTTTATTTATTCTTGTTTTTTTTTCATAATTTTGTTATTTTACTAATAATATTTTCTCTGAGAATGAAAAGAAAAAAGAAAACTAATGTGCCACTTTTACACACAGAAGAAGAAACTCACACGACAACGCGTGCGTGAGCACGACAAAAGGAGATGAGAGATGTAAAAGAGATCAAAGAAAAATATAAAAATGAAGAAGCAGGAAAATGAGAATTCATAGAAATTATTTATTCCTCTTCATATAAACATTAAAGAAAAAATCATCAATGTGTCTAAGAATATTATGTAATTATATCAAAATAATACTTATTTTAATGTAAATTGTCCCTCATGCGGATTATTTTTGTTTATTATTTGTTTAAATGTTGTTCATCTCCTTTCATAACACCCAAAATATTCAATGAAGAACTTTTGTGTAATGTGAATAATTTCTTGTTTAGTTACTTTATGTGTAATAAATATGCATAATTTGGATTAAAAATTCCTGACAGAATTTCGCGCAAAATGATATAAATAATAATAATCAAATAAAAGGGAGGCAGAAGGTTTTTTTTTCTATAAGAAAATATGCAGAAAATTGCTTTTTTCTTTCGAAATAAGAAGTTCTTTCACAATTTTGCAATTTATTTGCAAAGAATCACAATTATTGCTAACATTTCTGAGAAAAAAAAGAGAAATCATCTGTGTCATAAACTAATAAAAAAAATACATTGCAAACATTATAAATAGCTCTAGTGGGAAATACAATTGAAGATAAATATAATAGATATATTTTCAATTAATCCTTGAAAGTAAAAGAAAAAAAACGGATAATTAAAAGCGCACAAAGACCCAAAACTAAAAGTATCCACAATTCAAGTGAAGAGACGGTGAAAATTACGAGAGAAAGGAACCAAATTTTTGCAAATTTATTGTAGTGTTACAGAGAAAGTCGAGCAGGAAGTGAAAGAAAGCAAGTTTATATACACTGAAGAGCTTCAGTTGCGTTCTGTCGTGAAATTTTTTTAACTGAATTAACCTGAAACTCGCCCTTATAAATTTTTAAATATTTGGCTTTAGTGCGATATCATTATTCACTGCCAAGAATTCCTTAATAAAAAGTCCCTTTTTTGCCAATTTTCAAGTACTTATTTGCGTAATTCTGCTAATCAGTGTATTTAACAAATCATTCAGACTCTCAGTGAAGAAAAAGAAAATCCTTTTCAAGTTAGCTTTGAAAGTTAAAAAAAAAATACATTGAAAAATGTGTCTACTGAAAAAGTTATTTTCGTGGAGAAAAATATAATTTCTCAGAATTGTTGCACATGAAAATCAGTAAAAAATTAAACGCTCATACGATAAATATTACAAGAACAGATCAATCAGTCCGATTTATATTGCTAGAAATGGAAAATCAACTTTCTTGTATAAAGAGTTTTACACAAAAAGATGATGAATACCAATTGACGAAAGGAATATTAATGCATATTGTTAATTAATGTGATTTCTAGAATATTTGCATAGATAAATTTTAAGTTATTATCTGAAAGAAAAAGAAAGAGTCGGAAGATGAGGAAAATTGGAGGGAATTTTCTTTAGAAGAAATTGTGAATTGAGGTCGGACGAAGAAAGCCTCAATTGTAATTAGAATACAAGAAAAAGAAGGAAGGAAGAAGAAAAAAATACAATTTATAATTTTTCACTAGAAAGTTTGCATGTTAATTGAATGTGAAGATTCAAGAAAGATGACAAATTTCGAGAATTTTCACATTCTTTCACAATTTGAAAAAGAGTTTGTCGGAAGAATTATCGCTTGAAATTTGATTTGTGTGAAGAACTAACATAAAAAGCAAGCTCCATTTGATTTTATTGATTTTCTTTTTGTTTTTCCAAAGGAAAAAAAACGAGTATTCTTTATGCTAAAATGCAAACAGTGAAAAAGATGAGAAAAAGAGAAGCGGAAAAAAGATCAGATGAAACCAAAAAAAAAGAAGGAAAATCTCTCTTCCCTGAAATGACATTTTTAATTGGAAGTCGTGACATTTCACGGAAGTGACAAAAAGGAGAAGAAAAAAGTGTATTTGATAGAGCAAAAATACAATTAACATTAATTAAAGAAGAAAGGAAAAGAAAAAGAATATAACACATAATAATATTAAATGATAAATGTGTGTCAAAAATTTAATAATATTATAATAGTAATAATAAAATCTTTTTTTTATATTCAGAAATAAAAAAGAAACCTAAAAGAGAAAAAAACCATCATTGAAAGGTAATATTATAAAATGGAACTAATCGGATTAACAGAAGTATGTACATCAATAATTTTGATCTTACGTCAATAAAAAAAAAATTGAGGTTTCCCAAGTGAGAAAAGGGGCCTAGAGAATTTTCCGCCGAAGAAAAACACTGACCAAAATTACTGATTTCTTCTTCTCAAATACGCGCGACGATGGCGAAGAGCGATGAAGAAAAATTGACGGTGAAAAACTAAATATAAAATTGTATTAAAATATAAAAGTAATATTCAGTCGTAACTAACTATAAAATATGAAAATGAAGAAAAATAATAAAATAAATTTGTGTACTATTATAACTATATATACATACCTTATAATTATATAAAGAATCTTTATAAGTTAAAGAAAATATAAATATAAAATAAAGGAAGTAATGAAAAGTGAATTATGAGAAAATATTGGAATAAAAAGGCATTTCAAATCGAATGATTGAAACTTTTTGGTTCTTTTTGATAAAATATTAGAAATTGAAATATGGAGGAAAAAGTACTTTAGATAAAATATGGAATAGATGAAAAAAAAGAATATTCAACGTTTTTTGAGATTAGACACCAAAAATATAAAGAAAATGAGATGAAAAAATTAAATTGGCATTTTGCGATAATCACGTTTTTTACATTCACCAAAGAAATCTCCGAATAATTGGGAGATCTAAAAAAAAAACCAACAGCATAAAGTCTAGAATGTAAAGAAGCGTGACGTATCATGGAAAGTGCAATAATAATTACAAGAAAAAGAAATTAAGTGAAAAGCGAATGAAAAATTCTTCATTGAAAGCGTTGTTTTCTCACATGCATTACACATTTAAAGAAAAGAAAAAAAAATTAAGAAAATTACACAAAAATAACGTCATTCCACTTATGAACAAATTTGTAATAAATGAAGAACTCTTTTTAAAAGGTAAAGAAACTATAAAAATAAAATAATGATTGGCTGAAGTTTATAAGAAATTAATGATGAAATAAAATTTAAAAAAAAATCAGCGAGTTTGTCCAATTTATTTCCGTTTATTCGTCTCCTAATTCTTTATTATACCTAGGAACATAATAATAGAAATATTGTCGTAATTAAATTTACAAAACTGCAAACTTAATGCAATTCCCATTTATTTGCTCCATTATTCGAGTAATTCTAATTCTATTTGATTTGGCTCATTTCTTTATTACAAACCCCTGGAAATTTTCACAATTTTTTTTGCTCTTTTTATACATACATATTTACCTACTTAACATTTTTCATATAAAATCGATATAAGAATAATCTTGAGAAATAGTCCAATTTCGCGTTATAAATGCATTCAAGCAGGAAATGCGGGAATGTTTGTGATTTAAGGCTTCTTGATTGACTTCTCGACCGAATCCCGAAGACTGGAAATGACTGCACGCTGATCAGTGGCCTGGACGACGGCAGTTCCGGACACGATCATGTTGGCTCCGGCCTGAGCGCAGGTATCGATGTTTTTGGGTCCCACGCCGCCATCAACTTCGATGTCCAAGTCTGGATAATTCTCCCGGAGCCACACCACCTTGGGCATCATGTCCGCCATGAAGGCCTGCCCTCCGAATCCCGGCTCCACCGTCATCACGAGCACCATGTCCGCCAAGGAGACGAACTGCTCCACGACCTCAACAGCTGTTCCCGGCTTCAGGGCCAGTCCGACCTTCATGCCGGCCTCGTGCACTTTGCGGCACACCTGCTCCACGTCCTGCATCACGGGCTCGATGTGGAATGTGTACTGGTCCACGCCGGCGTCCGCCATCGGCTCGATCCACCGAGCGGGCTCCGCCACCATCATGTGGGTCTCGAAGAAGGCATCGCGGATCTTCGCGCGCAGGCACTTCACCATCGGATGGCCGAAGGTGAGGTTGGGCACGAAGTGGCCGTCCATGACGTCCAGATGGAGGTAATCCGCCCCATTGTCCAGCAAGCGCTGAGACTCCGCGTGCAATTGCGAGAGGTCAGCGTTGAGAATTGAAGGCCCAATTTTCGCACACACTCGCGGCATGTTTTTCACGCACTGACAGTGACTTTTTGCCGCCGCGCGCCTTCCATCAGGCAGACAACTGCGCTTTCGCCGACCAATTGTTCGTCGCCGCGATGATAAAACTGGAATTGGCTTGCCGACGTCAACAAGAGTTGTTGTGCATAAATTGATCTCGTCTGCCTGCAATAAAATGGTGAAAATACTCAGTCTGTGTCTGCTGGTGGCTTTTCTCGTGGCCGTGAACGGCAGGAAGAGTGACGAGAACAACAAACCTTCGTGGGCGAAGAAGGACATTCGGGACTACACCGATGCCGACATGGAGAGACTCCTGGAGCAGTGGGAGGAGGACGAGGAGCCCCTGGAGCCGGACGAGCTACCCGAGCATTTGCGACCGCAGGCGCCGATAGATCTGAGCAAACTGGACGTCAACAATCCTGAGGAGATGGTGAGGGAGTCCAAGAAAGGACGCACTGTGATGGCTTTCGTGCAAGTCGCTGGAAGCCCCTCACGTGCCGACGCCGAAACTGTAACCAAGATCTGGCAATCGAGTCTCTGGAATAACCACATCCAGGCTGAGAGGTCAGTAATCATGTCCCGAACAGGATTATCTCGTATTTACCGTGTCCCTCTATCACGAAAAACAGGTACATGATTGAAGATGCGCGTGCAATCTTCATGTTTAAAGACGGCGCTCAGGCTTGGAAGGCCAAGGATTTCCTCGTAGAGCAGGACAACTGCGAGAGTGTGACGATAGAGAGCAAAAAGTATCCGGGAAAAGGTGCAAAAGAGGACGCCAAGGAGGAATTATAGAACTGACTAATTGATATGACTGCACATTACCAGTTTCCGTGGGAAATCGAATAAAATCTTGTCTTCTCATTGAATGTAAATTTACTTTTATCCTCCATGCAGTGTGGATATGAAGAGAATTGTGTCTTTGGGCTCGATCACGTATTCCTCCTTGTCCAGTAAATCCCAATCCGTATTGTTTACCAACACCAAAATTCCCGGTCGTCTGAAATGAATGAAAACAAAAATACATGAATTGTGATGTTTCCACTGTTTCCGAGTGTTTTTGCAGCACACGTACACAGAATCATCTGCGTAAAAGAGCTCCGGACGATTCGTTGGAAAGTTCACCTGCATCCACTTGAGGAGATCCTTGATTTTCCCTAGAATCAAGAGAATTAAATTAAATAAAAAAAACATTGCTGAACATTCTCAAACTCACATGTTTTCGCTCCATCGAGCTCAATTTCTCTCTGTTTGACTTTATCGAAGAGAATTTCGGCTCCTCCGCTGCAAAAATGTTTTATAATTTAGCAAATAAACAAAAGGCAAACAAAGGAGCGATTTTACCTAAATTCTAATACAATTTTCATTGTATTTTCTTCTTTCATGTTTATGTTGATTGTTGGTTGATTTCCCGGATTTGAAATGTCAGTCTGCCTGGAATACTGGAAGCCTGGAACGTTCCAAGGTGGCAAGTTGACAATTGTTTTTGTTCGCGAAGTGGGAGGCCATCAAATATTTTCGTGATTTACACAAAGTGTTGCAATCTTCTCCAGAAACAAGGAGAACGTGCTTAGCCATGTCCGACGAGGAGAATCAGAAGCTGGCGGGCCACAAACCTGCAGGTAATCCCTCAATAAAGCAATAGAATGAGTGCAATTATTGGTGAATGAAGACACGTTGCAAGATTGATTATCAGCTTTTTGGCTCTCTTGAGAGATAAGACGATAAGAGCATCGTCACCAGCATCAATCCAGTTTGAAAAAAGCCAGCTTTGACCTTGAAATTCTTGCCGTCCACCTGAAATATCACTGAATTGCGTGTCTGGTGTTTTCTTGCAGTGAAAGTTGGTGGAATGAGGGTTGTCCAGCACAAGAATCCCAATTCTGAGAAGACGTCCGGAGACAGTCCAGAAGACACTACCGGATTGGCTGTGAGTGCTCTTGAGACACTCTCTGCGCTGTACGAATGCTAAACCATTGTTGTTTATCCACAGCCCGCGCCGACAATCCCGAATTCACAGATTGTCAGCGGTGCGCACACGAGAGGACATTCCGAATTCACACCAGAAGCTGCTCAGGTGGCGCATTCGCCCAAGCCTCCAAATCCTGTGTCCATCAAGCCCCAAGTGAACATACAACAGCCCCGGAAGTAGGCTGGAAATGCGAACAAACCCAAGGAAACTCTCATGTAGTTTAATTGGATTTTGTTATGAAAAAATAAATTACTGGCTATTTCAATTTCATTTTCATACTAAAAAGATTACTATTCAACACCTGAACTACTTCTTCTCCTCTGCCATCATCTCTTGTTCTATCCTCTCGCGGGCCCGAAAGACTTTGGATTGAATATAGAAAGAGCCTCCTTTCGCCTTCTCATTGACTTCGAACAGGTGCTTGTATTGCTTCTCTAGCACTTCTTTGTCCAGTTTTTCCATATTCAGTATATTTTGGGCCTCCTCCAGAGTCATGCCTGTAAGAAGATTCCTATAAGAATTCCAAATTGGGGTGACAAAACTCGAAAATGTGCACCTGTCCGGAGGTTCTGCGCTTGGGTCTGTTGACTGCCTCTGCCGCTGGACGCTTGTCGGGCAGCCGCCTGCCGTGACATATCAATTTCCTGCTTAAGCGCCCTCGAGAAGGCCTTGCCTATGGTCTGAACACCCAACACAATGATTTGCGCCAAGTATTTAGCCATTTTGCGTGCTTTTCTCACTCCACCTAACCTCACATTTAGAATTTTGAGTGTCACTTCCAATGGAATTCCAATGTCACTGGAATCTTCCCGATTTACATGCGGCAGCACTAATTCTCATGGCCGTCAAAGTGCAGTGAAAAATGTGAAAATTGCCTCTAAAACGCTACAAAACAGCGAATATTGAGAAAATGTAACAACTATAAGTGCCAGTGAAGTTCAGATCTCAATCACAAAGGTGGGATTTAGAAGTGAAGTTGTGGATATTTGATGACATGCTGCGTAGTTAATGTTCGCAAGAAAAGTTTAAAATTTTCCGGCATAAAATCAATAACTGGGTATTTCTCGTTGGCAAGGGTTGGAAAATCCCTTCCTGTCGAAAATGAAATGACTTCATGCATGGAAAATATTCAAAATATGTTGTGAATCATGAAGTTTAAGTTTTGTTGATTTTGTGAAAAAATTCTGCGAAGCATTTCACGATTGCGCACAAGAGATTTTCTCCTGTGTTTTCCCTATTTCCCAGAGCCAATAAGACATTGCTTTCACTATTTTTCAACAATCTATTGGCACAATCAGAGCAGAGAATGAACAACAGAGTATTATACAATCTATTTTTAAAACATGAATGTGTGCCTGGTATTAAAGTGAAAGATCAATTGGCTTTTGTCGTGTCTTCTCAGGAAAAACCTATAGATTTTCCTCCATCCACCTTTCAGTTACTGTCACGATGTCTCGGGAAACGGCCAGCGGAATGTCTCAGGGCAGTTCTGACAAGAAGAAATACAGATCAAGGTGAGAGAGAAGCGCGTGAAATTTTGCCCGCAAAGCTGACATCTTTCTTGTCTTGCAGATCGTCTTCGCGGTTCGCGGATCTGGACAAGCAGCGCAAGATAAAATGCATGGGCGGAACGCCGAGTCTCTCCTCCATTCCCAACACCATCAAGTTGAGTATGCTCAACAGTGGCCTGCTCTCCTTCGACCGCGTCAAGCTGGAGGCGCGCGATGAGAACAACTCGCTGTCGCAGACAATACCTGACCGACAGGTGCCACTCAAGTTCTTCCTGAAGCTCTGCGAGCAGCGCAAGAAGTTTCCTGTGCTCTTCAAGCTCGAGTTCCAAACGGCCATCAAAGTGGAGAACAATTCCATTCGACACGCCACACGGAAGAACAATCTGGAGAAGAACCAGAATCAGAAGTGTGTTCCTTACGACTACAATCGCGTCGTACTGAAGAAGATTGAAGGTGTTCCAGACTCGGACTACATCAATGCATCCTATGTTGACGTAAGTTGCTCCGCTATTGAACTTCTCTGTGCATCTAACAGGAAATTGTGCATGTTTGCAGAGCCTTTTGAAGCCGAATGCATACATTGTCACACAAGGACCAACAGAAGAGACGGTCTGTGACTTTTGGCGAATGATTTGGAGCGAGAATGTTAGTGCCATTATTATGTTGACGAAGACGTTCGATTTCACAAAGGTGAGCAAAGTTACAAAGACGTAAATTCAGTAAAAGAGCACACTGAAATGGTTCAATTTCAATGCTCCTGACTAAATTTGCCATATGTTTAGTCAGAGCCTGTGCTAATCAATATTTATTTCACTCATCTTTAGGTCATGTGTGTTCAATATTGGCCAGCATCGAAGGAGAAGGATGAATTCTACGCCGACATCAATATTGCAATTGTGAAGGAAGAGCAATTGGCCAACTTTCAAATACGCACATTTCGTATTTACAACAAAAGCGAGGGTGTAAGAAGACTTTTGGCTCTGGTGTGACGATATCGGCATTAAAGAGTGTGTTTTGGTTTATTTTTAGGGTCCATCCGCATCGAGAGACATCTTGCAATTTCACTTCACTGAATGGCATTCACATTCTTGTCCATTTTCAAACGCCGTCTTGGAATTTCGACGACGTGTTCGTGCTGTTGTGGGAAATATCATCACGGAAAATACTGTGATTGGACCGATGCTGGTGCACTGCAAGTAAGTTCTGCTGTTTTTCATTGTGTGAAGTGAGTTCTAACGTCTTGATTCTCAGCGATGGCGGCGGCCGATCTGGAGTTTACCTGGCCATTGACACAAACATGGAATTGGCGGAAGAAGAGGAGTGTTTCCATCTCTTTGGGTACTTGAAGAAGCTTCGTCAGTCGCGTAAGGGTTTGATAGAGAATGTGGATCAGTACAAATTCGTGTATGACACTCTCGAAGAGTACCTGAGCTGCGGAAATTCCTGGTTTCCCGTGTCGCAGCTCTCGGAGAAACTCAAAGAGAAGAGCGTGAAGAATCCTGCAACGAAAGTGAATGAGTACCAGAGAGAATATGATCAGATATGCAAGCAAACGCCGAGGTAATTGATGGCAAGATTGTGTAAAGGAGACTTTCAAGTGGTGATTCATGTCGTTTTCCTAATTAGATTCTCCATTGGCGACTGTGCTGGCGGACATCGTGCTGATAATAGGGACAAGAATAGAGATGTGCTCTGCGTTCCACGTAAGTTAACTTATTTTACTCACATCCGCTATCATTTCACATGAATTTTCCATTATAGTAGTGCCAATGAAGATACAAAAGTAGGGGTGAAAGTTGAAAATCTAATTATTTTGTCTTTGTAGCCGATAATTACCGGCCGTATTTGACATCCTTTCAGGGAAATGCTTTTACGGACTATATAAATGCGGTGTTTGTGGATGTAAGAAATAGATTGTCTCGAATTTATAGGTGTTTTTTGCCATGATTTCTTCCCAGACTAATGATTTTTCTTCAAATATGTGTGTGCTTTCGCTCACGAAATCAATTTTCTTTTCCCCTTTTTTATATATGTTGCAACACTTCCCAAGCAGTGCAATTAGAAAAAAATCCGTCTGTATGTGTGTGTGCAAAAGATGAGAAAGGAGAAGTCAAGAATTTGTGTAATTCCAGAACAGTGGCTTTCTTAATGTGTTTTTCAATGTTAACTCGAGAAAGTGTATAATTGCGTATTTTTATCCTGTGCTTTTTCCTTCTTCTCTCTTCAAGGGATACACAAAGCCGAGGGAATATATTGTGACTGAGTGGCCAGTGATTAAGACACTGGGAGAGTTTTGGTCTCTTGTCTATGATCACGAGTGCGCCGCTGTTGTTGTCACTTGCAGTCCGCCGCCGAATTCGCAGCAGTATCCGGCGTTCTGGCCAGACAAGAGGAAGCAATCCATCAAATACGGCCCAGTGTTCACGATCACGTGCAAGGCGAGCAAGCAGTACAGCAACATCAAGACGTGGGAATACGTGATCAACAAGAAGATCGTCTCGCTCACCGAGCTGATGGCGGGCGTGAAGGCGCCGGCGAAGTGCTGCAAACTTTTTCAGCTCCTGTGCTGGCCAATGGGCCACAAGGTGCCGACGTCCACGAACAGTCTCGTGGAGCTGATGAATATGGTGGAACAGTGGCGCGCGAAGATGGACAACGGCCCAGTTTGTGTTGTCTCACCGTGAGTCTCACGATTGAGGGTGTCTGCCTATCGCTAATTCTCACCCTTTTCAGTGACGGACGAAGCCGAGCTGGTGTTTATTGCGCCGCCAATGCGTGCATCGAGCAAGTGATTCAGCATGGAGAAGTGGACATCTTTCAGGCTGTCAAGACTGTGAGGAGAAATCGTCCGCAGTTGGTTGAGAACATTGTGAGTTACTCATTTCACTGAACGTTGTCCATCTCTCTGACAAATCTCTCTTTATATTTTCTGCAGACTGAATACAAATATGGCTATGATTTGGTTCTTCACTACGTGCTGCACTATTTAGACAAGGACATGAAGGAAAAGGACAAGGACAAGGAGAAGGAAAAGAATACAGGGCAAAACTAAACGCCTCTTACTATTGTATTTCATCCCAAGTAACTATTTTCTGTTCTTTTTCTGTACCGAACTTGCATAGGGAAATTGTGAGAATTTTTAGAGGATTTATTAAGAGGAAATATTTGTCGTCCAGAGATATTTGTTATGAACCTATACACCATATTTAATTACAAGAGTATATTGGAGGAAACTTGGAAGAAAATGTTTAATGTACAAGAATATATTTATGGGAAATAATTGTTCGTTGATGTAGTAAATATATTAATTGTTTCATATAATGGAAACTCTACGATTTGTTTCAATTCTGTTTATTTTTTTTTTAATTCGGCTGGACAGGAAGACCTCTGTGAATCCGATTGATGTGTTTGTAAATAGTAGTCTTTCTGAAAAATTTACTGCAATTTTAGGCAGCTAAATCAGCCTAAAATGAATCACTTTATGGATTTCCAAAATGTATTTCTTTATGAAACGTTTTCCGCAAAATTCGCAAGCAAATGGTTTTTTCACGCTGTGAGTGATCATATGACGTTTCAGCGAATTCTTGCTTGAAAGTTTGCAATCACAAATCTCACAGTCGAATTCACCATTATGAAACGCCAAATGTATCTTGTGCAAATGCCAAGTCTCGGAAATCTGTCCGCAAACACTGCAGAAGAATGCAGTCAATCTTTTCACACTTCGGCAGGTACGATTTATGTGATTTTCTAGTGCTGCAGAATTCTTATACATCTTCTTGCAATGTGGACATGCTCGAGGCTTTTCAACATGAATTCTTATGTGTCGGATAATTGTTTTCTTATCCTTGAACTTCTTCGAACAAAATGCACACTCGAAGTTTCTCTCATCGGAGTGACAAATCATGTGTCTCTTCAGATCCGTATTCCGCTTGAAGACCTTCTTACAAATTGCACATTTGATGGAAATTTTCTCACTTTTCCTCTTGTTGTGCTGTTTATCCTCTCCGGAAACCTCTTCATCGATTATTCTGCTGAACAAAAGAAACATTAGCCAAGGAAAACGCGTGTTTCTTTGCCATCCCACTTCACGACTTCAGGCGAAAACGGCTCTTCAATGACGGTTTCTTCCTTCACAAATTCACTGCACAGAAACTCCTCGTGATCATCAAAATCGTCCTTTTCTTCTTTAACGTTCATTCTGCTGTTTTTCTGCTCACTCTTTGCCTTATTCGATCAGACATTTGTCGACTGACTCTGTAGTAAAGTAGGATTCGACAGAATTTACCGCTTTACGGAAAGTGCAGCATCAGTCAATAATGATCGTGTGCGACAAATTTTTACACACTATCGTAATTTCCGTACGAGTTTTTATACAAAAGCAATGTTTGAAATGGAATTTGAAATCTTACTTATGCCTTGTATTCTGGTAGGTATTTTAAAAATTGAATTTAATTGATTGAACTTGAACCCTTAGTTTTCGTGTTTACGAGTCTTCGTTGAGAGTATGATTTTCGTTAAACGATGCATCAATAATAGCAGTGATCATTCATTCTATCGATTGGGTACATCATCATGATCAGCATTGGTTGGAAAAGCAAGAGGAAATATCCGATCGCGATGTTTGAAAACCGCGCCAGAGATCGTCTCGGCTGAGCTGTTGGCAGGTTTGAGCGGATCTTCGGGCTCCACCCGAGAAGAGGCGCTGCCTGCGCCACTTTTCTGCCAGTCCGCCAGAGACGCTGGCTCAGTTGAAAGCGTGAGGTTGAGAGAGAGGTTGTTGCGTATGTCGCTCCGTGTTGTTGTTTTAATTCATGTCCGAATTGTGAACCGTATCGGTGAAATATCAGTGCTGAATGTTCCACAAATTGCGCACATCCTGCGAAAACGCCGTTGACAGTGCTGGTGGCGAGAGAAGCGATTCTGGATGCAACGGACTCGGATAGGAAATGTGTGTAGTGAACCTTAGTTGAGAGCCAAGAGAAAAACACGCTGGGTGGTCTTTCCTATACTTATGTATATACACGTCTCTATATATACCAGCGCACATATGTATTGCTTTCATCTCTCTTCTTATGCTTATGCGGAATGAAAGAAAAAATAGATAACCACACGTGGGAGTGCTTATAGTGAAAAATTCAAGTGAATTCAGTGCCTTCGAGCGTTTGAGGGGCGCGGAGCGCTGCCAAGGATTGGGCAGAGGATCAGGACTTCTCTCGGTAGGTTTTCCCCTGAAAATCCATTTTCCGCCCCCGGCGACCACCCTGCACGGGGGGGCTGGATGGGGGTGTGGGAGGGGGGGCCGAGGGATCGGCAAATTGACTAATTATGCTAAGGAGAGCATTGTGGGATCCGTCGGGCGAGCGAGAGAGAGAGAGAGGGAGAGCGAGAACAAATGTAAAGCATCCGCTGTTGCGTATGTGTTTTCTGTGTTGCGAGCGAGAAAAAATAACAACAAAATTCCCTTCTTTTCATCAACATATCTCTTTTTTCTCTCCCTCCTTCCTATTCTTCCAGGTATTCCATCTCCTAACACCATTATATCGTAATAATGGTGTTAGACGACTGAAAAGAGGTGGGAGAGCAGCGCGAGAGAGCGAGAGAGAGAGAGAGAGAGACTTTCTAAGATATCACAGAGCCTGAGAACACACGCACAGAGATGCACGAACTTCCTCGTGTTCCGGACTCCCACGGGGATCGCATCGACGAGAAGCTCTTCTCAGATCTGTACGTGAGGACGAGCTGGGTGGACGCGGCCACGGCGTTCCAGCAGATTGAGAGCGTAAGGCGGCGTGCCCGTGAGAGGAGACCACCCACGATGGCGGCCCCTGGGGCCACACACTCACAGCTTTTTTGGTCTTTGTTGCAGGGCAAGGCGAGAGGACGTCGACTGGCTGTGTACATTAGATCTGTGCTGCAGTTCCACCTCTACTCGCTGGGATGCTACCTCCAGAAGCACGCCGGGAAGGTCATCTTCGTGGCCATCCTCGTGCTCAGCTCCTTCTGCGTGGGGCTCAAGAGCGCAACCATCCATTCCAAAGTGCAACAGCTGTGGATTCAAGGTAGTCGCAATTCGATGAACCACGCGAATATTTTCAATAATTGATCACAAGAATTTGGTCAGCAAGAGGTTTTTTTTCTTTAGCGAAAATCAATTAAAAAGCTAGATAAATTCGCAATTTTCAATGTCTTTAAGGTATTTTATTTAAATTATTAAAATTCAGCATCAACATCTTTCCAAAGAACACACACTTTAATTAGGTTTTAGATGCACATTGGAATCGTAAAAATTTTAAAGATCAGAATTCAAATATAAAAACAAACATAAGTCAGTTGTAATTTATCTGAGATTAATGATATTCATCTCGTTAAAAAAATGATCAAACGTCTCTCTGATCTGCTCCTGAACAGATGGAGGACGTCTGGAGGAGGAGCTCAAGTACACGCTAAAGTCACTCGGCGAGACGGGCTCTTCGACGCATCAGCTCGTGATTCAGGTGTCCAAGGAGCCGAACGCGTCGATTCTGCACACGCACGCGCTCATGATACACCTGGAGGTGCTGAGGCGAGCCACTGCGGTGACCGTGCACATGTTCGACACGACTTGGGGCCTCAAGGATATGTGCTACTCAATGAACGCCCCGAACTTCGACGTCCACCTCATCGAGCAGATCTTCGACAACATCATCCCTTGTGCCATAATCACGCCGCTGGATTGCTTCTGGGAGGGCAGTAAGCTGCTGGGGCCTGAATTTCCCGTTCACATACCGTAAGTTTCTTTTTTTCACTGTGCAATTAGGGGAAAACGGGGCAGACTTGTAACTGCCTTATGTTCCACTTGTGTCTTTGCTTTAAGTTTCCGATGAATTAAGAAAATATGTTGGCAGAGTAATAATTTATCTATATTTCCTATCAAAATTCAATTAAATTTTTTGTATGCAATTTCGGAATTCATTTATGAAAGATTTTATTTTGCAGAGGTTTGGCCAAGAAACTTCAGTGGAGCTCCTTGAATCCCCAGCATTTGCTGCGGAACATGGAGGCTCTCAACTACCATTTCCCAGCGAAGACGATTGAGAAGTATCTGAAGGGCGCAGGAATAACCACGGGTTACACGGAGAAGCCGTGCTTGGACGTTCGAGATCCTCTGTGTCCAGAAACGGCGCGCAACAGAAACTCCACTCAGGTAAGTTCACTGTGATCTGTTGCATGGAATCCGCTCATGTCCTCTCTGCCTTTCAGTCGCTGGACATTGGCGCCGAACTGACCGGTGGATGCTACGGCTATGCGGCAAAGTACATGCACTGGCCAGAGACGCTGATCACTGGCGGCGGCGAGCGCAACAAAACGGGCCATCTGAAGAAGGTCACAGCTCTGCAGTCGGTGGTTCAGCTGATGGGCGAGCGCGAGATGTACGAGTACTGGAACAATCACTACAAGGTGCATCACGTGAGCTGGAGTCAGGAGAAGGCCACTGCGGTGCTGACTGCCTGGCAGAAGAAATTCTCAGTTGAGGTGAGCGGCAACAGACTTGCAATCCTGTTGGCGAATGTGCAAAAACTCCGTGTTGTTTCCTTCCAGGTGAGCAAAATCGTGAAAATGGATGAATTGACGACGTCATACAACATGTTCGCCTTCTCGTCGGCCTCTCTGGATGAGGTGCTGAAGAAGTACTCAAATCCCAGTCCCATGGGACTGACAATTGGGATGGTGACTATCGTCGTGTACGCGGGAATTGTGCTGTCGAATTTCCAAAATCCCGTCCGGAGCCAAATGGGCCTCGGAATAGCCGGAGTTCTGCTGATGGGAGTTTCGACAGCGGCCGGCTTGGGCTTCTGTGCACTCCTTGGGATTTCCTTCAATGCCGCCACGACGCAAGTTGTGCCCTTCTTGGCGCTGGGATTGAGTGTGGATCACCTGTTTCTCCTGTCGCATGAATACTCGAAGCAGAGCAACGAGGAGCAAACGGCGGCGATCTTGAAGAAAGTGGGACTGAGTGTGTTTGTGAGTGCAGCTTGCACAACTGGTTCCTTTCTCGCCGCCGTCCTGATTCCCGTGCCAGCACTGCGTCTGTTCTGCCTGCAAGCCGCCATCCTGCTCACCTTCAACCTCACCACAGTCGTGATTGTCTTCCCGGCGCTCATCTCTCTCGACATGCGTCGCCGGCGCGCCAACCGCATCGATCTGCTGTGCTGCTGTCTGCCGCCGATGCCCGAGAAGACGCTGAAGCAGCACAACAAGGCGATGGCCATGAACTCGGACATCAATTCGGAGTGCTCCTTCGGGAACTTCCTGCGCTTCTCCCTGGGCGAGTTCATCGAGAAGTGCTACGTGCCGTTCCTCATGAAGCGCATTGTGAAGAGCTGCGGCATGACTGTGTTTGCCATAGCGCTGGCTTTTGGCCTGTACGGCACTCTGAAGCTGCAAGACGGACTCGAGCTCACCGATTTGGTGCCCAAGAACTCCGAGGAGCACAGATTTCTGCACGCGCAGGAGAAGCTTTTCGGCTTCTATTCCATGTTCGCCGTGACGCAAGGGGACTTCGAGTATCCGATGAATCAAAAGCTGCTGTATGAATACCACGAGGCCTTCGTCAGGGTGTCGCACGTGAAGAAGAATGACAACGGAGGCTTGCCCAATTTCTGGCTCGGCCTCTTCCGCGACTGGCTGCTGGATCTGCAGAAGGCGTTCGACAAAGACTACGCCCAGGGCAAGATTACGCAAGAAAGGTGGTTTGCCAATGCTTCGGATGACGCTATTCTGGCATACAAGCTTCTCGTGCAAACCGGGCACGTGGACAATCCGATCGACAAGAGCCTGACGACGCAGAATCGCTTGGTGGATCACGAGGGAATCATCAATCCGAAGGCCTTCTACAACTATCTGTCCGCCTGGGCGTGGAATGACATCTTAGCCTATGGAGCATCACAGGTGAGGGAATCTGCACTTTTCCACGCCACGTTCCTCTTACAAAAATTGTCCGTTTTCTCTGCAGGGCAACCTTCGGCCGGAGCCTCGCGAATGGTATCACTCACCCAGTGATTTTGAACTCAAGATCCCAAAAAGTGCGCCTCTGACTTACACGCAGTTGCCCTTTTTCCTACACGGATTGCACGACACGACGGAAATCAAGGCGACAATCATGCAAATCCGCGAGATTTGTGAGAAATTTGAAGCTCGCGGCCTTCCAAACTACCCATCAGGTGAGTCACTTGGCGTTTCTAGGATGATTTCCTGATTTATTAATCCCTGTTGTTCATTTCCAGGAATTCCCTTCACTTTCTGGGAGCAGTACATGAATCTGCGTGAGAACTTGACTCTGGCTCTGGGCGCAGCTCTGGGAATGACGTTCATTCTCGTGGCTATTGCGCTCCTGTCGCTCTGGGGAGCTTTTCTCATCGTCTTCTGCGTCGTAGCGACTCTCGTCCAGCTCCTCGGCATGATGACGCTGCTCGACATCAAGCTCTCCGCAATTCCGGCCATCATTCTCGTCCTCAGCATTGGCCTCAGTGTGTGTTTCACGATTCACATATCACTGGTGAGTTTTCTCGGCGCTGCTGAGGGAGTTTGCAGAGTCCTCTGATTGTGCATGTCTTGCAGGCGTTCATAACTGCGGTCGGGGGGAAAGATCGACGCGTGCGGATTGCGCTGGAGTACGCTCTGACGCCGGTGATTCACGGCATCGTGACGACGACTCTGGCCGTCGTGATGCTGTCCACGTCGCCCATCGAGTTCATCGTGCGGCACTTCTTCCTGCTGCTGCTGTCCGCCGTGTTCATCGGGGCGGTGAACAGCCTGTTCTTCTTCCCCATCCTGCTGAACTTGATCGGGCCGGCGGCGGAGATTGTGCCACTGGCGAATCCCAATCGCATCTCCACGCCGTCGCCGCGGCCGTGCCGCCGCATCCGCAAGAGCAGCAAAGTAGTGACTATGAAGGAGAGGAATCCGCTGAGGGACGGCTCCGGTCCGTCGGCCAGGCAAGCGAGGGGCGTGGCTGCCATGGAGAAGGAGCCCTCGCTCACGACCATCACGGAGGAGCCGCACTCGTGGCAGAGCTCGGCGTCGTCGGCGCACGAAGTCACGCCCGGAGTGCGCAACATTACCCTGCAACCCGAAGTTACCGTGCAGCAAGAGGCGCAGGAGGGCAAAGTACAAACTGTCACGATACGGTCGTCGCTCAAGTCGCAGAGTCTCGATCTGGAGACCATCCAGCTGATATCCCTGACCGACAAGGCGGAGAGCAGGAATCACGCCACGCCGTCCGTCGTGAAGACAGAGGTGGAGCTCGTGACGCCCAGATGTTGCCCGGCATCCGGAAACAGTAGTTAGCGCATAATTTTATCTGCCCTTTCTTAACATTAATAGAGGTAATATTAATTAATGATTGAGTATAATCTGCAATTGTTCGTCCGCAAGAACAAGATCCGGAATGCTCGCGGACGAAAGCACACATTTTTTATTTATTTTATATACTTTTGTAATAAAGTCATAGGTTGAAGATGATGCCGATGCCTTTCCTTACTGTCTCCCGGGCAGTCTCCGTCAGCCTGCAAGACAGAAATTGCGTAATTTCAATGATTCACACAGTCGTGAATTGAGTGACAATGTACAGATCATCACAGTCAGCGATGCAATAATTGGCAAAGTGAACAATCTTTCTGATCCGATTACTTTTGCAACATATCGTGCTGGCTAAAATATGATTCTTTATTTTGTCAGCTGGCTTATGATGTTGCTATTAAAATTCTTGGGCAGTTTTACTTACTTTTCTCCTTCTTCATTTCTCTTCTGAGAACCTGAAAATCAGCCGCTGATTTGTCCATATCAGTTCCTTTGGAGCTTCATCAGCTTCAACCAGGATCTTCAAACTGCAAGTCGCGCAGAAGAACAGAAATCTGAAAAGAGATTTTCTGTGAATTTCCGGGGCTCGAAATATCCAAGGCAATATCAACACGTGTTATTGTAAGGTTAACTTCTTACCTTGCGTCCAAAGATCTGCACGGCCTTAAAGGGCTCCTTTTTCTGCAAAAATCAAATCACACATTAATCAATAGATCTTAATACCCAATCTGCACAGTCTTTTTACCTTCTGCATCTTGTTATTTTCTGGAAATATACGAAAATACGTGATCACGATCTCCACTATGGAAAGCTGCACGCTGAACTGATGGTATTATTAGGATTCCAATATTTCAGAAGTTCACCATCCATGAAATTTCAATTTTTCAGCGGTGGCTTTTTAAATTTCAGCTTTCATGGTGGTGAATTGTGACTTGGCGTCAGACATTCACAAGACAATCGATGAGTTTTCTTATTGGGATATTTGCATACCTGTCATAACAAGGGCGTTGTTTATAATTCTTTGCATCTCCCCCAAAATACCCCGAGAAAATGCATTTTCCCACATTCCTCACAATTCTCCTGTCGCTGGCGACATTCCACAAAGGTGAGAGAGTGACATTTTGATATGGGATGTGTGGTTAAAGGACTTTTTTTCTAGCCGCTGCGATTTGGTGCTATCGCTGCACTTCGGCCACGCCAGGATGCGGTCTGTACGACTTCAACTGGCGAGGAATCGGCTTCCTGGGCGAGCAGTGTCCGGAGGACGATGACATCTGCATGAAGGTGATCGAGAAGAAGGGCGCCAGCGAGACTGTGATCCGCGACTGCTACAGTTCGCTGCGCAGCTATCGCACGGACATCCCGGCGGACAGGTACGAAGGCTGCCGCACGGCGTCCAAAGACGTCCACCTGGCGAACTACGTGAACAACAGCATCAGGGAGCTGGACGTGCAGCGAGACCACTTCGACAGCACCACCTTCTGCTTCTGCTTCCTGGACCACAGATGCAACTTTGCGCCCGCACTGAGTCTGTCCGCCGTGGCATTCGTGGGAGGCATTTTCGTGAGTCTGTGTCTTTTATTTAGTCACGTGTAAGTCCACAAATTCCCTCAGTGGCCAACGCCTTGTATTTGATAGTGTAGAAACTCATCCGTCCATATCGAATGTATTAATTTTTATATGAATAAAGAGCGATTAGCTGACCAAGTAATGAAGAAAGTTTTATGTGCGCTCAGTACGCGAACCGTAGATTTTGATCATAGCCCAGCTTGTCCAAGTTAGGGATGCACGCATAAGTGATCATTGGCGGTGGTCCGCACATGAGGACGATTGTCGAGTCAGACGGCGGCAGAAGATGATCCCTGATCATCTCATCACTGATGAAGCCCTTGCTGTACTGCCAATCTGCGCAGAGGAGATAATCATCATTCAGACTGTGGAAGCAGTGCGAATAAGGGTCAGAAACTCACCAGCTGGAGTGGAATCCAGTGTGTACCAGACCTTGAACTGGTCAGGATGCTTAGAGGAAAAGAGCTCCAGTTCGTTCCTCAGCAGAATGTCATTCTCCGTCTGATTGGCAAAAAGCAGGGCAATCTCCGTCTTATCCGTGCCACTCTTCAGGATGTGCCTGACCAGCTGCAGCATCGGCGTGATTCCCGTTCCTCCTGCAATCATGTTCACCTTCGTCGCTTGCACATTCACTGGAGGATCCTTTCGGATCTTCTTCACGCTGAACACACCATTGTTCTGATACTGAAGCTTTCCCGAGGGTCCCCTGAAGGCGATTGTGTCGCCAATATTCAGGGCGTCCAAGTACTGTGACATCTTCCCACCGTTCGGGAACTTGGGATGTGTGTTCCTTTTGTACACCTTAATCACGAGATCCACAAATCCGCAGTCATCATCGCTGGACACTGGCGTGTACGCGCGGATCACCAACTCGTCACTGATGTTGGCAGAGAGATTGATGTGCTGACCAACGGGCAAGCCCAGGACGTGCTGCTTTGATGGCAAGCCAAAGCGGAAGCGCCTCGTGTCATGGCTAATGACTTCCTTCTCGATCAGCGGCAGCAAGTACTTCTCATTGGGATCCAGAAGAGTCTTCAATTTTGCTGGCTTGCCGCTCTTGCTCTTCGTTGCACTCTGGCCAGAGCTCTTGAACCAGAACTTGTAGATTATTATCCCAGAAATCACAGCCGTGATCCCGACGATTACCGGAAGGCACTGAAAAGACGAGAGCACACAAATCACTGCATTTTCAGCTACTCAAGGACCGCAAGGCATCAAAAAAACTCACATCGCAACCCATGACTGTTTTGGAAATGAGCTTGAACAATGAATTTCGGAATTATGTAATGCCGAGAAGTGAAATCTTTCCAAGGTCAAAAATCGTCTATGACTGGAGAAGACTCTCACACTTCCCCGTGATTCGGCGAGATAACATAAATCGTATTTATACTCACACGCAGTGCTATATCATCTCTCATTTTTTGTGCTTGCTTTCCCTACAAATGCGGTTCCACGTATGGAAGAGCCTAGAAGATCCAGAGAGATGCTAGAAAGACATGATGAAGGTGTCGTTAAGATGTGAACATTTCGTATGGGGTGTCGATAAGTTGGCCGACAAACTGTCAAATTGAGAGCCTTGCGTGTTTACCATGGCTTTTGCGGTGAAATTTGCAAAAACTGTGCGAAATCACTGGAAGAAGTCATTATTTGCCGCTGCCCTGGTCACTTATGGAGCATCTTACGCCAATGACACCATCAAGTAAGGCAATCAATCGGGAAAACAGACATTCTTAGCATAACCTCACTCTCCTGACCACCAGAATCAACAGCCTGATGAGGCAATATTGCCTGGAAGCGTCAGCTTCCGGAGACATTGCGATGCCGATGACACGTCCTCTGAAAGAAGTGCTCGTCCTGCTAAATCCGGCCGCCAATAGACGCTCGGCTGAGGAGACGTTCAAGAAATACTGCGAACCAATTCTCCATTCAGCCGGATTTCTGGTCAACATCGTCAAAACAGACTCCGAGGGACACGCTCGGCGGTACATTGAAGCCCTGACACAATACCCCAATGCAATAGTGGTGGCAGGAGGCGACGGGACACTCTCGGAAGTCATCACGGGCGTCATGAGGAACACGGGCAGCAACGAAGGCACTCCAATTGGGATTCTTCCTCTTGGGCGAACCAATGCTTCCTGCACTCAAGTCCACAAACTGAATCGCGTGGAAAAGGCTCGTGAACTGGCAGAGGCTGCAATATCTGTGGTTCGGGGAAATGTATCCAAAAGACACGTGATGAAGATCGAGGTTGTGGCTCCCGATGAGGAGGAGCATCGCCGACCCGTCTTTGCGGTTGGCTCTTTCCAATGGGGCGCCTTCAGAGACATCCTAAGTCTGCGAGACCAATACTGGTATGTTGGTCCACTGCGAGAGTATCTCGCTTTCCTCGTGAATGCCTTCAGTGCGAAGCCGACGTGGGAATGCGAAGCTCATATGAAATACACGCCGCCGTGTCCAGGATGTCTCAATTGCAGGACAGAGACGAAGAGAGTCCTCGCGCAGAAGGATAAATGGTGGAGTAGATTCATTCCTCGAAGCACTGTCAGCGCTTCTCCTGCAACAGGAGATGATTTTGCAAAGATCATCAACGAATCGTGCACCAAAGAGTACACAATTGATGGAAATCATTCTGAAGTCATCATAGAGACTTCCGAACCAATGACAGCAGGAAGTCTGCAAATTAAACTATCAGAATTGGAGAATTCATCATTCTCCTTCATATACAACAGCTGGAAGCGCGTGCAGAGCAATCCATCAGCCTCCACTGCACAGAGAGCGTCAATCGACGCGAGAACCGTTGAGATTCTGCCAGAGAAGAAGGAATCCGCCAAGGAAAAGTACTATTCAATCGACAATGAGGAGTATGACGTGAAACCGATAAAAATTACGCTTCTTAAGCACGCAATTAACATGTTTATGCCTCAAGCTTCATAAGAATAAAGATCAAATTCCTGTTTGCCCCTCCACATACTTGTCATCTGAGATCCACTTCATGATTCCCAGAGACGTCTCACGATCACACCACAGAAGCGAGAGCAGGAAGGCCTCGAGCAGTCCCAGAACAGCGCCAGCCAGAACGTCCAGGATGTGATGCCTGTACATGAGGAGGCGCGAGAAGCACACAGCCGTCGCCCAGGCAACGAGCGGTGGCCAGAAGATCATTGGCAGGGGAGAAAGCAGCGTAAAGAACGCAGCCATGAAAACTGCCCGCGAAGCGTGTCCGGAGGGGAAGCTGAACTTGTCCGGTCCAATGCTGAACGGATCATCGTTGAAGCTCGGACGGTGTCTCCTTGTGGCAGCTTTGATGCACGCGATGATCACAATATCAAGCAGAAGACCGATCAGCAGATTTATCTGCATCTCATAAAGCTCCGGATCGTCGATCATCCATGTCAGGATGAACCAAAGAACCAGAATGATGATTCCATGGCATGAGATCTGCAGAAAGAGCAACAATTTGCACTGACTTCTCGCAAAAGTTCATTAATCATTACCTCAAGGAAACGGCCGTGATTCTTCACGGATCGCACGCTGACAAAATTAAGCATAAAACTGCAAATAAACAAAGTGTGAAGTTTCTTGCCATTATTTCATCTTTCCTTTCTAACCTCACGAAGCGCTTTGTCAGCTCAACATCCCAGGCGAGAATCTTCTTGAGATAGGGTGGCAATTGTCGCTTGTCTTCCTTCTGGAGATCTTCATTTTTCTAGAGAAAGATGATGGTGCAATGAGTGATCTGTTGATATTTGCATATCTCTTATCGATAATAAATTATTGCGGATTTACCTTCTCAGACATTTTCACCTGATGATAACACACACAAAGAGGCTCTACTTTCACTTGCTAAATACTTTTTACTATGACAAAAACTATATTTAATGGGATTTTAGTTTGCAAAACACCACAAAATAGCGAAATTCATCTGACGAGTGCAAAAGTTGAATGTGAGATAAATGCCCAATAAAGAAGTCGATGATGTTTTGGAAGACAGTCGGTTGATTGCAGCGAAAAGTCGTATCTGTAATCCTCGCGAAATTACTTTATGCAAAATATTCTGTTTCGAGATTCCGGAACGATATTTCTACAAAATGTTAACCAAGCAAAAAAATAAAATATACCGTAGAAATTGAACATATTCAGAACACAAAGAGTGAAAAGTTTGTAACTAAGAATATAATAAAATCATGACTTAAGAATTACGAATAATCCGATTGAATTGATTGAATAGAATACACGAATAACGATCGTGAATTCCGATCTTGCATAACCCCTTGGCGATCTTATCCAGGATTTTTACGCAATCTTCGCAGGGTTGGATAACAATTGTTGTCAACTGACCCAAAGTATGGGGAATCGAGCAAATTTTAAGATACAATCAAAGTGAGAAATCCAAGATGTTGCATCGCTTTTGCCAGGTGAAACCACTGCTCTCTTGCGGTGCTGCATCACAGAGACTTGTCTCAGCAAGATGCTTCTCGTCGGCACGCAAATGCAAGGTTCTTGTCGTCGGCGGCGGTTCTGGAGGTTGTTCCGTGTCGGCGAAGTTATCATCAAAACTGGGCCCGGGAAAAGTCGTGATTCTCGATCCGGCTGAGGTGAGAATATGAGAATTTTACCTGGACTACTTTACAGTACATATTTGGCATTTCAGAGTCACTACTATCAGCCGATGTTCACTCTCATCGGCGGCGGCATGAAGAAGCTCGAGGATTCCGTCACGCCCATGAAGGAGACTCTGCCGTCTCTGGCCACTTGGGTGCAGGACAGCGTGATGCAGTTCGAGCCGGAAGCCAACACTGTTATCACGAAGAAGGGCGACAGGATCGAGTACGAAGAGATGGTGATTGCGGTCGGCTTGGAATTGCGATACGACAAAGTGCCTGGTCTTGTGGAAGCTTTGGCAATTCCTGGCGGAAAAGTCTGCTCAAATTACTCCCCCAAGTATGTCAACCGAACCCTGGAGGCGCTAAACAATTTCCAGCAAGGCAATGCCATCTTTACTTTCCCAAATTCACCCGTTAAGTGCCCAGGAGCGCCCCAGAAAGCCGCCTATCTCGCTGAGCACTACTTGCGGAGGGCCAAGAAGCGGAAAGACGCCCGTATTATCTACAACACCGCGCTTCCGGTGATCTTTGGTGTGAAACACTACGCCGACGCGCTGTGGAAGGTGGCGAAGAAGCGAGAAGTCACCGTGAATCTCCGGATGAACCTCAAGCAAGTGTTCCCGGAGAGAAATCAGGCTGTTTTTGAGAATCTCGACAAACCCGGCGAGGAAAGCACGATGGACGTAAGTCAATGCATCGCCAATACGATAAAGTATACTTACATAAATCCCCTTTTCAGTACTCACTGCTTCACGTGACGCCGCCAATGGCCACTCCAGATGTCCTGCTGTCCTGTCCGGGACTCACAAACGCCGCCGGTTTTGTGGACGTGAACAAGCACACGCTTCAGCACGTGAAGTACCCAAACATATTCGCCATAGGCGATTGCTCCTCCACGCCGAACTCCAAGACGGCCGCCTCGGTTGCCGCCCAGGCGCCTGTCGTGTACAGAAATCTTCTGGCAGTGATGGAGGGAAATCCGCCCAGTGCCTCATACAATGGCTACGCCTCCTGTCCCCTCGTGACCGGCTATAACTCGTGCATCCTCGCGGAATTCGACTACGATTTGCAACCCCTCGAGACATTCCCGATTCCGCAGGACAAAGAGCGCTACAGCATGTTGCTGCTGAAGAAGCACTTCATGCCCTTCCTCTACTGGCAATTCATGCTCAACGGCATGTGGAATGGGCCGGCGATTGTGAAGACGCTGCTTGACGTGCTCCGAAAAGAGAAGACAATTCAGTAGGTTCTGTGTATTCTTGCAAAGAAATACAGACGAATGCGCAGAGTGTTAACGGTAGGATTTCTGGTAGCGTGCGCGAGCTCCTGGACCACCGAACTTCTTGGGTTCACAGCGTCGGGGATCAGCCACGAGGAGAGTTCGGTCGTACTGAATGAGGATGTCCTTCAGTTCCTTCTTCGAGGCTTCATCGACGTCTGAAAGTACACACAAAATTACCCTCATTATTCATTCGCCTTCCCTGAATATTGCAGGCTTTTCTTACATTTCTGGTAGAACGCAACCAGAGCCTTTGAAATGGCCTGTCGGATGGCATAAATCTGCGCCACATGACCACCTCCCTTCACTCTCACACGGATGTCTACTCCGGCGAACTTCTCCTTGCCCAGCAGAAGAAGGGGCTCCTGCAGCTTGTACTGCAGAACCTTGGGCTCAATTGTGTCCAGCGGCCGTCCGTTCACCTTCAGCAGACCACGGCCGCGCTTGCAGTAAGCCACAGCGGTGGCGGTTTTCTGGAAAAGGCAGATTCTCCGTGAATTCTGGGGCTCCTGACGGCACGTGTTGTCAATTTGAGGTTAACTTCTTACCTTGCGTCCGAAGACCTGCACGGCCTGGATGGGCTCCTTTTTCTGCAAAAAACCAATCACACATCAATCAACAGATCTTCACAACCAGTCTGCACAGTATTTCTACCTTCTGCATCTTGTTATTTTCTGGAAATATGTGAAAATACGTGGACGCGATCTCGCTCGAACAACTGCGGTTGTCAAAAAGAAAGAATCATGGCGTCCGTGACGTCACGTAATCATGGCCGCAGTCCGGAAGTCCGAAAATGCGATGAAAAAGTTCGATGTTTCCTGGGATGGGAAAATAATGAAAATGGGAATGTGTTAAAATGATTTTTTTATTTCAGAATATTGAGCGTCATTATAACATAAAAATTCACACTGAAACTCGCTGAAGTCTAAAAATCCAACCGAATCATGGGACTGAAGGAGAACTTTTCAGGGTGGAAAAATGGCGCCAAATTTTTACCTCTTGATGCCCTCTCGCGGGATTTGACGAAGACATCGTGAACCCTAATTTTGCTGTCAATTTGTCAGTGCACTTTCGGCGGTCTGCGATGGCGTCCTCCAGTCGTGAACAGAGTCAAGAAGAAATCGACAGAGCCAAGGAGCTACTGAGCAGCGGCACAAGGAATTACTATGTGAAGGACTACGATCATGCCGTGGAGGATTTGAGCCAAGTGTGCACTCTGTATTCGGACGTTTATGGCACAACGGCGGACGAATTGGGGGCCCCGTATTTGCTGTACGCGAAGGCGCTGATCGCCTTGGCACAGAACGAGGTGAAACTCATTGATATCCCTGAGGGTGAGGATTCGGAGGACTCCGAGTCCGAGTCGTGCGGCGAGGGTGAGGAGCCCAAGGCGCCTGAGGCAAAGACTGAGGAGGAAGCGGAGGCTGGCAAAGCGCCCGAAGCGGGTGGCAGCAAGAAGGAGTTCGAGGATGATGACGACGACGAGGAGGAGCAGACCACGAATCCCGAGTCCACGGAAGAGGATATCACAAACCTTCAGCTGGCGTGGGAGATCCTCGAGCTGGCGGTGACAATCTTCACGAGTCGCGGCAAGAACGGCGAGTCGCAATTGGCCGAGTGCCACGCAGAATTGGCGGGAATATCCTTTGAGAACAACAACTACGAGGAAGCCGTCCGGGACTTCACGAAGGCCATGGCAATCCTTGTGACGCTGCCGGAGCCCGATCAGCGTCACCTCGCGGAGCTCTACTACAAAATGGGGCTCTCTCACATGATGCTGAACAACTTCAATGATTCCATAGAAGCTCTGAACAAGGCATGTGAGTGTCTGGACAACGTGATTGCGAAGAACAAGGAGAAGGGCGTCCCGGGCGATGAGATCACGGAACTGATTGCGGAACTCGAGGACAGCAAGAAGGACATTTACTGCAAGATCGATGAGATCAAGGCGTCGAAGATGGCTGTTCTTGAGGATCTCACGAAAACCTGCGCAACGTCTCCGGACAAGAGCACTCCTGAGGCCAGCAAAAGTCCATCCAGTGCCAATCAGAAGCCCACAAACATCTCACACCTGATCAAGCGGAAGAAACCTGATGCAACTCCTTCAGAGGGCGGCAGTTCGGAGAGCAAAAAGCCTAAACTGGATTGAACTCCTGGAAATCTTTCACTTTCTACCGTGTCACTAATAAAAACATCTCCAAGACGATTTTGTTGTTTTTTTTCTGCTAAATCGCATGAAACGAGGCGAATTTTAGAAAAACAAGCACAGTTGTGCGGGATTAGATCCTCCATGTGAAACTCGTTGCATTTTCTCCTCAAAATCCAGCGTGCAATAAACATGATGAAATATATTTATAAAATCATCCCCAAATTTGGCCACTATAATTGAATTTTCGCAGGCTTCCAGAAGAACAAAAGATGCTCGGTTAAAAGGCCAATGAGTGTGACCGAAATACTGTCGGGAAATGCCGAGAGTATCTCTCTGTGAATGAGAGGATGGGCGATAAGACGCTCTCTTTCACTCGGATATCTCTATCGCGCGCACCACGGAATTAAAACTCGCATACACAAAATAGAGAGTCCACAGAGAGACAGTTTCAGTTTGCATCTTGTGCCTAACACACGAGCTCATCTCCAGAGTTTTCCCAGCGCGCTGTGAACTCCTTTGTCGGTGGTGGATTTATCAGAGGACAAGAAAAAAAGGATTACTTCAGGACTCAATCGATAGAGATATTATGTGGCGTCGTTTGATAATATTAGTCATTATCTTCACAATCTGTGTTCTGGGTAAAAAAGACATTGATCTCTGCCTCTCTTCTTGACTCCTCTCAATTTATAGCCATTGACCCTCGGCAATTGCCTCAATCATCGTCGCTCTTTGTGATCATTTCCCCTGTTTTTCATTCACTGCGTGTAACATTCTGTGTGTGTGCATCTTCTCTCTCACCCCAAAATGCAGCTTTCAGCGGCCTCGAGGCGTGTGAATTGGATCAGACGCAGTACGGATGTCGAATTGATAACCGCCAGTGCACTTGTGCCTACGGATGTCGCTCGGAGTTCCGCTACTTGACCCGGAAGGAGTGCCAGGACGCCCTGAAGGTACCTTTTGCAGTCCACCGCAACATGAGCAGCTCAACTAACGCATGCCAATGCCTTTGCAGGGACGCTCAGGTGATATTTGCAGCGCCAATAATCCCTGCCTCAACCGCGGCGCCTGCATTCAAGTGTCGCAAATGCCCGGCTACAAGTGTCGCTGCGAGGGCACCGGCTATTGGGGCAATCGATGTCAGCTCGCCTGCCCGGAAGCCCGGCACGCCAATTTCCCCTACGAGTGCATCGTGATCTGATTCAGCGACAGCGCACGACGATCGTCTCAACTTACACTTATTTATGAACAACAAGAAATAAATGATGATATTTTCAACGCCACAGCGTATCTTCATTCTCTTCTCCCTTTTTCCCCCCGCCCCCCCCTCGCAGAGAGGCTCCGACCATAGTTTTGTGATGGCGAGCAGCGCGCAATAAAAGGCCGCGCGCGCACTGATAAGAGACAACCAAATTGTAGCTTCTCTCCCGCACTAAAGATTTTTATATAAATATTCCACAGTACTTTATTTGTTCTTTGTAAGTTTATCATCTTAAATGTTTCATCTTTTTCTTTGTTTTCATTTTTTTTATATCATTTTCTGCCGTTTTAACTTGTATTACGATGCAATGCTTGAGTTCTTACAATTTTTTTCTTCTTCTTTTTTTCTTTCCTTCCACATGCATAGCATTTTAATGTTTTCTCTATTTATCAGAAGCATACTCTGCTCCACTTCTTATCATGTTTCTCTCCCTTATCATTCCTTTATAAACACATAAATTCAGTTTCAATCTATCGCATAATGTTGCATTTGTTATTCCTCACTTCATTTCACTCTCTTTTTTTCTGTTTGGTATCTTCCCTCCGTTTCGTCCACAATTCACTCCTTTTTCTTCTTCCAGTATAATAATGCAAGAAAAAAAAACATCAAAATAATTCACAAACAATTTCTTGGGTAAATTACTTTTCAATTTTTCACTTTCTTCTCATTACATCTCTCCTCATCATGTCTATAATTATACTTCTTTTTATTGTGTAAGGTAATTCATTTTTTTTTATTATGCTTTATCTGTTATGTATTTTGGTCAATTAATTAGAATTTTGTTTTTATCAAGTTCTTTTATCATATAGTTTTAAAGTTTTTTTTTGTATAGATTTTCTTCACTTTTTTTTCTTGTATATTTCTTTACAGTGTATATATAAATCCATAAAATTAAAAGTTCTTCATTTTCCCTTAGTTTTCGCTCTTTCACTTTTTTTTTAGTTTTGAAATGACAAAAATGTATTATAATTCTCGTTTTTTTTTCTTCTTCTTCTTCTTCTCAAGTGGCGTAGTTTTATCTTTGAATCATGTTGATATTATATATCTCCTAACAATTATATCAATCCTCACACTTTCTTCTCTCTATATGAATGCTTTTTTTTCTTCCTCATCTTCTGTGTTGATAATATTTTATAAGTATGCATGAAAATTATCAGAGAAATTTGTGGATGTTATTCCAAAAAAAAAACTTTGTGGGCAATTGTGTATGATTTCCTGGGTGTTCAGGTCAATAACTTCTCCTTGTTTCTAATTTGAAAATTGTCGTTCCGCTATGTGTGTGTGTGTGTTTAAGTAGTTTTAGGAAGTGGATTAAAATTACAAGTTGAATTCAATTTCTTTTTTTTTTCTTCAATCACTATCATGCTTTTTAAGTAGAACTTTTCCACTAATTATACTGAAATGCTGTGGTTTTGTCTTATTATTGATATTTCACCCTTGTAATTGATTCTCACATCTTTCCTTTCTGTCTTCTTTTCCCTTTTTTTATAGGCAAAGCAAAGATGAACTCATAATGACCCCACAAATTCAAATTGAAAACAAATTGTTGCCATTCCTTGTCTCCCCTCCAGTTCAATCAAAGCATCATTCCACAAATATTCCTGCATTTGGAAGAAAAAAACAAAAAAGAATACAACATTAATCCGCAATTCAGACAAAAATGCTAAAATCCATCTTTTTTACCTGCAATCCTCGGATTACGGTGATGAAGTGCAAATCCTTTGGTGCCATCTGGTCCCTTCGGTGGTCGAATAACCATGAGACGCGGAACACTCTCGTCCACCGAGTTGATCTTGAGCCGGGACAAAAGTCTCTCCGGACGGGCTTGAGTGTTGTCAATGACTTTCACGACATTGCAAGCGGAAGATTTTCCATTTCGCTGCAGAAATAAGACATTATTTCAACTGTTAATCTCACTGAGCTCAAGATATTTTTTTTTCCAACAACGAACTCACCTGATTAGTGACAATGGAAAACTCAACAGTGTCACCTTGATGGAGGCTATTGGAATTCCCTTGCACCTCTGACATGTGGAAGAAGAGCTTCTTGCCCTCCTCCACCTCAAAGTCCAAGAAGCCAAATTGTCCCTTGATGGAGTCCACATTGGCACGCTTCTTCTGTCTCACGGCAATCACCTGAAAGCCCAAAAAGCCATAGTTAAGTACATAAATCTCTCACTCGTTAGCACCACACAAAACAATTCTCATTCTCACCTCAGCTGCACGTCCTTTTGTGTCCAATTTGAAAGACACGGCATCGTTTTTCTGCAGCAAATCGCGCTTATTGACCAAGCTCGTGATGCCAAATTCATGTGTCGACACCACCTCACCCATGTCACTGATCAGAGTGATGAGGCCACAATACTCAGCTTGATCGGGATTGATGCACCTCAGTGGACGCGCCACCAGACCATTGTAGACTGCATCGAGCACTTTCGGCTGATTTATCGTGCCCTTCGCCACAATTTTCACATTCTCAGCTGGCAAGCAATTTCCACCACTCGGCGTGGAACCACGCGTCGACAAGCTATACTCCACTTCCTGGCCCAATTCCAAGTTGTTGGTGTTTCCATAGAAGTTGCTGAAGTGGAAAAACACCTCCTCATCGTGATCCAGAGTCTCAATGAAGCCAAAGTTCTCCTGCAAAACAACAGAGAGAGAGAGAAAAAATACGCTCATAATCCATTTTCTCATCTCAATTAAAAAAACAGATAGAATTGCACTTAAACTATACCTTGAGTACAGCAATGAATCCGTAAAAGATGACTGGTTTCACTCCATTCCCATTGTTGTTGTTCTTAGCCGCGCTGTTGGGACTCAATTTCTGCTCCCCGAGCATATTCATCTGACATCCATTGCCCAATATACTTTGCTGCATCGATGTGTTGATAGATATGCGACCAGACGATCCACCGACGAGTGCATTCATGGAATTGGGAAGGATCTCCTTGATATTCACGGCAATCAACTCCTTATTCCTCTTCACTTGGCATATGTTGAATCGCACGTGATCCCCAATTCGCGGTGGCTTGTCGCAGTCTTTCAGGAAGTACATGATGGTCTTCTTGCTTCCCGTCGCGCCATAGCTAATCACGCCGCCCTCCGTGCGCTCTTGCGACTTGATAGGACTCTTTGGCGCTTCGCGAGTCACCACACCCTCAACATTGCTCTCAATCAGCGTCTCGAACTGCACACTTCCCTCCGGCAGATGCTTAATGCGAATGGCACTCTGACGAGTATTTGCAAAGCTGGAGTTTGGATCCTGAATCATCGTGAACTCCACTTCATCACCAACGCATATTTCACGGAGCTGCAAAAAGCAAATAATAGCAAAGTATTGAGCAATTGCAGGGAAACACATTTGTGAAATAGGCAACAAAGAGGAAGGATTTCACACTCACTGTATCGAGGACTTCGGTGAAGTGGAAAAAGAGGCGCGTGTTGCGCTCAACACAGCGCAAGAAGCCAAATCCCTCCTTGAGAGCCGCCACAACGCCTTGTTCTCTCTTCTCGCCAGACACCTCAAAAGTCTCATCAAGCAGCGAAATCGATGTGGCACGTTGAAGCTGATCACGGCGATCTGTGGCCAGGAGGAATTGCACCCAATCTCCATGGCGCAGCGTGAAGTCACCCTTCTGATCCTTGTCCCCGAATGGCACCTCCACTTCCGAATGATCCGGCGCACGATAGCGAATACGCCCAGGCAACGGATCGTTGTTGTGCCTCAACGGATTAGCACGATCCAGCGGCTTCAGCACCTGCCCTTTGTAGATCTGTGTGCCGACATCCTCGAAGATCACCGATCCTGGCGGCAAGCGTGTGATGTTGCACGCCACCTCTTTTCCCTGCAACGGCACAACAGTACAAAAAAAAAGACATCAAAACCCTGTGCCAAGGAGTTATGCCAAAGACAACTCACATTTCTTGTCTGAATGATAAACTCAACATCATCTCCCGGACGAAGTTCCACAGTGCCGTCGGCTTCGCTGAAGTGAAAGAAGATCTCCTTCACCACATCGGCGCGCTCGATAAATCCAAAAGACTCCTTCATGGAGCACACAACGCCACGATACTTCACCGGATGCACCGGATTCTCCAGGCGAATGTGGCAAGCGCCCAAATTTCCGCGCTGATTAGTGGCAATCTGAAAGCTGACTTTATCACCAGAACGCAGAGTCACATTTCCCTCGACGTCATCTTTGGTGTATGGCAGAAAGAAGCATTCACCGCTGTTCTCATAGCTAATCCGTCCCGTCGTCTCACTCGAGTTGCTCGAGGCATTCACACCGTCTGACTTGATTTCCGTCGTCACTGTGCCAGTGACGCGCTCCTCCGACAGCACAACTTCAGGAGCAATCTTCGTCACCAGACTGGCGATGGGCTTGCCAGTGCGCCGATCGTATGTCATCTCAAACTCAACCGGATCGCCGATCTTCAGATGTTCAATGTTACCGCTAAACTGGGAGAAGTGGAAGAAGAGACGAGCCTGTCTCTCGCAGCACTGGATGAATCCGTACGAGTGCTGGGAAAGAGAAAAGTCCCCAAATTAATTAGGATCACTGCAATATTTTGTCAATTTTAGCAAATCAAATGCTACTATGCACTGGATTGAGAAAAAAAATCATATTTTCCATCAGAAACTACTCTATTTATCAGGCATCAGGCATCAGTTTGAGAATTCAGTGCAAGCGAAGCCCAATAGCAAAGTATAGCAATACGTAAACAACTCACCAGTAGTTTTTCAATTATGCCCGTCTCTCGTATCCCTTGATTCACGTCACCGCCATTGTTGTTCCCATACGTTTGCGGCGGAGCAGAGCAGCCGTTCATCATTGGTCCGGAGTTGCTGCCTGTATTGAAGATACCAATTCCACCGGTCGACGTCGGGCCGCTGCTTCCACTCGCCTCAGTCATGCCGTATCCTTGCGACACACTCTCGAGCGTGAACGTGCCGATTGGCGGAAAAGCGTTGGCCGCCGCGGCGGCGGCTGCAGCATTCGTGGCACTCCTGGCAGCCTGAGCGAAGATGTCCCTCGACGTGGAGAATTCCCCGCCAAAGTCACTCTGTCCGTATGACTCGCCATTGCTGCGAAAATGATGATTCGCCTGGCCATCCATCGAGTTGCCAGCCGCTGCGCCGAAGCGGTGTACCTCCTGCCCAGAATAGTCCGCCGAGCTGCGACAGTTGAGGAAATCCATGCCGCCGTCGCTCAGATGACTGTTCTGCTTCACGATGGATCGTCCTGTCGGCGGCATTCCGCCACCACCTCCGCCGCCACCCATCCAGTTGCGATAGTCCGTGTCGGTGGACGACTTGATGCCAGCACGAACGCCTGGCGCCGTGAGTGGAGACTTTAGGGCAAGCGTCGGGCCGCCTGAGGCGTGTTTTGGTATCTTGAGGTTCAGCAAGTTCATGTGATCCGTCGCGCTGCCATTCACCGTGGACAGCAGCTGCAAGTCGGCCGATTGCAGGCCAATTCCCACACCACCGCCGCCGCCGAGCGCCGACACGAGTGAGTTGTTGATGTCAATGAAGTTCTTCGACATGACTCACAGCATTAAAAGCACTTCGCAGCTCTACCGAGATTTCTCGCCTGTCTCTTCTCTCTTCTAGGGATATGAAGGCAGTTTTGCACCAGGAATATTCTTTAAGATCTCACTTCAATCTTCACTGTTTCACCATAATTATCACCATTAAGTCTTTTCAATTTACAATTTCATACAGTTGTCCTCTATTGGCTATATTACTTCTCTTGCAATTCTTAATCACTATTTTTTTTTTCACAATATTTATTATTATTTACCCACACGATTTTGCAATGTTGTGGAGTTTCAAAAGTTGGATAAAAGTTAGGTTTTTTCTTTCTTTTCAAAGGACAAAAGATATATTTGTTCAAAAGAAGTGAGTAATTCAAGTTTTATTTATTTTTTTTTATTATTCTTTTCGTTTTGTGTTAACGCAACACTTTTTTGGCCGCCAAAAACACCTCAAGTTTCACAGGAATTATTTCTTTTTCAAATTCAAAAAATTATTATTTAAAGGGCAGAAAGCTTTTCTTCTTCTTCTCCTTCAAAAATCCCTCTTTTAATTAAATTAAAAGTCGTAGTTTTCTTTTTCATTCATTAACTATTTGCCGAACACAAAATGTTCACGAGCAAACTTTTAGAGTTCCGAAATTCGCCAGATTTATTTTCTTTAATCCTTAAATATTATAAGATTTTCTTTTAAATGTCTCTTGTGTCCAGTTTTTTTTTCTCCTTTATCTCACACTTCTTATCATCATCATTTTTTTTGTTGTATTTAAGTTTAGAAAAGACTCAACCGATAACATGTATTTATATATATCATACACAATTATTAATATATATCACAGAATTGTTTTTTTTTTGTTTTAATTTTTACTTCCTTTTTCTTTACCTCTTTTTCTTCCCTCTCAATGCAAATGTGTCATCTTCTTCTCTTCTATACTCCTGTGTGTTTCTCTTACTCCTTATTATGCTCTATATTTTCTTTAATGAAAATTGTTTAATGCCTAATTTGTTATTGGTTCACACTTTTACTGGTATTTACTTTGTTAAGCATTTAAATTAGAATTATGTCGATATATTGGAAGTGATAGCGATGCAGGGGATGTGAATTAATGGGCTTATTATTACCTTTTGCAGCGTGTGTAGATCAATCTCTCGCTCATCAATTTCTTCTCACTTTATTTGTCCTCTATTTTGGGAGGGGGTTTCTATATTGGAGTCTCTTCTCTTGTAGTTTCCTTTGTACTTGACTGAGTAATTTTTTTTTATTTATGAAAATTCACGTGGCTGTTGACTTTTTGGTTGATTGCAGATGCCGTCACTTTTGGTTGATTCACACGCGCGTCCGAACATCCAAAAGTCTCTTATCTCTCTTTTTTTTTAGTTTGTTTTAAAAAAAAATCGCACACACTCTCGTTTCCCCTCAAATACTTTACAAAGTGATTTCAAGAACAGAAAAAAATAAGGATTCAATAATAAAAGGGGAAATAAACTGGCTAAAAAGTGTCTGTATATCGACTATTTTCACTGTGTAGTTTCTGTCTCTTAAAAAGAAGTCACTAAGAAATCACTTTTTGTTATCTTAAACTTATAAGTTTCTCTCCCTCTCACTTTATATTTGGTTAAAGGATTTCTGTTGTCTTTGTTTGCACTTGTGTAATTCTGTGTTCACTCTTTAAATTATTCTATGTTTTCACTATATTTTTAATATATTTTTCTTTTATATTTCTTGTGTTCACTCGATATCCGTTGACTATTTTCAGTTTCCACTTGTGTTGCCTTTTTTTGCTAAATCTAAGTTCTTATTATCTCTTTAACTTTATGGGTGTATCCGTTTAAATGTGTCTCTATTTATATTTTATACTCTTAAATTATGATTTATCGTAGCGTCAAGAATTGAAGGTTTCCTCTTTCTTCTCTTATTACAGTTCAGTTGCTCTTGGGATGTTGATTTGTTTCCTCTTTCTTTTTTTCTTCTTCTCTAAATGTTGATTCTCTTTAGTCTCTAGGATGATTGATGAGGATTTCTTTGCGAAATAAGGTCCAAAACACTGTGAAACTAAGCTAGAGTTGGTTCTATATCTTCAATGTCGTCAATGCGTGCTGAGTTGTTTGATCTTGTGGATGTTCAATTCTCCTTCTTTCACCCTTTTGCCTCCTAAACTTGTCCTCTTGTTCGTGTGTGAACCAAGTCTGGTGCTTTCTCCTCCCGCTCAAGCTGAGCCGAGAGGAAGAGAGAGAGAGAGAGAGAGTCTTCTTCGTGAAATAAATTCGTGTTACAGGTGATTCAAGTGTCAATTATCACACAATAAATTCAACTCTGTTGCAGGGATGGTTTTTCTTCACAGTTGAAGCGGAACAAATTGTAGTTTAAGGGTAGTTTTTTTTTATTTAAATTATAACTTATTGTACTCGTTGTTGAGCCACTTGTGGCCAATATTCACTTGTTTCTCCTAAATTTCACGTAGTATTTTTTAATCTTTTGCTTCCTCTATAAAGACTTTTCTCATTCACTTCTTGTATAATTAACACAATTATTTAGTCTTGCGATTTACGATTTCTCTACTTTGTAGATTTTACTTTATAATATATATATATACTATTATTTTTATTTCTGTTTTTTTTTTTAATCTTTTTATCTCTCTCTCGCGCCTCTGACTCTGTTTCCACACTCTATTTCGGCTTGATTGCGGGGATATTCACACTATTTCTCACAGAATGTTTCCTGGGGGCGGTTTTTTGAGGGGGGCGCTCTCACTCTCAAACTTGTTCCTCCGTTCAGCGGAAGTCCGTCCGTGTCGAGGAGGCGCGCTTCGGGTAAAGAGTCTCTGGGAGTTTTCCTGGTTCGCGTGCTTTTCGGTGGCAGAGGACAAGAAGGGACACAATGGCAAAGTTATCGATTTAGGGATTTTATACTACTTTTGGCTTCACGTCGTGTTTTTTTTTCTTCTTCACAGTTCCGTTGCAGATACGAGTGTTTCTGTGTTTTTTTTTCTTTCTTCTCTCTGTCTTTTGATCCGGGCGACAAAAGTGCAGTTGAATAAAGTTCTATATTCCAGAAGAGTTGGTAGCTTTTTTTTTCGTCTTTTGCTTTACGTATTGGTTTTGGGTTTTCTTGAAATGGTTTGTTTTTTTGTGTGGTAGTTTTTGAGTGATTTTTTTTTAATTCAGAGACACAAGCTGCAATGAGAGAAAGACATTTTTTGGAGGGGGTGAACACATTAGAGACAAGAAGAAGCGATAGAGAGATTCGTCTGGTTTCCTGCCTTGTCCACTTGCAAAATTGCGTGTGTTGAATTTAGCTCTCTTTCACAGTGTGTATGGCGAAAAAAAGAAGCACACATCAGTGAGAAAAAGTCGGGGAAGAGGGCAGAAAACCCGACGGGAGACTCCCTTGGATGCACATTCACGCTCAAAACACCAGCACAGCCATAAGAGACACATTTTCGCGAGATTTTGGAGCCCCTGAAGAGGCACAGGGAAAAAGTGTCTCTTTTTTCTTCCATCCACTCTGGAGAACACCTTTGTCGGACACTTCGTGTCGATGATGCACTCCAGAAAACACCTCAAATCACCCTCCGCCCGCTTACTTTTCCCCGCCAATTGACGCACAAACTGTTCGTACCTCTGCTGCGGATAGCTGGGTTTCGTGAAAATGCCTCCAAGGGGAGAAAATCACAGTAAATCTTCACTTACCACGACACAGCACTGCACGAACGACATGCGGCCATGTTGGTTTTAGATGCCTCTTCCATGAACAGCGTGAAGTGCGCCGCGAACCGCCACTTGCAAGGTTTCTCCGGAATTCTTCTTGCATGCCAGACTTCCAAGCGTGTCAACGGTCAGGACGAGAAATCTCAAATTTTCGCTCCGTTAATACATTTTATTTAGAATTTTATTATTGATCATAATGACACAGCCAAGAACACAAACATCAATAGAGATATTTCTTGTTCATATTTAGTATAGTGGGATGCAAAGGGTGTGTTTTTCCTCGATGCCACACGAAAAATCCCGGCCTTACTGGTCTAATTGACGTAGAATTTACTTGTAGGAACAGCAAAATTCACCTTCGGCGTCCGTCGATCCACAAAATTCTGCAATCTGGACGTCGTGATGACGGACACCCGGAGATTCTGACAAAGATTTCCATAAGATTCATGCATACATTCAAGAAAATCATTTTAAAAAATCCACACTCACCTGGACAATCCATGGCGCCTCGAGACACTGATCAGCACTGAGACGCTCTTCTGGGTTCAGCAGTAGGATCTTCTGCACGAAGACAATCGCTTCCGCTGAGATCCCTCGAAAGTAGTCCTCAGGAAAGCAGTAATCGCACTTTAGAATGTTGGCGCTCGTCTCCTCGGAGGAATCATCCAGGAAAGGACTCACGCCGCTCAGGAACACGTACAGAAACACTCCCACACTCCACATGTCCGTGGCAGCACTCAGCGGCTGGTCACACACCACTTCCGGAGCCACGAACTCCAAATTGTTAGCCGGCAGCTTCTCACCCATTGTGTATCGCACGTGATTCCCCAAGTCGATGAGCTTCAGCACAGGAGAGTAGATATTGCTCACATCCACCAGAATGTTCTCCGGCTTAATGTCCAGATGGAGTATCTTGTGGGCGTGCAGCCAGGAGACGCCGTTCAGTAGTTGCTTCATGAAGAACTGCACAGTCGTTTCGGTGTACTCCTTGTTCTTGCAGATGTAGGATAGCAAGTAAGGGCCATGGACGCTGCGTGAAAGCAAAAAGTGAGAAATGTGGGCGAAACAGTGTGTCTTTGCACTACTCACTACTCCATGACAATGGTATCGGTGCCTGGATGAGGAGCGTTCTGGTACAGACACAGTCCTTTGGCAATGTTGGTATGCTGAATTGAGGCGATCACTTTATATTCCGCTTGGGTTTGAGAGAAAGTCTGGAAATTGCGGGAGATTTGCTTCGATGCCACGAGCTGACCAGTTCCTGTGTCCCTCGCCAGACGAACCACTGAAGATTTTCCGCGCCCCAGCTCGGACACGATCGTGTATCGATGAGAGAACTGCAAAATACAAGTCGTGAAGTGAGATAAATTGGAATTTAAAGCTGACCTTTAAGCAGGTCAGCTTCAGAGTCAGGAATACTCACGTGTTGTTGCTGCCACAGTTCCATGTCGTTGGTGGGCAGCGTGACTGTGAGACTAGACACTCCGGTGAGTCCTGTGGTGGGATTCACGAGGCGGAAGGAGTAGCTCTCGCCCGGCATAAGATTGCCCACTTCGTAGCTGGGCAGAACCGGCGACTTTGTCTCCGTCACCCACTCAGTGGCCCCAATGTGGCAGTGCTCGACGATGCACGGGTTCGGCGGACTCCACGTGATCTTCACGGTGGAGGAGTTGACAATACTGAGAATGGGATCATCGTGAATTGGCGTGGGCGACGCCAGCACCGTGAGTCCAATGGTGCACTGCAGATTCTGCGACTGATGGAGGCTGTTTTCCACACCGCAGACATAGAGGCCACTGTCCGACGCTCGCGTGTTCTTCACGATAAGCCTCGCCTCCCCGTTCGGTGTCATGGACACGTCGAACTTCTCGTCTTGTCGTATCACAAAAGTGTCGGGCTCCGTCTTGCGCCACGTGATCCTCGTGTACTGATGATTGCGCAGTCGGCAGCTGAGGATGGCCGACACACCTTCCTGAACAGTGACATCTTGACTGCGAGACACAATCTCCGTGCGTCCACTGCGACTTATTTGCACCACAGCGGCGTCGTTCAGCGACACAGAGTGCATGAATTCCCGCGAGAGCCGTGCTTCTGCGGTGTTGAAGTTGACCTCGTCAGGAGTGTTACTGTTGCGATTGTCTGCATTCCACACACGGCGATTGTCCAGGCGAGAAGTTGTCGTTGTCAATGAGAACACTGGCTGGCTATGAGACTTCCCAGACAGCGGATGAAGACACTCTGGCGTCGATGGCTTCTGCCTAAAGGGCGGGGAAGAGAAAATCACATCAATGTCCTGCGCTAGCAAGAAGTAAATCATCAAAGGCACATACTTAAGTCATTAGCCAAATGATCTCTACCTACTTTCGACTGTGCTTCTGTACAACTTTTCAGCAACATGGTTAGAATGAGATGCTAGAGAGAGGGATTAATCCAAATTTATGCACTTTTGCGCTCACACAGGTTAATAACATTTCCAATAGAAGCCGCTACGGATTTTTCTATGGTCTTCTGCCAAGATGTGCATGCATGGAAAAACGTTGTTAGATTAGTACTTTTGACTACATTACGAAGAAAAATTAGTATTCTCAACAGCAAATTCACACTCTTTGCCAGAAGCATCAACTACTGTTTACTTATTTCCATTTTTATTATCAATTTAATATACATTTCTAATATTTGAATATTTACATGATAACATCAAAGCATTTTTTGGTTTATCTCTTTTGGTGATTTCACAATTAATTTTCCTTTTTTTTTCTCCATCTTCGAACCACAATTTTATCTTCACGCCAAATATTCTCACTTTCTTTTGGTCTCTTTTTTCTATCTGTTTTTCTGTCCCGATCTCACATAGAGAAATTAATGATTGAATTAGACATATTCCAATAATGGGTTGAGAAAGATGAACTCAGTGGTTTCTTTACTTGTGGAAATTCATTAATATTTACAAAAGAAATCATATAAAATTCCTTTCCACAAATCATTGAAAATTCCTTTTCTCTCTTTCTTTCTCTCTCTTTCTGTGTTTTTAGAAAAAGTTTTCTGTGTGTGTGTGTTTTTTTCTTGTGTCTTCTAAGCAACACGATGATCTTCTTTTCACTTCTAATATTTTATCAAAAATATCGATTCTTCCTTCACTACTTTTGTCCCTTGTTTCATCATTGTTTTTCCGCTTCCGCTCTGTCATGACTCGCTACATATATTCACTCTCTTCTTATGTTGTCATTTAATGCAAAAATTAATTTGTTAAAAAATTCTACTCATTTTGCTCCATTACTTTGTGTGGGTTTTCCTCTTATCCTTCACTTCATCATTAGTTTATAACTTTTTCACTCTTCCACGTAGGCATAAATATAAGTATTGTTATAGAATATTTGGTTTTTTTTTCTTTATATTCATTTACATACATTCATTTATACTGTTTTATAAATATTTACAATAATACCTTTAGTGTTTTAGTTATCTTCATTTGCAATATTCACTTTCTGCTATAATATTTTTTTAGTTCATAAAACTGCAGTGTTGAGAGAGTGTTTCAAAAGTGTTTCAAGCAAGATAATATTCTTTTTTTCTTTAGTCTCAAGAAGGGAATTTCGGTTAAATGCATAATACTAAAGAGTGATTCTCCCCTTTTCTCTCTTTTCGCCTAAGAAAGTGCTATTATAGAAATACAGATTATGACATCGCAAAGTGAATTGAAGAGTCAAGTGAAACATGTTTCACGCGATCAATCAATCCACTTTCGTGTTTCACGCACTTTTTCTCCTTCTCCTAAAGATTTTCACCTTATCATACTTTAAAATTTTTTTTTCTTGAAATACTCCTATGGAAAAAACAGACTACAACGATATACAATTATTTCTCTGAAAGGAGGGGTGATTTTATTTCATGGAATTTGAATTATTTCGATACTATTCTTGTTTATATATTTTGTATTTTTATCCCATAATCACATTACTATTAAATAGAAATTACTAACATTTAGAGGAGAGATGACAATTTAAGTTTCTTTTCTCTCTCTCTCTCTAGAGTGAGATTATTAATTTAGGGCTTTTATCTTTGTATTCTTTCTTTTTTTTTCAATTCGAAACAGGAATTCTTCACCTTTATTTCTTTGAAAGTTTATCAATTATTATTATTTTTTGTTATCTAAAAAGTCATCTCAAATTTTATTTATTTTCTTGCTGCCTCTCTGCTAAAATTTCCCAATGTCTAAAAATATTCCGAAATAAAGTCGACAATCACGTTTTTTTTTTCTACCAATGTTTCTTCTTTTTCCTCTATAGAATCACCTGCCAAAGCGTTCAAAAATATCCAATTGCAGTTTAGTTTCTTTTTGGGCAAGATTGTGTATGTGTGTATGTCAAATATTTCAAAAAGTCCCAGGAATAAAAAGTGCTTGTCTTTTATATTGCTTTAGCGCGCTTATTATGAGAAACACCATTAAATCTTAGCTTCCTTTCTGTGTTCAATATCCTTTTCTCCTGTGCATTCAAACCCCGTGTTCACCCCGTCAAACTAGGGGGTGATTTTGCAAAGTTGAATTATATGCCGTAAAAAGGGCAAGAATAGAGTTTACAACCTTCCTATTTTCTTTATCACTCTCATCACCGTTAATCAATGTCCATTTTTCTCTTGCTAGTTTTTCCTTTCTTTTGCTGTCACTCTAATGCAATAAAAATTCCATAAATAATCTTCCACTGACACTATTATTCTTCATGCCTACAAGTAATATTCTCTCCTCTCTCTCTCTCTACCCTTCTTTTCACCCTTTTGATCAGTACATTTTTTATTGGAAGATTTGTTAGAGTTAACATTGAAGTATTACATTTCCCCTGTCCTGTTCAATCTCCACTTGCACTCATCAAACTACTATTTTGAGTGTAATTTATACATCTCGTTGGAATGATTTCCCCTTAGCATGAGTGTGTACAAAATATTTAAGGAAAATAGCCTTTGGTATTTTACTGATGGTGATGAGAAAGAAATTTCACAAAAGTCAGAGAGAATTGAGTTGAGGAAATATCAACATGTTTGTCTCTCTAAGATGATTTCACCGAAAAAAAACCGAAATTCACCACAACCTCCAGATTGTACTGTTATTGGATTTCTTCATATCAATCACGCGAAAGGAAGAAAAACCTTAATTGAATTTTCAATACTGAAATTTCTTTCTCATCATTTTCTTCTTTACCTAATCATTTATACTAATATTCTATATGTTTTTTCCTCTCTCTCTTTCCATACATTATCCAATATATTGTGTTTTGAGCAAGAATTGCAAGTATCAGTGATAGAATGACCGTAAATAAATTAAGACACACTGAATTTCATATAGTTTTTTTCAAATAAAAAATGTTTTATACTGAAATTTTGCCTTTTTGTTTCTAAACTCTCTAAACTTGAAGGAAAACTACAGAAATTCATGTGTTTAATTTAATTGCAGCCACTGTATTTCATTGAATGTCTTTAAAATAGTTAAAATCATATTTCTCCTTCTGCAGCCTCACACAGAATTAATACAAATCAAATGTACAATGTAATATCATAATGTTCTATAAGTTTTTCAAGACTTTGAAGAAGCTAAACTCGTGTGATTTTTTGGTGGTAATGAATTTAAATTTCTTTTTTGCACAGTGAGAATACAATGAAATGAGTATATATTAGCTTGGAGTCTTTTTTTTTTCTTAAAAAAACCAATTCGATAATAACATTTTAGCAACTTACATACGTCTCATAACCTTTTCTCTTGCATGAGAAAATGCATAGAAAGAATGTAGTGTGAGATTAAAGAAAAATGCCGATTGAGGAGCAATAAATTAATCAAATTTATCCCTTTGCCGCACATTTCTTTTGTTGGAGTTTGGTTAGTGAGAAAGAAATCTTTTTTTTTATGAGAAATACAACTATTGAAAAATGTGGCTCATTATTTCGACTGCCTTTAGTTGGTTAGTAGTGATAAAAATTGTGGGACTCACGAATTCTTGTTCAACTCCTTCTGATAGTCTATGGGTCGCTGAATGGCATTGGCGAAATCACTCTGATTCCTGATGATCTCTGATATCTTATCGAACCACTTCTTGTGCATTTCACTCGTGGACGCATTGCAGATGTATCCAATGCCTTGTCGTTTGTGATCCGTTGACTTTATCAGGAATTTCTCAGCGCCAACAGTGGAGATGTCTTTCAGAATCATCTTATTGAGCTACATTTTGAAGGATGAGAAGTGAAAACATGTGAGAAAACAGTCAAAATTAACTTAAAATAAAACATACTTGAATGTGAATTTTATAGATGTATCCTGGATTGGAGAATTGAGTCTTCTTGCCAGATATCTCGGAGAATATAATACTCTGATCGAAGAGGAATACTTGAAGTTCTTTCGGCTTTTGCGTTGTACTGGAATTCCTATCAGAACTTGCACCATTATTGCACTCAATACATAAAAGTGGACCATGAAGCAATAGATTCCCCTGAGCCGTGATCTTTCCCTCGAAGTTCTGCAATCGCCCCACATCCATCATATCATTGGCCTCTTTAGGAATCACCTGCAATGCCAAAGTGACAAGGATGAGGAAAGTTGTGCACGGCGTTGCATAAGACGTAATGTATAACTCACATTCATAACATTGATGGCTTGCTGCAAACTTGCACACTCGTCATGAAGACCCGCCTTTTCAGTTTGCTTCCTGACATCCTTTAGAATCAACTCGTACTTCATCAGTCGCTGAACGGGTTTTATCAGAAGATCATTTATCTGTACAAAACAGAAAAAAAAAAAATTGTTAGACATTTGCAATTCATCAATTTCAAAACACACTCACCACTAATTTATGCTTCAACTTCAATCGAATCTCCTCAAAATATGCAGCATGTTCAGCAACGATATGTTCAGACACAGGCTTATTCTGACAATACACTATGTACATCCGCAATTTAATCTTGCTCTTCTCAATCAGGGGTCCCAATTTCGCCGGATGAGCAACACATGGCAGAAGTTGCTTCAAGAAGTAGCTGCAAAGGCAGAAAACTAGTCATCAGCAACCAACTCTTCTCCCATTTCCACTCATACTCACTCTCTATGCCACTCATAAATTGCCTCGATGTTCCCAAATACCATTCTCTCCTTGCCACACTTTAAATCTTCAGGTATTACAATGTCGCTATTTGGATTTCTTATCTCTGGAATGTATCTGCAAGACATAAGAATTAAGATTGAGACTTTCCAGATTTACTATCCAATATAAAAGACATACACTTACCCTTCAACAATGAGAGCTAAGTCTTCAATATATTTCTCCTCTGTCGCTATTAATTCCTTGAGAGCGTAATTTCTCTTCTTCAGTGCACTTTCCACTGTATTTTCACTTCCTGCGGTCTATTTTGCACAAGGAAATTGAGGAAGAAATTGTTAGAAAAGTGATTGAATTACATTTTAATCTTATTTACTATAGCACAAGTGAAGTGCTTTCAATACCTCATCCGCTGTCTCATCCTGTCCCTCCTCGCCAGCTGGTGCTGAATTTTCATCAATTGATGTCAATGTGTCCAAGCCTTTTGATTTTCCCTCGTGCTGTTGCTGCAAATCCAATTCAACATCACATCAGTCACTCGTCCTGACGACATCACAGAATGTGTTCACTCACCATTTTCTCCTTGAAAATCCTCTCAATCTCCGTAAAGTCCGCCGATGGACACACGTCGATCTTCTTCAGCGTTGCATTCTCAGTGGCAGTCGAATTGGGCGCCGTCCCAACTGTGGGATCCTGGATGGGCTTCATCGGTGGCGGAAGCTCCAGCGTGGGCTCCTCCTCTGTCTCCACCTCGCCATGTGTCGGCGGAATCTGCAGCGGTGACGTGGGCAGCTGCGTGGACGGCTCCTCGTCCACGGACGCCTTGTCGGACGGCAATTTGAATCGCTTGTCCGATCCCTTCTTCACCAGCGGCCGATCTGTCGGCTTGTCTACCTTGCCCTGTGACAACTTCCTCAGTGGCGGCGGCAACCATTTGCGCCTTAACAGTGTGTGCAAATAGGGAAAATCAATTAGGTGTGTTTAATGTGATTGCATATCATTCACTTTCCCATTCACTTCGCCTCACACACCCAATCATTCTCAATCACATCGCATCTTACATCAATTTTCCAATCAGACAAATTTCATTTATAGCAACACCGTAACGAATGAAACTGACAATATTCCGAACATCCTGTCAAATAATATTGATCAAAAACTCAATTAACAAAGCGTTTCTAGTGCCTGCAATTGTTAAATACATTTTACTTCTTTAATCTACATATTAAAGGCTCTGAAATCGCTGAAAATAAATTACAATTCCACACAGCGAAGTCTGAAATATTTCATGAGTTATTGCGTTAACTGATCAGACTGTAACTGAACTTTTTGACAATGAATGAAGGCTGTCAAAAAATCAATTCTTAGAATAGATAAAGTTCGGAGTTTTCAGAATATGGAAAACTTTAATAGGTCAATATAAAATAAAATTAAATAAGAAAATTCCTCCCATGCAAAGTCATTCAGAATATTTGCCTTTCACACTCTCCAAAGCACTCTCAAATTGAAAATGTCGCTTCCCTGCAGGCAACTGAAGGATGAATGCTTCGGAGAAAACTTTTCCCTTCACATCCTCTTTCACCGTGCGGTCTTACCTAGAGACACAGCAACACAAACAGCAACAGCAAAAATAGTAAATGCAATCACTACATGAATTCAATCCCATTTTCCCTCAACACGATCTGTCTTTTCACTTTTCCTTCTCTGCACTTTCCGCACTTTCCGTCTTCACTCAGAACATTTGCACGACACAATGCAGAAGAAATACACTCAAGCACAACTTCTATATATAAGAAAAAATATCCTTCAATGTTGATAAGATGAGTGTTATTGCAAAAAATTCAGATGAAATTACTTCTCAACACAAAATTCATCACACATACACTCATACAACATTTTTTTCATGGACTTTTATCAGGAAGGCAAATCATTATCACGAGTTTCACCCACATTAAAATTCTCTATATATGAAATATAACCACACACATTGTCCATCTCCAGTCCAAAATCCAGTGAAAAGGATTTATATAACTTTTCAATATTACAATTTTCAGAAACACGCACACTTTCAATCCTCGTCACGTTGAAATAGGAGATATTTTCCTTCGAGAAACAATCATAATTGGGATAAACTTTTCTGTTTTCTCTCTCCCGATGGACAATTGCAGCCTCACATGAAATTGTGTAGCAAACTGATTAGTTGATACTTGAGTGTGGTTGTATATAATTGAGTGAGTCCATTGAATTGGGAAGTGTGTCTGTCCTGAAGCTCTCTGTCTTTCTCACTCCATTCCCTCACCCATATCACCCACCGTGTATTTTATTGAATAAACACCTTCAGTGTGTTTTGCAATTGGGTGGATAAAAAATAAATATAACATGACTTTTTCACTCACTCCGTGTACTTGTAGTTCAGCCATATCAGGCGGCGCAGTGATAAGAGCAAAGAACGGAGTATTGCGGAGGGAAGTCGCTTCATATTAGTTAATATACCTTTGTAAAAATATTCCAGTGGAAATGGAGATAAGACAGTCAAAGTCAATTTTCACGCATGGGAATTGCCAGCAAGAAATCCCATATAAAGGCACGTCATAGAACTCAAGACTACTTCCAACCGCTCACTTACTTGTATTCTTTAATTTTCCCTCCCTCTTTGGCACACTCATTTCACACCAATTCCGCAGTCGCGCTGATAATTCCTTCGTCATTTTTTTGCTCTGATAAAACTCTCCCACTCTTTTTTTCCCCCCAGAAACGCCACACAGAAAATGGCAAAGGAAGAGGCCACATATAAAATATTCACAGCACATACAATCCACTCAAAAATTGACTTCTCTATCTCTCGCCCACAAAACTAACACGTGAGGGAGGAAAATGCTAAAGGTTTCTCCTTGGGAGAAATTTCATGCAAAGGAACAGAAGTTTGCTCAACAAAAATTTGCCCCCTTTGACTTTACACACTTTCATCCTCTTCGTTCGCTCCTTATATTCCAACATTACTCACTTCCGCCACACACACTCACTCTCTCTCTCTCTCTCTCACATCACACAGCATCATGGTCAAAGCCCAGGAATCCCACACATAAATTTCAACTCTTTCTCAGCCCCCAAACATCGCGCGTACAGCATACAAATTTATATGTACACTCTTGTGTTCCATCACTAAAAATAAAAAGTGTTTGAAGAATCTCAAGTGTGTCTTTCGCATCTTTTCCACATTTTCACATCTTCTCAATCACGCCAATACAATTCTTGATCACTACAGACTTCCCAAAGGACATTCTTCACGCGATGTTCAGCTATTCTTTCCGAAAGGGGTTGGAAAGGCATATTTCAGATGGAAAGAAGGTGAATTTACTCTACAATCGTTTGTTTTTATTGTAAAAATTCACGTTCTCTATGTTTTCCAATAACTTCTTCAGGCTATCAATTATTTGTTTTAGGCTAATTTCAAAAGAAACGCACGAACTAGATTCTGTTTATTAATTTCCTTAATTGCACTTGATTCTTGATTGCTTTCAAAAAGTTTTCCGCCTTGATATGCGTCATAAGAAGTTACTTTCTCAGACCACAATTTCATTTTTGTATATCCAAAAAGTATTTGTGAAAGGAAAGAAACAAAGTAATAAAATCTTCATTGAACATTTTGCAGCGAAAGAACAGTTGCACTACAGAAAACTTGCTCGTGAGTTGATTTACATTGCAAAATCGGAAATAATAAAACTACTGGCAAGAATATTATGCCACTGTTCCAAACAAATGTAGCCATACAAATTCTCTGTTTGATGTACAATATCATATCGAATTTTTCACATATTTAGTTTAGGGTTTCATGAAATGGCCATGAAACACACTCCAAACGGATTAATAGCAGAATACCCCGTAATTTGAGCAATTTTCCACATTCAAGGAGGCGATGAAAATGGCAGTAAATGGGGGAAATTAATCGGAAATTTACATACCCACGTCGTTTATTAACCGGCGAAGCTGTACTTGCAGCATTATTTTCACTCACTGCTCCTCCAGCCGCTTCAGCCACAGCTGCAAGGGTGAAATGAAAGAAAGTCCCATTTAACATGCAACAAATAATTCACCCTAATAAGTATACAATACGGCCAAAACAGTATCAACAAGAGAGGTGGAAGAAAAACTTGCTGGATTCTTTCGTGTTTAATGTTATTAAGCCGTCAAGTGGTTTTCCCATGCCTCATCCTCGCTATTTTTCAGCCTTCCAGCCACCTCACAACCCCCACCCCCCTTTCTTTCCATGTTCCAGTTAATAATACATTGCAGAGCGTCTCCCCATTTCGTGTGAGCTTGTGTATGGTGTACAAAAGAGGGTGTTTAGGGTGGAGAAAAATCCTTCATTGAGCCAATATTATTGCATTTATCACGCAAAAACACACCTGTTGTCGTCACTGTTGAGTCCTTTCGATTGAAATTCCTATAAATTGACCTTAAGCTCAAATCCATGACGAATACTGCAAGTTTTCACCTCAACTTCACAACATGTCCCACAAAGAATCATTCATAGTTTTCGAATTTATTTCTGTTCGGCACAGAGATGAAGCTCAGAAGATATTCAATTGAAACACTATAGGAAAAAAAATGCTGATCTTCTCTCCGCACTCTTCTTATCACATTCACTAAAATGCTATTTCAACTAAAAATACCCACGCTCGAGAGTCACAATTATTACATAATCTAATTTTTCACACTTGAATGATAAAATTGAGATGCAAATTTCAAACTCCAACACACACAGTTTGCCTCTTCTCATATCTCTTCATCGATCCATGGTGGAGTTGATTTGTAATTGGCACTTTCTTCATTATTTTAATAATTGAATCACACTCCAGTAGCTCCAAGATAAATCCACACTGAGTTTCCTCTTTAGTCCCCACACGAGTGCCCCACCCACACTCCTTTCGTCCCCACACCCCCCCCTTCAACGATAAGGCTTCGAATTACTCACAAGATTTTATTACTAAACACACTCTCCTCAGCCCACCACCCCCTCGTCGGCCCTCGCACAAATCAGCCCAACAGTCGCACACACACTCTATTTATTCCACTCAGTGTGGAGGAGCTTTGCATAGAATTCATGGCTCTCTGAGGATGCTGTCAGTGGAGGTGGTAAATGATATTTGGCCAAGGCGGAAAATTCATGTATCAATTGATAGCACAAACAAACTATTAGATAAAATCAAATTTACACAGCACACAATTTTCCGCGTGTATCTTTCTCATATTCCTCCCCCCAATCCAACTCGCGAAATCATCTCCACTTCATCACAACTTCCAAACAAATTAATGGTTTATTCTGCACCAATTTCCTTTTTTCCTTCTTCTTCTTTTTATGTGCGATATTGATTCAACATTGAGCGCGACACACAGACAAGATGATCTCTGCACAAGTGCCCGAAAATCTTGTGCCAATGGCACAACACAAAATGAGGTGAAATACACACAAAATCAGTGCCAAGGAGTTTGAGGTGAACAGACGTGATTTTACACTACATGTATATATTGCAAAATAAAGAAAGAAAAACACAACAAGATCAGAACTTCGCTCTCTTTGTACCGCGGCGCACAACGAGAAAATGCGACCGTCTCGCCAAAGTGCCTCTGATTGACTCTCACACACTGAGAGCAAATCCCCCAAATCTCGCAAACTAAACTCTCAGCAATATCTCTCATGATCTTCTCCTGACCACAAACACACAATGTTTATTTCTGCTCTCGGGATTCTCGCAAATATTGTGGGAAATATGCACTAGGGTGTCCCAGATTGTTGAAATTATTTCACTGCAGATTCAATAATGTATGGAAATCATTACACAAGTGATATTTCAATTGCAAAAGCATTTAATGGTAGAAAGTATTTATAAAAAAGTGAAATAAATCAATTCAACAAACGCTATTATTTTATCAAGATGAATAGACACCACAAAACCATCTCTAAGTGATCCTCAATTGCTTGCAATAATATTTTGACAGGAGTTTGAGACACCCTAATGCGAGCCATAAAGTGCTTTTAGTTCCCCCAATTGTATGTTTTTGTATTTTCGCGTGCCGCTGTGCTAATTGTGACCTTCTTCCCGCCTCTCAATCTCCCAACTTTATCGAGTTGGGAGCCAAAAAATTCCCCCTTCAGCCGAGAGACATCCGCACACTATCGCACGCTAGCGAGAGCCGCTGCTCATGAGAGAGAGATTATCGCGGAAGTGTGCGCAGAACATTGATTTCCTTTCGGTTCCCAGAGACAAGAAAAAACAAACATCAGCGACTCACCTGACTGTGGCTGGTCAGAATCAACATTGCGTCTGGGACTGGTTTTGTTGAGTGTCGGCGGCGGTTTCAGGATGGCCAGAGGCACGAGGCCTTCCTGCGGATTCTTTCCAGATCCGTTCAGACGCACCAGACAGAAATCCGGCTGTGTTGAGCTTACTTCCAGCACCTCAACTTGCTGTCCCTTCGTCACCGTCAGCTCGCCACTTCCCGCTGCAGCCGCATGATCCGAGATCACCCACGTCATCTCCACCGTTCCCACCTGAAAATGACAAGAGGACTTTCCTGAGAACTCTGCGCCGCTGCTTCTCCCACTCCCAGCGCTATACTTAAGAATTGGTACCCAATTCATTATCACGAGATTTATGGCAGTTACAAATTTAGGTCGCCACCGAGCTTACATATACGAAATATCTCTCAGCATCTTTTCTATCTTCCACACGCATTTTTTCGCCTCAGCCTTCTTCAAAAAGAAATATTTTCATCTTATAAGCCCGTCAAGGTCTCCATTTATCCACTAATATTTTTCTCCCCCGCCGCCTTTTCCTTATTCTTCACCATCAATTGAGATTCCACTCAAGCTCTCTCTTCTCTCTCCCATTCGTTCTCCGTCTTGAGCTATCGAAATGGAAAACAAATCAAAATGAGGGTAATTGCAAACAAATGGAATACTTTAATCAAAATCATCCTCAAACACAGACACACCATTTGTACTCCTCTCTCTGTTCGGGTCGTAAAATAAAATTTTAATTGAAATATAATTGCGCTTTCATTCTTTCCCTTTCTTTCATTTGTTCTCCCGTTTTTTTCTTTATCCCCTCTGATAAATGAGGGTGGAAAGAAGAGGACTTTAATAATCAAAAATACTCAAATATTCACCCTATTTATAAAGGCAACATTATTTCTGAGAGCTAATTTCATTTGACTGATATAATTAAAGCGGGAAATTCCTAAATTAAACTACAAAAAAGAATTTTACTTTTTAGTCTCGCTCATACTGCCAAATAAAATCTCATCTCGCACTTAATCTTGGCCTTCAGAGTCGATCTAGATCCCTAGAATCAGTAAATACAGTAAAATCTTGATGAAATTTAGATCATATTTAATCCATCCAGCAAAGGGTTAACAAATTTTACTCGTGGCAAATTTTAATGCTGTCTCATCCTTCGAAATGGCACGCATTCCACAGAAAGTTCAAGGAGTAGAAATTCCCTGGAAATTCCGCACACATAAAACGTCTGTGTATTGTGTTATGTGCATGCATTCGAGGAGTGCACGAAAAACAGGGATAAATTCTGTGCAAAATTTTCCCTGAATCATCATTGCTATGTGGCGGAGGTCTTTTCGGTGAAAACACACTCTCTTCTATATCAATTAAACAGATATTTTCGTGAATTTTCCATCCCAATTCACCAACCCCACTCTCTCTCTCTCTCTCTTCGCAGCCCGTTGCTTGGTTTACACCGAAATTAATCTTCTTATTTTATTTATTTATTTACTTACATCCCAAAGTAAGCAAATAGCACACGTTTTTTGTCCAAATTGCTCTCAATGCCATCGGAGAGGGAAAATATGGCCATTTCATACATATACCACACATTTAAATGGATATTTCTGTACAAATTATCCTACACATAGCATATAATGTGAGATAAAGTCATATGTGAGAGAGAGCGAAGAAAGGTGGTGCTTTTATAACCTCAAGACATATGAAATTTGGAGGAGGTAAAATTGAATGGAAAAGTATCATGTTTAGACTTGAGAGACTTAGATTTTGCCTCTATACCTAATAAAACATTCAAATATTCCATCATATTTCCCTTCTTAGATAACTTTCAAAATATTTGAACATCCGCCATACATAAATAATTATCATCATAAAATCCATTGTGGAAGCAAATTCCAATATATTCTCATATATGTGGCTGGGAATCTTCGCTCTTTCTCCCCCCGCCTTGTGCACACCCACCGAGATACCTTTGCCAGCTCTTATCTTTCACCGCACGGCAAATACCATCGTCATGCCTGACATTATTTGGGTGAATATTAAATAAAAATCATGTTTTTATGTGCAATGGCGAGAAAATGCCAAAAAAGGTAACTGTCCAGAGGAGCCGAAATACACAGAGAGAGAGAGAATTGCGCGAGGTGAGCGAGCTTCTAATACTAAATTACAATTCTCTGTTGGGGAAAAAAAGGTCAACCTGAAATTTGCCGGATGGAAAGCGGAATGATGCTGGTGAATCGATGGTGTGCTGCCTGGAGAGGCCCGGATGCGGTGGCGTGACGCTGTTCTGCCTGAACCATGGCAATGATATTTTTCTCCTGCCTTTTTGTGATTTTGTGGAGAAAAATGAGGACGGTCCTTGATTGGATTCAGTCATAATTCTGGTTGTGTTTTCTGCTCGCTACACACACTCCTCCTCTTCGTCAACTTCACATTCAATTAACAACACGCGGGTGTTGAGGAAAATTAGCACACACACGAATACGCTTTTCTAGGAGGCTCAAACGCGATTCTTTTTCTCCTCTTTTTTTCTTTTACTGTTCCCTCCTTTTATCCAACAACCATGAAGATGTTTTGTCTTTCTATTGCTTTGTAGCGACACAACAATTTCCCACCCAACTTTTTTTGTCTTCTATTCTTCTTCGAATCTCGTCTCTTTCTCTGCTTCTCTCACTCTCAAATTTTCACGAGCCCTCGCATGACCTTCTCATATCCAACACCCAGAGAGAGAGAGAGGAAAAAAAAGGTGCAAAAGAAGTTCAATGTGAAAGTACAAAAGTTGCTTCTCTACACGCGCCGCAACTCATCAAATTGCACAGAGAGACACTTTTTTTCTCAACTCAAATCCACCTGATAACACTGACCATTCCACTGCAATTTCATCACCCACTTTTCCACCATTTGGCCAAGAGCGGAATCATCATTGGGAAATTTTCCTGACACTCTCACACGACTGCTTTTTATCACTCCTCAAATAGCACTCGTGTGTCTGTTGAGAAACCACTCCAATATATAGTTTTTCCTTCACACCCAATCAATTAATTGCACTCGAGTGCTGACAGAAGGAAAATACATGGCAAATTGGAAAATTGAGCCATATTCTATAGGTTTTTCATGCAATTTCAATTGAGTTATCTGAGCTTAATCATTCACCAAATCTATTTTGGGACTCCCAGATTCTATCAATCACACCCGTTCACTTATCTATCAACTATTTTTCACTAATAATAGGACGCAAAGTGATGCTGTTAAAAAAATCCTGCCGTTTAATTTTAATGTTACAAAAATAACTCCTAAAAAAGTCCTTTCTTCTCTCACTCAACAAGGATTTATTATATCACAAAGAGACACTCTTTTTCTTCTGCTCGTCTCACAACGCAGACACAGGACACACACACACGCAATTTACACCACATTTTCCTCTGCCTGCATCTTTCATGGCAATCCCATGGAAATTTTCCCGTAAAATCCCTGCGATGTCACTTTCAAAGTGTCACACAAGTGAAAAACACCGCAGTCACACAATCAGTGAGAGAGATTCACATGATTTGGCAAAAACAGCCATTTGAAGTGGAGATAAAAATCGATTTTCCCCGCACTTTCCGGGCGGACAACATTTTCTCACTGTCTCACAATTTCTGTGCGGTCGCGAAAACTCGTCAAGGGTAAAACTGACTGTCCATATAGCGAATTTTCCAGGGCGCATCACCCTCTCTCTCGGATGGTGTTGGATACAGAGAACAGGATATCGCAAAATGCCTCACTTTGTTTCACTCACACTCACTTTTTCCCCACCTTTCTATTCCACCCTCAATGTGTCACTGGAAACAGACACATCTTCCAGAGAATGTGTGAGATACCATTGAGAATTGGTCATGTGCCGAAAGAGGTCAGAGAGATATTCTCATGAAACTGAATAGCATTATTGGCACACAAGAAAAATTCTGAGGGGCGACAGAGACACACAATTGCAGGGGAAAAGCTCACATTTTCTCTGTCTCTGTTATCACGTCACCAATTTCCCCATACACTTGTCGCAAAATAATAAAAACACCCGCCTTTGATAAGGAATTATAATCAAAACATCAATTTTTATTCATTGAATTCCTTCTCAATGTGTTCTTTTTTCTCATATGCCACTGGAAAACTAGTGGATATATTTATTTTATCGACACTGCTCGCGAAAATTCACCCTCTTTCTCTCTCTGGCACACACACAGGCATACCATGGATTTTTGGGAGTTTTGCAACCCACACAATACCCAGAAAAACACGGGGAAAACGCGTGACATTCAAGCTACAGCCGTTGAGGAAATACTGGAGTGAACCTGCACGCAAATATGTTCATGCCGTGCTGGTAAAATTGCCTTCACAGGCAGCTAAGGTGAATTCGGCCAGGCTTTATCAGTCGACACCCACCCATTCGTCGTCTGTGCTCTTCTCTCTCACCGCCGCTCTTATGATTCTGATAACAAATAATCGAAATTGAACATACAATCGACACAACAACCCATCCAGGCAATATTAATAATTTTGCATGTTGCCACTCGCGAGCTATCTATAGTCCTTGTGGGTTGCTTCACTTAAAAATTCATACATGCGGAGTGATGAATGTACAGGGCATTCTCGCCTATGCACGAGCTACGAAGAAAGGTCATCCTAGAGTCGGGGTGAAGCCCAATAAATGTCTGTCTAATGTCGCCAATGTGTCATGCGATTGTCATTGGACACGGCCTTCAAATTGATCGACAAATCTCACAGTATAATTGCACATATACGTGAAAAAAGTAACAAACTGTTTTAAAATATGTGAAAACCATATTCAATATGAACTGTCTTATGACAATCCATTAGAATCTTGTAGGAAAATCACACAATTGTCAAGGGACAAATATGGAAAATAATTTTGTTAGACATTCTCTACTGATTTTAAATGCAAAAATCCTTTTTTTCACATGACTAATCAGAAAAATCATCATCTATATCTCATATTATCCGACCGACATGTCAGCCGAACAATACATGATTGTCCTACGAATATGAGCAATTGAGAAAAGTCCAGGAGGCCAAGCAGACGCACACCACACGCGACAAGGACGAGAGAATGTTCCCTGGCGAAGGGGCGGAAAAATGGTGCGAAAGAATAAGATATTTTCCCCCTGAAATACGCATGCGCCCATCAAATTTCCCACGCAAACACACAACCATGAGAAACACCACCCACGAGAGATTGGGTGGCTCCGGGCGCAAAAAAAGCAAGCCTTAATATTTTCTGTCAGGGAGTCACCCACTAATCGACCCGAAAAGTACCAACGACAGTATCAAATGACTGATTAAACAACTCCCTCAGAAAAATTCATTGGCCTCCCCGTTTTTTCTCATTCCTCACTCCCTCTCCCTCTCTCTCCTCATTTGTGAGCCACTCATCTCTAATTGCCTGAAAATCAACAGAAACAACGAGGGTCAAAGTGGCACTCACCGCGCTCTGACTTCTTAAGGGAAATTACTCATTACATCACGCTTATCTTCTCCCCTCGCTAACTTGAGTATGATAAGCTCTCTCTGCTCTTCGCCAAATGTAATTTCAATTTGGTGAAACACCCGCGAAATGCCAATGAAACAGGGCTACTCGAGAGGACAAATTTGCCATAAATCATGAGATACGCGCGTCATGCGTAGAAAATACGTGAGGAAGGTAATGGGAGGGTGTGGACAATGAGCCTACCTTGTCACTGTCCGTCGTGTTCCCAGACCCAAAGCTGGCCAGAGAGCTGCCGTCGTTGTCATTCTCCGCGAGAGCCTCGTCCAAATCACGCGATGATCGCTGAGATGATGTCGCCTTTGCTGTGGTTTTGGCCGGAGATTTGGGGAATGTCAGCGATGCAGCTGAGAAGTATGTCTCCTGAATCACTTCCCGCAACTTCTTCACCCACATCTGTGCAAAAGGAAAACCAATGAAGGAGTCAGTATTGGACAATGCAATCTTGTATAGTTTAACTGTGATCTTCACTCTAGAAGTCAGTGCTAAACTCTTCAATTTATTACTGCTATTTTCAGCACGAAATATATATATATATTCTAATGAGTGATTGTTATTGCAGTAGAAGAATTATGTAACATCGAAATCTTTTGCCGGGTCTTTAGGCATATTAATTATTATACCACTCTTTCCTCCAACTTCCGATGAAAAACTTAAAAGAGCCGCTTAGCGTAAAAAATCATTAATTTATATAGATGTTCCTCTGAAATTATTACTCAACCGCATGAAAATTTCATGTACACAGATGCAGTGAAGAAAATCAACAGCTTTCTAATGATCAGACAGAGAGAGAGAGAGAGAAAAAATGTGGGGTGTTTTCTCACCTGCTTCGTCTCCAAATTGTGCGCCTTCAGTACAACACGGAAGTCCGCCACCATCGGCGCTCTTCCTGTCCACACGGCGAACTTTGTCTCATCGCCCTCAATGTGCTCAGTCACGCCAAGTTCTGCAGAAGAAACAACATTGAAAATGCCTCAAGGAGGAGGACTTGAGAGAAGAGCCAACTCACCAGAAGTCATCAATTTCATCTTGTACTGATATTTCACCACACCATTGGAATCTTTCGTCTCCTTGGCCAGCAAAACGTACAGCTCAAACAGGAATACATGACGCTCTCTTCCCTTCCTGATGATCTGCTTATTGTCCCACGCTAGGAAGGAATCCTGCAGCACAACTTCACCCAGACTATCGATCTTCACGTCGCACTGCTCCAGCAGTGACAAATGCATGGCATCATTCGCCTTCTTCGGCACATTGAGCATCACATCGAGACCATCGCGGATTTCTCCTTGTCCCTCCTCACAGCACGACTGCAGATCCTTGAGCAGCAGCTGATACTTCGTTATGCGCTGCACTGGCTTGATGAGAAATGCCGCCAAAGGGTGCTCAATTTTGTGCTTCTTCTGAATATCCTCGAAATACGTTCCACCATGCTGAACCATTAGGTTATTAGAGAGCGGCTTATTCTTGCAATAGTGAACGTACATGTCGAACTTGAGGGCCCACGTCACAAAGCAATGCCCCACATCTTCCGGCATCGTCTCGTACTTCTCCAACTCCTTGAGAAAGATCTTCTCGTGGAACTTCCAAATCTCCTCCATGTTGCCAAATAGAATATCCCTCTTCCCCACTAGGCCAGCCGGAACATTCACTCCGGACTCCATCTCTCGCATAAAGTACTTTATGCAGATCTCCAAATCCTTCACATAGGTCCGTTCAGTCTGCATCAACTCCGCCATGATGAACTCCTTCCGTCGCGCGGATTTCCTCTTGTCCTCATTCAGCTCTTTCCCACCCGCTTGCGACGCTGCCGCATTGAGTTTCGTCTCCAGCGACGGATCAGAGTGTCGATCACCAGGCATTCCCGATGAATTCGACGAGCTGAGAGAGTTTTGATCCTCCTGCGCTTGAGCCGTGATGCCCAAGGACTTCTCCAAGTGCGCCCGATATGCATCCATTCGGCCACTGAAGTCCTTATAGCGATTATCCACAGCAGCTACCCATTGCTTAATTGAAGCGGCATGAGCATGACCTTTCTCCACCAAACTATCCGCCAGTTGAATGAGGAGTTTCACTCTCTCTCTCGTCTCCTTCGCCGTTCCCTTGAAGTCATTGTGCTCCTTCAGCAGAGCGTCCGTCTCCTCGGGATTCTTTCCCACGGCATTTGTCCTGGACGACAAATACGCTTCACCAGTATTGTGAATCCACTCAATTGCCTGCTTAGCAGATCTCTCAAACAGCACAAATTGCTGACACTGATCCAGTCGCTTCTTCCTCTGCGTCCAAAATTCCAATACTTGATTCTCCTGCGTCAAGAGCTTGTCCAGAATCTGCTTCACACGCGATTCACTCGTTCCAGAACCCTGATAGTCATAGAACTGCAGAGATCTCGAGGTGTACTTCAGGAAAGTCTCCGCAGTGCGTCTGGCTAGAGTGCAGGCCTTGAGGAATGCCTCCTTCTGCTCCTGGTGCTTCGCAATCAAGTGCGCCACAGTCTGCGCCTTATCACTGGACCCTCCGCTGCCACACCAATCCTCATCCCGCCGATACTCTCTCTCCAAACTGTCCAGCACTGTGCACACTTGTTCGGCCGTCTTGAAGAAATTGATCGACGCCGTGACGAGCTTGTGTCGCTCCTCAGCAAATGTCACCAGCTTCTGCCACTTCTTCGTGACCTCCTCAGAAATGTCCCTAATACTTTTCGGATCATAGTGACTGGCATTGATAAGAGCGTCAGCGCGATATTTCACCTGCACCGCAGACGTGTGAGTCTTCTCAATGGCCATTTGGAACTGCTCATGCTCCTTCCGCAGGTGCTCAGCCTCCTGCAGATTGTTGGGAATGGTAAAGCTGGCCACCAGCATTGCCTCGCCATTGCGAATCCACGAAATGACCTGATTAGCGTCATTCTTGAACTGACACAGCTGCATTGCTTGCTCCAACTTTGCCCTCTTCACCTCACCCATATCCTCAAGATCCATCTCGCGCTCGTGCAGGAACTCGATCAAGTACTGAATCCTCGATTGCGCTGTGTTCGTCCCATCGGCCATTATTATGAATCCCGCCGTCTCGAAGATCTGGAACAACTCCTGGCCCTGCTGCAGAATGTCAAACACTGTGCTTTGCATCTGATTCACCAAATCATTGTGCATTCTCAGCAGCTGCTCAGCCTTTTGATACTCCATAGAGAGCTCCGTGTGTTGAATCTCCTCAGCCCAAATCTCCAGCTGTGATGAGATCTGCAGAGAAAGACGGAATGTGACAAACTAGACTTCAGGCTGAACCTTAATTTCTTGATATTCTTGCGCAAGTGTTCTGACTGCAAGCTTTAATTAACAAGGCCATTGACATTATTTATAAATTTCAACAACATTCGGAAGTGTTTAAACCGTTTTAACTTTCACTTGAATTTCTTGCGATGAAATTGAAAATATATATATATGTGAAAGAGTAATTTTGAAATTAAAATGTAAACTGTGTTTTGAGTGGCTTTATGTAATTGAATTACTCAAAATAAGTGAAAACTCACCTCGAGAGCGTCTCTCTCGAAGAGTCTGAGGCGCAAGAAGAGATCCAATCGCATCTTTCGCGCCGACCACAATTCCTCCAGCTCAATTCGTTGCTTCGACAAATTCTCGATGGTGCTTTCGATGGCTGTGACTGATCCACTAGGATCCAGCTCCTCAGTGGCCCTGAGCTCCTGCAGCAGCGCCTCACCCTGCGCGATAGTCTGATCGCAGATCGTGAGAGTGTGCGCCTTCTGGTCCTGGCACTGCTGCAGCAGCCGTTCAGTGGACGAGAGATTCTCCTCCGGCAATAGAGAGTCACTGGCGGCAATGTCATTGCGTAGTTGCACCACCCAATTGCAGATCTCCTTGTCATGGGTATAGAATAGCACTGCGAGCTCCAGACGTCGCCGGCGTTGTTCCACACGACTGGCAAAAGACGCCACGTGCGTCTCAAGCTCGCGAGTCACTGTGTAGATCTCATTGGGAATCACTTCACCCGATCGTGCCAATTCATCTGCCGCAGAGAGAAGCTTCTCCGCATTGCTGTATGTATTCTGAGCCACATTCTCAAAGTGCTCATGAGATTTCTGATACACGCGCGCCTTTTGCAGATTCTTGCCAATCCCTGTGTTCTTCCTGAGGAACACCTCACCGTGATTCTCCAGCCAGTCCAGCACTTGCTTCACATCCTCTTGGAAGAGTCTCAGCGCCAGCGTCTGATGCAGTCGCACTTTGCCAGCATGCCATTTGGCCTCCAGGGCGCGATGATGGCCCAGAATCTGGTGGATCACTGCCAGAACATGCGAAGCACCCTCACTGTAATCCGCTGCTGGATTTCCGGCTCCATAGCTCGAGCCGCCATCGGATTTCTTATGCTCCGGCACTCCAGGCGGCGGCGGTTGATTGCACACCTGCACCAGATGATCCAGCTGATAGAGGAGCTTCTTGCTCGTGGAGTGAACTTCCGTGTACGCCTGACACATGGACTCATACAGATTCTGGTGCGTGCAGATGATATTCTCCAGGCTCTGAATGTCCATCGGCAGTTGCTGCCCCGCCTCACACGCCGACGCCCACGACGGCACATTATCACAGTACTGCTCTGCCTTGTGATGGAAGATGACACTGAGCGCCAGCACGGCCGTCCGCTCGTCTAATCCCGCCGCGAAGTCCTTCCACGTGCGATCCAGTCTGCTGGCCACAGTGCGGATATGTTGAGCGGCATAGTGGTTGCCCTCGATCAATTTCCCCGCCACGGCGAGAATTCTATTGATGTTCACGCACACATTCATGGAAGCCACAGCAAATTTCTGGTGCTCATCCTGCAGATTCTTCGCCACGGCATAATTGTGCCCAATCTCCACATAACTCATCTGAAAGATGTCCCTATTGTGCAGTATCCAATCGAACATCTTCTCGCAATCCTGCTCGAAGAGCTTCAATTGGAAGCACTGATCCAGCTTGTTCTTCCTCTGCTGCCACATGGTGAGCAAGTATTGCTGCGCACTGTGCACCGCCTCCAGTTGCTGCAACACCTGATTCACTGACGCAATCCGATCGGGGTTCCCGTGAGATCCATTGAGTGAGTGAGTATTGTTCGAATTCGATGCATGCGATGTGGAGTCATCGCCGCTTCCACTGCCACTCCCAGAGTCGGCGTTCAGTTTCGACAGCAGACGCTTCCCCTGCAAGTCCATCTCTTCGAGTGGCAGCTTCGTGATCTTCTTCTTCATCATGTCCTTGTGATGATCGAGCTCCATCAGCGCCCCATTCGCATCCTCGGCGAATTCACACCGCGATATGTCCTCTTGCAGATCGTCAATTCTGTCCAGCAAGTCACTCGCCTGCCAGAGGAACTCCTCCAGCTCCAGACGCGTGTCAATCCAACTGTTGTGGTCATACTGGAAAGTCCCATCAAGATCCGGCGTTATTTGCGACGAGTCGATGATTTTCCCCAGAGATTCAAGTGATATTGAGATTGTCTGCAAGGACAACAAGGCTTTCTTAGTGTCACAGAAATATTAATAAGAAAACTTGCGGATTTATTGGCTTCTATTTTTGAATATTGTACAGACATTCGATAAGACTTGGCATCAGGAATTTCTCTCGAACAATAATCATTGTTAGTGGAGCAAATTATCGAACTCCAAAATCCATGGGTGATTTGGCACAGTGCCTAAATTCTCTCACCGAAGGACGCGCAATTGCGCCAAGGATTCACCACCAAACTGACGCCTGGAGAAGCAGGAAGAGGAAGTGTTGACCATGAAATTGCATACTCACTTCAAATTTGTATTTGTGACTCGAGATTGAAGACCTCTGCTTCTGCCAGAAGTTGTCCGACTTGATAATCACCACTTGATGCACAACACCAGTGACAAAGTTCTCCTGCAGCGTCTTGAAGATGGTCTTGAGACTGCCCGAAGAACTTCCGCTGCCGCGATTGTCAATCACTATCGTGAATCCGATCGATCTGGCCTCGTCGCTGCAATCAAATCCAGAGTTTGTGTGTCAATAAAAGTCAATTGAATTCATTTAACAAATTGATACATCATCTCCAACTCAGTCTCTCCACTTTCATTCAGTCAGATTTACACTCAATTTACGATTCAAGACTCAACTGTAAATTAATCCAAATGTTTTGTGAGAACTCATTACATTCCACGCAATTGCAAAATATCTGAGGTCGATTGCAGTGCATTAAGAATAATAGAATTTCTCCTGTTTCTCTATACAAGAAACACATTGGTTGTGATCGTTTTGAATGATTTTTAGATAGAGGATCTGGAATAACAGTAAGAAACCTTTGAGAATTCCATGTAATTGGCAGAAAGACCTAGATTTGATAATGAGCTAAGAAGTGTCACTGTTAAATTGGTTTAAAAGCTTCCAAAATGAAACATTCTTGTAATCAAATTGATTCGAATTAGCATAAGAATGAATTCGGTGGTATTTCTTCTCACACGCCTCGTCAAGACACTTCAAATTGCGTGGATTCGAAAGCAAGTCGGTAGCACAAAACATTGGTCATAATTTGAGGCCTAATCGTTCGAATCACTCCGTCCTAATCTCGCAGAAAGCGCGCACTCCTTCGAAATTGCTCTGCTTCTCCACCCAATGATGCACGCAAAAGTTTCACTGCACATCACGAAATGAAGCTACTCACTTTGGTATGCCAATCAGATAGCTGAGCAGGCGTCGCCAGTCCTCCAGCTTCGCCCTGTCGCGCCGCGTGGAGCTGGGAAAGCAGATGATGGGGCCACCGCGGTTGTCCCGGCTGCCCGGCAGAATGGCCAGCTTGTCCTGGAGCAGCGGCAGCAGGTCCAGCGCCCTCAGGCCGTCCATCGCAACACGTCCGCGCAGTCCCAGCGGAATGACCCAAACACCCTGGCAATTCGGCTGTTCCGTTTCCCTCGCGCTCGATGCAATTCTAATCTTCAGCGGCACCCAATCGTATCTGCGGAGTGCAATTAAATCGTATATCATTGCATGACTGTCTGACGGTGATGCCCGCTCAAAACAGCCCAGCTCTTGGCACGTCTCTTGCATCTCAGCCCCGCGCACGGATCTCCTCTCGCTCCGTCTCGCGGGCGCAACTTCATGCACTTGTGGCGCAGCGGCCTTTGAAAAAATACATGCTCTTCTGGGGGAGTTAAAGCGCGAAAAAAATCCGCGAGTGTGCAATAAAAAAGTCGAACAAATTTCACACCACACAGCGAACTTATATACTCTTCACTCTCCTATTAATTATAATTGCAATAAATATTTCATTTTAATGCAATCAAGCGTTGTGGGGCGCCTCTTGCACAGCTCGCGGATGCCGTTCGACTGAGTGCGAGGCGCTCTTCTGGCCAACTCCCCCAAATCTCTCCCCCAGAGCCGACACTTGGGCCAAGAGCCAAGTGAAAGAGAGCGTGTGTGGAGGAGGAAGACACCGCGCTTTGATGGCTCTTTCTTGACGCAATCGATGATGTCTTGGGCGCCTCTCACTGGCTCCATCATGTTATAAATACACTCCGCACTCTTTGTGGTGCCTTTTTCGTCACTCTGGACTCGCCAAAGAGCGCCAGGCGCGCCAGCATGCCCAAAAACGGCCAACTCTCTGCTCAGGGAGCCGCGCTCCACTCCCAAAACCCACCCCCGGGCCCCGCGGGAATCCTGAGTGGCACAGGGAAGCGCCCCCCCGAAAACTTACCCACTCCTCTATCGACCATTTAGTGTTGTTTTATTTTCGCAGCACCGACAGGGGCACTATTAGCGGTTCCTTAGCGCAACTAACACATAAATTACGTGGGGCACACATTATTGTCGCGGTTTCAGCGTCACTTTAGCTGATAAAGCGCACTATTTGATGAGGATTTTCACATATGGGCAAGGAGGAAAAATCACACAGAAAAACACACAATGGCGAGCTCACGTTTGACAGCTGGGGGCGCTGCAGTCTACCGGCTGACTTTTTGAGTACTAAAAGTTGGAGGCGCGAAAGATAAATCTTTTGAATTGCTGAGTTTCGAATGAGATTATCTCTAACGGAGTGGCCTATGATCCCCAATGGGGCGTTAAAGCCACAAAAGTAAGTAAGTAAAGGCTTTTTGTGTTTCTGATTACTTAAAAAAAAACTGGTTTAATTTGCCACCTGAGGATAACAGTTAGTAATAAATAGCGTAATTAAAAATATCCTTCTTTATTGTGACATGAACTTTTAAGTCCTGAAGGAGTGTTAAGGAATTTTTATACACATTGTGGAAGTGTCAGGAAGTATTGTGCATATTTTAGCCATGTCTTATAATTATTTTTTATTTAAATTGTATTTGTGGAAATATCTTGCAGCCCTTTTTCACCAGAGTGTGTCAGCCAGGTCATCAGTTACGAGTAGTTAAAGGGATTAATAGTAGTAATACATATTTCACAAGGATAGCGTTGATTTGTTTAACTTCCTTGAAAAGTCAAAATACTTTTTGGCATCTGTCCTGACATTTTTTTATGCTACACATAGATTCAAGTTGGCGCGGCTTCACAATTAGTTCTAAACAAATACGCTACGTGGCGTAGCGCGTGTCGGAAACTCGATATATCGAATGGTCGAATCAGCAACAGCGCTGGCAACCCTAGAGGGCCGTCAGTCGGGTTGTTGTCACGAAAGAGACACATCAAAAACACCACATGTAGATTTGTATTTGCCTACAGTTTTCTCTGGATTTTTTCACGATGTTGGCCAGCATGATATCACAGCATCACCAAAAGATCCTCCTCTTCGTGGGTAAGTCGATATTTTTTCACTTCACTATCGTTTTTCAACACATTTCTCGTTGAAAATCCTTTTGCTCAACAGATCGAGTTGGTGTCGAGGAGGCGTGCTGGAAAAGGCTGATGCAAGTTCTTCTGGAGGATTTAAAGGCTCAGACGATCCTGGAAAACTTCCTAGAAATCTCGAATCACCTCACAGATGAGAGGAAGTCCATGAATTTTCACGAGTTGTTGAAGTTTCCCGAGGAGACTGTGAGTATTGTCTTCTCACCTGTGGCAGATATCGTGAAGCAGTACGAAGTGGAGGATTTCTTCCGCATAATCCAGAAATTGCGTTGGTGTCCTCAAGTGAGGCACATTGTGCTGTTTGCACAGGAGAAGTACATTGAAGGGAACTTTGTTGTGCCCTTCCTTGAGCACTTGGCGGAGGAAATTGTGACGCTAGACGGCAAAAGCGAGCTGAAGATTGTCTCCCGGAAAGCCGGCGGTTCTGTGACGAAGAAATGCTACAACTTCCGAATTGAGGAGAACAGGATCGTCACGGCGGCGATGAGCAGAGAAAACACACCAAAGACACTTGACAACACTCTGGACATTGATAATCTTGGGACGTTCAAGATTGGACTCAGCGATCAGGATTTGGTGGCGCGGAATCGACTGATTCTGCCCTTTGAGAAGCACATGCTGGAGCAGAAGAGCACCGAGAAGCAGGATGCCAAAGTGATTTACTACCCAGAAGCTGATGATGATATTGACGAAGAGGATCCGGACTTTGAACTGTAAAGTAAGCAAAATTCCGGTGTTTTTGATAGAAAAAAATATATTTAAGGATTTCATACTAGTTATTTGATACACTTTACACGGAAAAATCTCAATATGATTTTACAATTGATCGATGCACACTTCCTGAAGGGTGAAATGTGATCTCTCGCTCCTTATTTAACACTATATTGCGTGACTTATTCATTAAATATGGCACTGCAATATCTGAGAAAGATATTTGTCTCCATTAAAAATTGTGAAAGGGAAAAACAGTGAGATATTCTTTAATATTCGTCTTCACTCTGATATTTGAGGTGTGTGTGTTTGTTTTTCTTTTGAAAGGAGGAAAAAAGACAGCGAAGCTCCTGAAAAGTTGGGCTAAAAGTCCCCAGAAATCGCTAAAATATCACAAATTTGCCTCTCTTTGCTCTTGTCTACGCTTTCACGTTGCTCTGCAAATTGTCATCACTCTTTGGATCGGGAGCCGCTGAACTCCAGGCCGTGTCTTCGCACTTCTCCACGTAGCTAAGCTGGGGGATTGCGTGGCGCGAGCACATCTCGCGAAGGATGAAGAATTGACTCACAAGATTGTCTATCCACTGAGCCAATTCGCGTCCTGTTTTCTCAGCGTTCTCCCTTGCTTTCAGCTCAAGAGGAGCTCTCTCTGCTGCACTCTGTACATGAGAAATCCATTCACTGGACACATGAAGGGATTCACTGATTGTTCCTCTGTTTATCCTTCGCGCATCTTCAACTGCGACCTCTTCGCCGTCGTGAAATTGCATTGGGACGATCAGGAAGCGACAAATTGCCACCGTGGTCTTCTTCAGGATCAGTTTCACTGTCCAAACCCCGGGCAATAAGGGCTTCCGCAAGTTTCCCTTTACGAAATTCACTGACGCTCCACTGGCGTCTTCGATATGAAGCTCAGAAGTGTCGGCGAGGTTTCCAGTCGGATCCAACCAGATTGCCGTGAGATTTACCAGGGCAGTGTGGTTATCTGAAGCTGCCAAGCGAAAGATCAGCACAGGCTCTGATTGTGGGCCGAGAGCGCGCGGATAATTGCGTCCAATTTGCTCCTTCTGGTCGTAATCTGAACTCACTTCGAGTCTCCTGAAGCGTCGATTGGCGGTCTGAACCATTTGTGTGGGCTTCACCAGAATCTCCATGAGGCTGGATTCCGTCTCGTCAGCCGACCAAGAGATCTCATGCTGCACAATAAAGCCTTTGAATTCATCGTCCTCCATGAAATTCATCACCTCGACGATCTTTCCCGACTGCAGAGTCTCTTCTGACTGCGTCTTCGCATTGATGCGCGCCAAACTCGCCGCCACTGTGAGCAGAACATCATCCGGCGGAGGACTGCGATCCAGGTAGTGATAGACGCTCTGCCAGTAGCGATTCAGACTGGGAGTGTCGGCAGGATAGGGGCCAAAGAGCCACTCCTCGAGCTGCAAAATGACAGCCTGATTGACGATGGGCTCGAACTTCCTCGCGAAGAACAGCTGCTTCGCCTCTGTCGCTTGCAGTCTCGGCCAGTCGTCGGGTTTGAAGTCATTGGGACTGCATCCGCACCAGTCCACAACGTGCTTGTACTGACACTTGCACCCCAAGCGACGCTTCCAGTTCGTCACGTGAAGATTGTTGTCGATGTACGTGTGGCAAAACTGCGAGTTCCGCAGTACAGTGTGGAAGAACGACTCTGCCGGCAGGAGTGTGTGCCTGAAAATTGTCAGCAGGCCCGTCAGCAAGTCATCCTCGACATCCTCCTTCGTCACATAGCCCACAAACTCCCGATTGAGCGCAATCCAGTCACTTCCACCGTCGATTTGCACACCGTGCGGCAATTCTCGATCGCCAACGCGCCACATGTGCGTGTCACACTCCACAAATGTCTTGTCCAGGCCTTGCTTCTGGATGAATCGCTGCACCTCTCGCCCGTGGGACTTCACAAAATTCATTCCGTGATTCGCCGTGAGGAAGTCCGTCAGTTTCTCCATACTCTTCACGGGAAAATCGCTCTCGCTGAGATTAATCACATAATCCCAGGACCAGGAAGAGGCCAAAAGCTCTCGCATGGACGTCAGCAACATCTGCAAGAGCGACGCTCCGCCCCAAATGGTGGAGAAGCGCTGTCGCGTGAGCCGAATGTTGGGATATTTTGACTCCAGGCGCACTAGGTTGCGGAAAAGATAGTCCTGACGCTGGAAAGATAAGAGTGATAAACATTCCATTATTGAGCTCTTAAATCGCCGCTCAATTACACTGTGTGTGGCTTAACGAGCAATCTGATAAGAAGTTCTCTCTCTCTCTTTCGCAAGGGGTAAATATTCGGTATAATTTCACTTGACTATTGAGGAAAGAGGTCACGAAAGCGGAAATAGCGTGAGGACAGAAAATTGTGTGTGATCAAGGGGCAATCAAGTTAGGAATTGGAGTACAAAGTTATGGAATTAGGAGAATTTCTCACAAAATTATTATCAATATTTCTGGACGAAGTAGAAATGATCTGGAGCTGTAGGAGCACCAAATTTCCCCCATGAACAGCCCCTTTGCCTCTGATAGAATCTTACCGAATCGACGTGGATGTAGAAGTAATTCTGGGGCGAGTAGAGCGCTTTCAGAAGTCGATGAACTTGCCTCAGCGCCCGACCGTTCAGGGTGAGAAGGAAGGCAATCCGGACCCGTGGCTTTCCGCTCTTTGGTATCAACTCCGCCACTTGTGCTGCGAACTTCCGGATGCCCGTCTCGTAGATGTTGACGGCAAAGTAGCCGCCACACGCTTCCTTGGCATCTCCGGGACACTTCATGTTGCAGCTGGGATCGGGAAGCTTGGCATTGGCCGGCGGCTCATCGTTGCCACAGAAGCACTCTGTGGAGTATTGTACTCCGGCGTAGACGAAGCCTGATTGCAGGCACATCTTGATGCAGTGCGACGGGGAATTGCTGCCCTTGAAGTTTGTATAGTAGCCGGACAGGATGCGGAACTTCTTCTCGTCTCTGTAGCAGCCGAGGGCGCGATTGGGCAGATGGTGGCCTCTCGGGCAGGTGCTGGGCAGCCAGGAGCTGTACAGCTGACCGGATTGAATGGCACAACTGATGTTGGCGATATGTTGCTTGCATTCCTGCGTCTTGGCGCGATTGATGGCCGAGATGGCTTCGCGGGCGTGAATGGAGCACGGTGGGCTGAAGGGCAGATCCTCCAAGTGAAGCTTCTGGGCTGTTTTCCTGTCATGCAAGCTGGATTCCCGGGGATTCCGATTGGAGTTGCTGTTGTGGCCATCCTCGTCATCCACGATGACGTGGTTTTGACTCGCCAGCTTCCCTTTGGGCTGCTCAACGTGCGCCTCCTTCTCTGCCGCTGATATGTGGTGATGGTGCAGGTCATCATCTATCGTGTGACTGCCGAGCAGAGGCAACTTGAGGGACTTGTAGGCCAGGAAGACCTGCAAGGAGATGATGAGCAGCCCCAGAAGGAAGAAGACTCTGTATCGCCGCACCCATCGGCCAGCGAGAGTCTCTACGATTGCCATCAAAGACACCCCGAGAAGGACTCCTCATTCAGCTGATAAGTCCTCAGCGCGCTTTTGATCCTCGCAGGATTGAGCAATTTTTCCCCCTGTCCGGAATTGTCACACTTCACACGCACCGTCTCCACTGGACTTCGTCTTCTGGGCATTTTCTGGGTATTACGAATTGCGTCATTGTTATCACTAGTTGCCACCAATTATCTAGTTTGTATTCATAACACTCTCAAGGCGATTCAAGCCATCACACTAGCATTTTTTCACCTTTTTCTCGAAGCTCTAAAGAGGCTTCGTAAAAATTGGCTGAAATCACCGAAAAACTCTGACAGTTCGAATCTGGAATTCGAAATTTTGCATGCTCTACTTTTTGGCGGCAAACGCAATTGAAAACTCTATTTTCCCTCCTTTATTGAATTTATTTCCATTGGAAGGATTTTGCAAAGCAGTCAATAAGTGCCAGAGGAAGCCTTCGGTGTCCTCTAGCATTGGGCGTATAACAAGAAATATGTGCTTTTATGCTAGAATGTCATGTAAAGCTCAGTGGAAGTTCACAGGCGGAGATGAGAAGATGCGCGGAATTCTATTCCTGTGTGTTCTGGTTAGGTCCTGGCGGCTTCAGTCGCACACCCATCGATCCCAGGAGATTGGACGCCGGTCCAGGACTGCCCAGCTGTGCCTGGTAGCTCTCCATCATGTTCTTCAGCGTATTGAGGTCAATGTCCACCGGTGTGAAGTCTTCAATGTCGTCAAAAGCATCATCTGCTGATGGAGTCTTCTTCTCAAAGCTCTCTCCAATTGTTGTCTTTGCCAGCTCCTTGTCCATCTGCTTCATGTAGACGTCCAGATTCGTTTCTGTCTTTACAATGTTCATCTCGTCGATGTTTCTGTCTATTTCCGTGTCGTCTCCGTAGTCGCTCATGTCAGAATTCGAGTCATCCCACTTGTCTTCGGGAATCACGAGGTCAAGAAGGTTCTTCACGTGCGACTGAAAGGCATCAGGATCGAAGTCCACGGTATCTTCTGCAGCAGTAGAGGCAAATTGTACTTTTCCCTTTGCCTTCTTCACGCCGCGCTGAGGACGAATTGGTGGCGTGGTTGACTCAACTTCCACACCCTCGGCGGATGACTTCTGAGCGAGGAATTCTGAAAGTTTCCCGGCAATGTCCTCACAATCTCCATTCACTTGAGCTGCGCTGTCTCCATAGCGATCTTGCAGCATTTTGTCCAGCTCTTCCGGAGCAATGTTGAGCCAGGATTCGTCATCATTGGGAGGCAATGATGGTTCCAGCTTCTTAAATTCGTCAATACTCAGGTCGATGGACTTGAGATCATCGAGCAATTGCTGGCCAGTGAGTGTATTCTCGCGCAAATCGATGATGTTGGTGCGATAGTAGTCTTTAGCGGCGTCAATCAGGCGAGTATGATCCTTCGAGCCCTCGAGGAAGTCCTGGAAGTAGCCTTTCTCACGCAGACTCTCCACGTACTTGATCCAGTGGCGATTTGTGTTGAAGTCCGCCTCTGGTTTGGCTTGAGAGGCGAGAATTTCGAAGCCACACGCAATTTTCATGCCCAAACTGTGCGATGGGAAGCTCTTGCTTGAGCTGTTGGGCAGATTCCAGCCTGTGCGGCGGTCAGGAGTGTAGCTGGAGTGCATCAACATGGCATACAGACACTTAGTGAAGGTGATTCTGGTGTAAACACGATTCTCAGGTGGGAAGAATCGCATGGCGCGACACACTTTCATGTCCACGGCGTCACGACTGCAGAACTCCCGGATGGCGCTGGCAATCAGTGTGGGCTTGTGTCGCAGGAGGGCAGCAACGCCCACAGGCACATAGGCAGTGGCACGGTGGAGATTCTCAGCGATTCTGGCCGGATAACTTCCGGTGCGCCGAAGAATGCTGTTCTCAATCTCATTGCTCACGCGATGACGAGAGAGATCTGATCGAATTTGTGTGACACTTTCAGTCACAGCTCGAGGAGTGTCTTCCGCGTCGTTCCGGATAAGATGCAGCGCCCCGTCGGCAATGAAGACACACTGATGGCAAGTGTCCGGATTCGCCCAGTTGGGGAGATGATTGGCCACCTCAATCAGAAGAAATTCTCCATCTCCGTCCACTGTGCGAACAACCAGACCTGGAATCTGACGTGTCAGTTCGTACAGCAGAGCCACGATGAACCATTCATCCTCAATATTGTCCCCATAGTGAGAGATTCCATAGAGATGAGCCGGAAGACTTTCGACATCTGCAACAAAGACATTCAATTGGCATCGCGCTAGCGTTAACTCGTGTCATTGACTCACCGCCCGGCGTCTGGCCTTGATGATCAATCAGCAGATGAGCGTTTCCGGGGCGAGCTCGCACACGAAAGGCATCCCTGTGCCAAATGTAGCCACGACAAAACGCCTCTGAAACTCCTTCCACTTGCACTAGGATCTCATTCAGCTCCTCGTTTTGGCTGTTTTCTGCAGCTTCCAGTCGAGGAAACAAGTAGTACTCGATGTAGTCATCTTCACGGACAAATTCTAACACACCATTCGACACCATTTTGCATTTCTGCATGCAAATTCACCGAAATTCCTCTGGTTCTTTCCACTGAAAAGTCCTCGTGAGACGAACGATGTTTTGACAACACAAAGAGGTCAATTTTACCGCTATGAGCGCTGCTGTCGCTGCGAAGAATTGGCATTTCAAATGATAAAGAAAGTGTCTGCAATAACGCTTTTCAATTTCTTTTTTCTCAATTTCTTATATAGACATTTTCTAATTCCTTTTGGATTTTTCTGCACTTGAATTTGGGTTGAAATAAAGTTAGCTCAAGTATTTTCTAGAAGCGTCATTTGCTGTTGCTTCAGTCGAATAAAGAATTCATGGTTTTTGGCTGAGGTTTACTTTATTAAAAATTATTTATTGTTATTTACAAGATACATGAACTCAATGTATGAGACACCCTGGTTATATTGCAATTATTCTCGTGACACCTGTTTTCTGTCTCACAGTGTAATAAACTCGCTATGAGGGAGAATGTTAAGGTCAGCTTTGCTTTTAGGAAGATGTTAATTCGTTTGGGAGAAGAAGATTCAGTAGCGATGATTGCTCTCGCGGTCGGAGTACTTTCCACTCATCTTGCTGACTGAGTATCTGTCTGAATATCCGTCGTATCGATCGGTCTTGTAGTTGATCTCGTGCGGCGTGTAGCCGATGTTTTTCTGCCAGTGGCGCGTCCAGTAGAGATCTTCGTTTCTCAGCTGCGAAGGTGTTTTGGCGTCTCGGCAGACGATGACGCAGTATATCATGCTGCCGATGAGCGTGAGGAAGCCGAAGATGAGGAACACAATCCCGAGAATCCTGACGAAGGCAGAGGAGCGAGCGGTTATTAGTCTGAATGCGATTGAAGAGTGCTTTTGGATTTACCACACAAAGACTGGCTCCATGAACTGGATGACAATGACGAAGCCCAGCGTGACCAGGATGAGGCCGAGGTTGAGCAGGAGCATGAGGCAGCAGACGCCTTTGGCATTTGGACAGAATGGATTTGGTGCTGACATGGCTTCGATTGTGGCGCCCGCGGCGCGCCTCGAACGATTGCTTCGGCCCGTTTTGGTGGAACTCGCCACTGAATAGATGCTCCTTGGGCCGCCCCGGGATTGCGGCCTTGCGCTGTATCGGCTGCAAATCAGATATCAGAAATTAGCAAGTTAATCCGAGGACGAGATGTAATCACTTCATTCCTGCATCGTGCCTTAATTGAGAGTGTGCGTTGAAGAGTCGTAAAACCATCCCTTAAATCTTTGAGCTTTTTTGGGCCCAACAGCAAGATGAGCTCTAATGAGAGTATTTTTAGATACCTAAACTTTGCGGCTGAGATAAAATCATCCATCTCACAGGCTATTTTTATCATATTTAACTTTTGGGGTGAATTTTTCTTTGGATTACCCGCAGAGCGCTTCTTGTGGTCAAGATTGGCTCTTGGATAGCACTTTTCCCTGCTCTGTGATTATGCTGTGAAACTTATTCTTCTCAAACTTCCTTACAATATTAAGCTTTTTGCTTTCACGAGAGATTTATGTATTTTTAATTAAACTCTTTCCGATACTTTCAATATGTTGTATCAATATACTGAACGTCTTTTAAGTTGATTGGGAGTGTTTTTTTCTCCTTCCACTCCAACTCTACCCTTTTTGTCATGGAACTGAAAGTGTAAAGAGAAAAGAATTCTCGTTTTATCTTCCGCATGGTGTAATTATCCTCCTGTCGACAAATCTACCTTTAATCTATACTTGTTCACTATAATCAAACCTTGACCCTTTTATTTTCCCCTTTTATCTGATGAAAATGAATTTTCGCTCTGTGCTGTTTATCATGGAATTTTCTGTTTGAAAAATGACTCTTGGTATTTTTTATGTGCGATAGGATGAACATTGCAAAGGAAAACAACCATTCCTTTTCACGCCCTGAAATAAAAATACATATTTCACATATTTCTGCAGTGTAATTTACGATCTTGTGAATATCCAACCACCCACACTTTTCTCTCAACAAAATTTACTTTATGACGGCAGAAATATGCCTTTGATGTCGTAAAGGAGGTGAAAAATAAGAAAAATGCCATTTTTCGCAGGAAAATTGCAAGGAAAATCACCAATAGTGTCATTTTATGGCATATCCAATTCCAATCCCGTTGAACTTGAGTGCTAATCTTATTAGTATTATGTGGAAATTGGATTACACTGTCAAGCGCAGTGTTTGAACACTTTCGATTGCAAAAGATCTTTCAATTCTTCATTATTGCGCAGACTGAAAAATTTTAATCTATCTTCATGTGGAGGTAATAAATTAAGGATTGCGTTATCACACATGTTTAAGAATTCTTAAACACTGAATTCCAAATTAGAGCATCATCATCATCAGCTTAAGAGCCTTTAACACGCTTCCCACCTGATTTCGGATGGGGCTTTGTAGGCGGCGCTCGTCACGTAGATATCGCTTCCTGTGTCGCCGCCATGGTCGTAGCTGAGCGCCGAGGGCACTCGCGGCGGCGGTCGGTTTGGCGGTCCGGTCGTCGGTCCCCGCGGGACGCCATTCTCCTGCCTCTCCGCCCGGGACTTGCGGGCGGGGGCCGTCGGCGGCGTCGCCCGCTCGTTGGCCACTGTGTACTCGGACAGGGTTCTCTCGGAGGGCGCCCTCTGACTGTCCTCGCCGTCCGTGGAGTAGCCGCGGTTGGCCTGGGCGTAGGGCGGATCGGGAGTGCCTCTGCCGTGCGTCGCCACGTAGTGAGCGCCCTTGAGCCTGGCGGGCGGGAGCGTGATTAGGGGATTAGAGCGCATAATTAGGGATTGAACGTACCTCTTCACCGCTCTCTCGTTGATCCCTTTGAACATTTCCAGTCGCGAGAGTGTGTGTTGTGTGCGGTTCTCCTCGATTGACCTCTCCGGGGTGATTTATATGGATTGGTGGGAGTTGAGAACTTCCTATTGCGAGTGATTCAGTGAGGTAGAAATCCAGAAGAAATGTAGTGTGGCGACCTGAGAGACAGAAGAGGGAAAGAGGGATGAGATTGGGTGGAGAGCAGGTCTTCACAATGTGGTGAAAAGTCGTGGAGTCAAGTGACGAAAGGCGAGGCGAGAGGATTAAGTTGAGGGAGCTTTTCTCGCCTCTTGCCAAGCTTCTCTCGCCTATGCCATTTGTTGATTGACGCGGTGTTGCGACGAAGGGATGAAAATTGTATGTTGCGATCTGATATCGTGGTGATGTAATGTGATTGAACATTTTCTGGTTGGGCGAAGAAACAGGTGAAAATGATTTATATTTACCACATTTGAAGTATAATGTTTTTTTTCCCCATTAAATGTATTCACTATTATGCGAAGGACGAAGGATGTGCGCTTTGAGATACTTTGCAGAGATGGAGCGAAAGTTTTTGAGGGACGCAAACAAGAAAGATGAATTTAATTGCTGTCAAGCTCTGGGTAATTTGCATAATTTCACTCTGGCGAGACAAAGTTCAAAGTTTGGCCCCCATTGCGACTTGCGAGGCATGAAGATGTTGAGGATTTTCCAAGGAAATCCCTCAATGGACTCTCTGTGTGCGTGGCACGAAAAAAGCAGACTGCTGAGACAGCGAGAGGAAAGTTCAACAGAGTATAATTGTATTTTCTTGTCGGCGATGACTCAAATACCCAATAATTAATTACATAATCCAACTCTTACTTTTAATCCGCATAAAAATGAGTTCAATTGTGAGTCTCTCGTGCTCTCGCCGACAGAGACATATGGAGATGCAGAAAGTGGAGTGTGAGAGATGAGGAATCAATTTTCTCTTCCATAATGCAGCGTGCACAACATTATTAATTATGATTATAAAATTTGCATCGGGTGTGGGAATTGGGTCTCCTCGCCAATTTCTTCGCATCTCATCAGCTGTGCGCCTTCTTGGACACGCTGATGATGATTCTTGGGAAGCTTCCTGGTGAATATTCATGATGCACTTTTTTCTCCACACTTTTTTCTCATCGCACAGTTCCATCGTATATATTTTTCTAATTAATTATCATCGGCAATTACGAAAGAATATTGCATGGAGAAGTAATTGATTTGCAGGATTGACAGAAAGAGTGAGAAAATGATTGTTATTTTCTGAGTGATCGCCATGGATGACTTCTGCTGAGGACAATTATTTGTTTTATGGTTCACTGGTGGTCTTCTTTGTGCAGTGCAACATCGTGGATTAAAGTATAATCTAGCACGATAAATCACTTTTTGCACTTTGAAGATTCATTTTTGTGTGTCGCAGCGGCGAAGATTGCCTGTGGGTTTTCGTGGAGGTGCAACTCTAGTCAGATCAGAGCCAAAGGCGAGAGAGATTTATATACGTAAAATTCTATCTCGCAAATGCATGAAATTGAGGCGATTCACCCTGAAGAATGTCTTGTGTTGGGTGAACTCATAAATATCACTTCAAGTGCACTCTAAGCACCCAGAAGTGTGATTCATATCCTCATACGCATTCTTAAAGACTCTCGAGACCGCGCTATTGAGTATTTGCCATGAATTTTAGTTGCGCAGCAAAAACCTACGCGCTACCGATGCTGTTTGGCGTTCACATGCGCTCGAGAGAAAGGTCAGGTTGTATGGAAAATTCATTGACACCCGTGACATGACATCAAGATGAAGCCTCAAAGTGGCAAAGTCACGGAGGAATACATCGGACAGAGGGTGGCATGAGATAAATGATAGTGACATGAAAAGTTGATGGATGTATCACTAGTGATAATTTTTCATCTCGTACCCTCCGCGTTTCAGGGAGAAAAGACGCAAGAAATAAATGTGCACTCTGAAATGATGTTGTCAAGTGTAATGAGAAGGGAGAAATCACGGGATTTCGTTGGAGGAATTGAATAAGTTTCAGTCGCTACCTTTTGTGCTTGATATCTTGGCGCTTTTTCTCGTTATTTCTCGTTAATTCTATTAACTCAGAATATGCCAGAGCATATAATGTTGATATTTTCGTGAAAGTCAATTGTTTAACGTGAGAAAGCTTCAGTTACAAATCATAAAGTTTATGCACATAGAGTTATAAATTGGTAAATTAAGTAAATGTTTATTTTCTCGCTCGAAAAATATGTTTTTTTTTGCATATTCATTTCAAGAGAAGCGGAAATAAAATTGTGTTAATAAATCAAGAATTTAACGTTTTATTCCACAGAAAGTGCACGAAAAGGAAAGATATAAATTTAAGACTATAAAATGTTTCTGCAAAACAAAAAAGATCTTATGTCAAGTGTTTTTGACATTGGAATTTGATGATTATTGTGTGTCTAATGCGAAGGAATGCCGAGACATAAAAGTCATGCGGTGATATTGAGGAAAAAGATAGAAGAACTTGATGTTAGGCTGACCTAGAGTAGTTCTCATGTTTGGGATTTAATGAGCTTTCGCAATCTCTTTTGTTGATCACTGCAAGTCTTCCTTAGCGCGCATTTTCTAGCTTCAGGAATTGGATGAAAAATTCAGGGAATGGATGTCAATAAGAACAGGAAAATGAATCAGTTTGAATTCCGTGCAAGGCTAAGACAGTGTTTCGTGCGATGTACGTGAAGTTTACGAACGCCAAATGTGTGTAGTGTACATTTCCTCATGACAGTGACTTCTTGCTTGCTTCCTCCTCTGCACTCTCGTTTTGATCATGCCTCACATTCACCTCGTTCTGGCGTGAATGGCTCGAAGAAATGGGATTGAATAAAGTTATAGTGTGTTTAATAATAAAATAACGTTCGAATGAAGGGGAAGTTATTTGCAAAATGCTTCTTTTCTCACTGATTCAACAATGTAAGCCGCATTCCACTTGATGGCAGAATTGCAAGGGAAGTGAAAATGTGCCTTCGTTTGCTGATCTTAATTGATATTCTTGGGCTTATTAAGATGGACTTATTGTGTGGTTTATTGAGAGTGACACATGTGTTTAATTATGCAAATTGCTGGGCGTTTGTCACTTGTGCAAATACTTGTGCAGAGGTGCAACTTATGATTTCCTCTTCTTCTTCGTCACCCCAGCAAATTCTTCGCGATTGTCGGGTGAAATGAGGAGAAAAACGGCGGATAGTGTGTGTGTGTGTGTGTGGAGAATGAAGGTGGGCAAAGGCGAGGGAAAGAATGGAAGATTGAATGTTGGACAAAGGCAAAAGTTTTGCCATGTGGAAGAAAAACGGTCCGAGATTGGAGGTACATATCTATGCAATATAGGAAAAAGAGGCAGTCAATGTGCGGCGGAGGGCATCTCATGTATCAAGCCGTGATTTATACAAATGTACACTTGGCCAGCAATTCATTAAACGGCAAATTATCCCACTGCAGTGTAAATACATTTACAATAAATTCTCTTGTCCGCCGCGTGTGTTCTCTGTTTTATGCCCTCGCGGCGCGATGCTGAAGAAGAGGAGACTCGCGGAGGACATCACATGGGCAGAAATGAGATCCGCACACCATCAGAGCGCGGGAATCGTGGGAAATCGGTTAGGAATGGCACCAAATAAGCGATTCACAATAATATCGATTGTTAGGGCAACAGAGGAAAGCTCCAGTGTTGACAAAGAGGCCAATTACTTTTGCCAATTCCATGGATTATTAATGATAGAGTGTGGGTTTGGGAAAATTCTTCAGTCACAATCAGGCGTCTCCATTGCAATGCCCAAAGAAATTCCATTTAACTTAGTCTCTCTCTCTCTGCCTTGGCTTTAAAATGTTTTTTTTGAAGAATAGAATCAATTTACTATTCACTCGTGTCACGATAGAGTTTGTGCTGTATGACGAGGAAAAGTTCCATCAAAAGTGCCACAAAGGCATAAGAAAAATCTGTTTTCTCAGCGTGCGAAAGAAAGAAGGAAGGAAAAAACTCATTTGCAAGAAAATATCTCAGATAATATGAAAATTCTCCTGGCGGTTTTATCCTTTCTCATTCACATGATTATACGCAAAAAATTTTGGAGGGAAAATTTATGAAAATTACTCACTCTCGCTTTGCAGATCATCTTTGTTCACGATGAATCCCTAATTCACTCCGCTTGCGAACAATTTATCTCACTCATGCCGCCCAGAATCTGAAAAGCAATATCAAAGGAATTAATTGAAATCAATTAATGCATGCATTGGATTGTAATAATGCACAATTTCAATTAGAGCTTTGTGGCAGAACAACTCTTCAGCATAGTAAATGTACTTTCTTGTCAGCACTCGAGGCTTTGTTATGAATTCAGTGACAAAGGAAAATATCTCCTCCAAAGTACACATCCATATTGATTTTCTATTGATTAGGAGTAAATAGAAATTAAGGCTGTAAGTCCTGAAGCAGGAAAATCAGAGTAATCGAGATTCCAAGATTGAAATCTCTTCTGAATAACTCGTTACTTTTTCTTTATCTCGGGTGAAGTATTTTCCGTCAATCTGTACAAATAATTGCTGTCTGTGAAAAATCACGTGCTTTTCACGGTGAAATGAGCACTTTGTGTGGGGATGTCGTTCTTCTCCTCTCACTCAGCGTCACCAAAGTCACTTGCAACCTGTTATAATCTCTTCCATTACATTTCCACCCGGCCAGAGTGAGTTGAAAACACCACAAACCATCTGACCTTGTCACCTCTTTATGGCTGTGCAGCCAGCGGAGTTGGACTCGTGTGTTGGCGGGGTGAAAAGGGGCCGTTTCTGCATTAACTACCAAGTCTCAATTGATTTTGCCAGTTGGGGATTTTGCAAATTGGTCGCGCGAGGAAGTTGACGAGAGCCACATGTGTGCAATATTGCCGTGAATGGGTTTAGATGGTGGAAAAAGGCCACTTGGGGGTTGGATCTCTGCGTGGAGAGGAAAGTTTTAATTGGAATTACGGCAAATCACAATTGGATGGCATAAATTCTGCACACACGACATCATCATGATGAATTTGTTGGGTGCCGTACCGCAAGTGGGTGGGAAAGAGCCACGTTTGGGTGCTCCACTATAAACTCCACCTCGTCAGGTGTACGGTGAAAATAAGTCAAAAGTCACATTCCATGATACCTGCACATAAAGGGTCTGTGCAGAAGTTCTGGCGTCTAGTTTCCTAACACGACGTGTGCGCTAGTCTCGATGCTCTATTAGGCCTTATAAACATTCCCAATTCCGATGCAACGACCACACGCGAGTCCTCGTCAACAATTTACCAATTTTAATTCAAACCCACCATCATAAACATGCTTCACGAATTTAACACAGGGAATTTTATTGCATATCGTGAAATAGAGAGAGAAAAACATGGTGGAAAAGAACATGTTTCTTGTGGTTTTCTCAATGGGTGTGTGTATGAACTTTGAAATTTTCCACCTTGTCCACCAAATCGCGTGTGTGTGTGTTTCCTCGCCAGTGAAAATGCCATTGCAAAAGCCACTACAGTGGATTTGGGTTTTGAGAAGAAATCCGAGATTTGCAATTCACCTGCGAATTTGATCATAAGCACAGAGCGCGTTTCCCGATTGTATCAATATTTGTTGTGTGATTTCCAAGAGACGAATTTTCCATCTGTGAATTTTCCGCAGAGTTGAGACGATTGATGCTCAATCGAGAACTCAATCTTGGAGCATTTGTAATGAGTGAATTTAATTAATTTGTTTATCCTCTACCACAGCCAGAAGCGCGTTTCTGAGACATCGCGACGCGCCCTCGGGAGGGGGATTTTAATTAATTCAATTGCCAATCCAGGCAGACGATAATGGTGCGGGACAAAAATTTATGGTATTGCCAATAAAGTGTGTGTGTATGTTTGGAAAGTCTGTATTCAACAATTTATCACCTGAGTTTCTTGCAACTCAAAATACATATAATTCATCAGTTTCTCTCTCTCTCTCTCTCTCTCTGTCTCTCCAGAGAAATCCCACGAGAGTGCGGAGCATTTTGATAACGGAAGATGAAGGCATTTCATTGACCATCGGCTCAGGCCGTGAATGAGGGGGAAAGAGATATAAATATGGGACTTATTCAACGAGTTATTTACTCAACACTCAGCGGCAATAAAATGAGATTTACATCATTTCTTTGGCACTGTCAAGAGAGGAGAAGAAGAAAAAATTAAAATTTATAATTTTCGCTACTTGGGTTGATCGCTGAAGAATGTTTTCTTATATAAACTTCATATGGAACTTGTTGGGATTCAAAAACCGGCTGACCATCTAAAATTACCCTGCAAAATGTCAAAAGAGTGGGTTTTTAAAATAGAGTGTTGGCAAAGAGACGTAGAGAATCCGCTAGAGCTTTTCCGCCACAAAGTGACGCCTTTGTGCTAATGCAAAGCATACGATGTAAAGTCTTGAAATAATGGCGCAGAGGAGATAAATGGAGTGCCTTGCGGAAAAACCTGGTGGCATATCAAGAGAGTGAAGCATATCACTGTCCTTCTCCACCTTTCCTTCGTTTGAATCATTAATTAGATTAAATATGTGGAGCATTGTGTGTTGATGCAATTGAATGCCAAAGGCGCGCGTGTCTCTCACTTCTTTCTCTCTTCACTTGAAAGTTTTTCCACTCCCTTCAATGTTTGCCCAGAGTTTCAATGAAAGCGCATTCACTTCTTAGCCGTGTGCTCTTAATTAGTCACAGAATGCACTGGCAGTTGTGCTGGATCAAAGAGAATGTATGTTGCAGTCGAGGGAGGTGATGAGGATTTCAAGTTTTCACGTGTGGAGAAGGAGGAAGACGGTGACTCTGCAGTGCATTACCGTTTCAATGAAAACGGGAACGGCATTTTCCATGTGTGCAATTGCTGGGTATCTTGTTGCACTGGATCACAAGAAATGATATAGAGAGACGATGATGGGAGAGAAAGCAATGGGGATTCGATGAAAACTTTCAGTGGGTGAAATTTTCAAGATATAATCTCGGGAGGGAGTTGGAAATACTTGCAAACTTTCAGCTCTCAGAAGCTCCAGAGATGCCTTAACTTGGAATCTTGGCGAGAATTCTCATTAATATATTTGGAGCGCTTATGTTGCAAGTACATGATATTATTTTCATTAGCCTGATGGAATTTCACGATCATTGAGATGCGCTCTTTTGCCGCCATACTAAATAATTGACGGTTTGTCATGTGTGTGAACATGTCAAGTTAATTGATCGCCAACTAATGCAGCTTTTATCACTCTGACCGGCGATAATGGTTGACCACTTAAAAGTCACGACATCCCCAAAGTATCAATTGTAATTATGCGCATATGTTTCTCAGCATCTTTCATTGATGTGAGCCCATCAATGGACAAAGTGTGCTCAATTAGAGGTGTACACATGGGGAATAAAACCTCACGATGGGCCTTCCAGGCATTCACAGTGAAAGAGCGATGAAGAGATTCATTGATGGCCAGATTGAGTGATTAATTGCCACTTGTTGCACTTTCGAAATCAAAGGCTGAACGCCGGAGAAAAACCAACGGATGATACGACAGTGTATTGTGAGGCGAATACGGAGAAATTTAGCAAGATTAGGTGTCATGCCAAAAGTGCTTTTCGCTATTGACTTTGAGAACTGCGCCGGATAAACGCCTGAGCAATGTTGTCACACTGAGAAATTGCACAGTAATACAATTATGAAGGCGCAATAAAAGTAAATAAATCATTAGTCGTAAATTATCTTTATACAGTATCGTGAATTTACGTCAATTTCCAAAGTTCCATCTATTTATTAAAGTAAATGTTACTTTGCAAGGAAAACTTTTGAATGAATTCATGACAAAATTTTCACTCGTCAGGACTTTGCAATCAGATTCTGTCCAATGTTGCTCTGTGTCTGCAATCCAACGAAGAAAACAATGAGGAAGAAATGTTAAGTGGAAAACAGAGACTCTATATTTGTCCACCTTGATTGTGCACTGCTCTGAAATGTCTCTCGGCATTCATTCACGTGTGCACGGGCAAACAAATAAGTCAGCAAAGTGTTCTGCCAGAGCCACCATTCTTAGGGTCTTATGCACTGATGCACTTAAAAGTGAACTTACGACTCTGATGGAGAGACCCAGATGTTTCTCCCCAGAGTGTCGTGGCTTGAGAGACGCCGGGAGGATACTGGTGTGCTTGGCATGTATAAACTTTACCAATATTGGGCCCCGCACACATGTTTGAGATATATAGTGCGCCACTTATAAATGTTTGCGGGATAAAAGACCAATTTCACGTGCGGTACATGCATCTGAAATTGATACTCGCTTCCACTGGCTGTGTCTCTTTCACTACCTGCAAATCACGTACAATGAGTACAAAATGCAAAATGCAGTTCAATCTGATGCAAATTTCATTCGCTTCCATCTTTCGCCATATCTTGTACGATTGAGACAAGTGTCAAAGAGTTACAGAGCCACATGAGAAGTCGATGAGAAAAAAATTGCATTTGGTATTTGAGATGTGTCTTGTGTGGGGCGCAAAAGGAGGCAATTCTATATGCGGAAGTGTGTCACACTGTCTCGGATGGCATTAGCACAGAAAAAGCATTTGCCATCATGTATTGCTGTGGCGCAAAAGACGCGTTTCAGAAAATAATTGAACGTCAGTTTGCAAGAGGAATTTAAGGATATTGACAAAAACAATCTTCTCCGTTAGTACATCAATTCAATTCCACCAGCTCTTGCAATCGTGATGTTCCAGATGAGGATTTGCATCGTGACGATATCGCGGCGATGTGTGTTGCTGTGAATTTAGAGACTAACGGACCTGTGCAAGTGTCTAATCTCACCTTTCTCTCGATGTCTCTCATCAAATGATGTTTGTCATATGATGAGGGCCTTTTCACGGGCAATTATTGGGAAATATCATCGAACAGATGAGACTCAATTAACTTCAGATCGAGTGCTAAGAGTGTGTCTTCAGCATGGATTGCGCACTGCAATTGTCTCTATTCATCAAGCATTTTCTTGTGCTGTTCATTTGAGGCAAACGTACAATTAATTTGTTCCTGCTCGGCCTCTCTTCAGGCCATCATCGGGCGAATGGCGCGCACAAAAATGGTTTTAACGGAATTATGCGCGCGATGTGTGTGAGAAGAAAATAGAGAGACAGAAGACTTAACATATGCTGTTGTGTGTACATAAA